AAAGAATAAAAAGTGTTTGTAAACTAGTTTGAATGACTCCTTCTGCAGGTACTCACCCATCCCCACTACCACGTATCTTTCAAACAGCCAGATATGATTATTAATTCATAATGTGTACTACCACTGCTTGTTTATTGATGAAGTGTCTCAATTTTTGGTCTTGTGTTTTTTTTTTTCAGTAACTTTTGTGATGTTTGTGTTGTACTGCTTACATTTAAATGAATACAAATACAGAATATTACTTGTATTGATGTGAAGTGAATGAACAACCGAGTAAAAGATATGAGTTTTAATAAAATTAATAAATTATTTAGTACTTTTTTAATTACTTTTTCAGTACTTTAATTTTACTTTTTCATTGATTACTATTACTCACTGTCCTGTTATTTAATGCTAATCTGTCCCTCTCTCCATCTTTCAGGAGGAGATGAACGTGTGGATCTCGGCCATCTCGGCCGCCGTCTCGGGCGACAAGACGGAGATCACGCCCAGCAGCCATAGCACGCCCGCCCCTGCTGCACGTGCCCAGACGCTGCCAGCATCTGTCGCCACCGCGACGGCGTCAGCAGCCGAGTCCAGCCCAGGCAAACGAGAGAAAGACAAGGAAAAACGCTTCAGTCTGTTCAGCAAGAAGAAATAGACGCTCCTCCTCCCCTCCTCTTCCTTCTCTTCCTCTTTTTCCCTCTGGTGCTGTTTGGGGCCGCTCCTCAATATCAATCCATCTTAGGTCAAATATTTGTGAAGGTGTCTGCGTCAATCAACTTAGTCAGCTCTTTTCAACTGATACTGTAAAAACTTCAAACTAACATTAACCTCTAAAAGATTCAAATCAAAACTCTTAATGTTAGCAATGTCATGAAGCAAATCTGATTAATCCAGTGCAGTTAGAAGAGGAAAACAGACTCATCAGCAGATGATATTGGCAGATGCTATGACAAATAAATTCCCAGACAGCCCCTCTTTCTCCTCTGTCTCTACTTTCTTCCTCTCCTTCTTCTCTCTCCTCTTCTTTCCTCCTCTCTAAGCGTGACTCCAGCATGCAAGCTCCGAGCCAAAACTCTCCACTCTGTGCCTATCAACTGTCCGGTCTGGCTCAGAGCTACAGCTACAACACACCACCTGTATCCTCTGTTCAGTTTTTGTAAGATAAGGAGCAGGGAAAAAAAGGAATTGGAAAAAATGAAAAAAAGGTTGATTGAAGGAAAATAATTCAAATGGGGTCTGCAAACGCTTCTGGCAGCTGCTGTCATCAACTTAAAATCCAGAGGTTGCCGCTGAGCAACAACACCATGTAGAGGAGATTTCCCAGATTATTCCTTATTATTATTCTATCGCTATTTTTTGTGTTTTCTATATCCTGTTATTTTTTTGTTTCCTTTCTCTGCTTTCTCATCACCCCGGCTTTTCGTCGACTACTGCCTTTTGTGGGTTGTGTTTACGCTCCCCAATTGTCTCATTTGTTTTGTTTCTGTTAGTTTTGGGAAAGTTGTAGGTAGTTCCTGTTAGAGTCCATCCTCAGTTTTTTTGCGAGGCCTTGTCTTTGCAAGATGACGTGTATCCCTTTGTAGTGGGGAAAACTGAGACCACAGCAGGGTAAACCTCTGAAATTACACCTCACGTGTTTGCAGTTTAAGCTGAAATGCTAAAGCAAGTTGAACATGTAAAGAATCAAATCCTGAAGGTGCAAAACAGTTTCAGATCTAACGAAAAAAAGAGTCAACCAAGCAAAACAATCCTCAAAACTAAACAGCTTTTTGTGCACTGACTAAATCTGCTTATCTTTTGGTTAAAAGTTTGCAATAACCTGTAAAAAGCAGATAATCCTCACTATGTCCAGTTCATTTCTGGTGCTGTCTAATTCCTGCAGCATCTCCAACAGTGGCTGTAATTTGGAGCATTACCCTGCGGTGCTTTGATCTGTATGTATAACTTGTGTATAACAAACTGTTTAAAATAAACCTGTGTTTAATTTCACCTATTATTATTACTACTAATAAGTCCTACCAACTGTTATAAGCTTCACTTGAGTATAACTTTCTTTACCTGACAACCTAACAATATGTACACTTAACAAATCTGAATGAAGGAGCTATCGAGTCGGCTTGACCCGTCTCGATGGGGGAATAAATAACTAAGACCAGTAAGAATGTTTGATAACTCAAACTTAAGAGCATCCAGTAAGTTTTATTTTCTACTCTCTTTACATTTAGTTATTTGGAATATGTTTTTATTTCCTCCAGTATGTATTTTCTGTTCCACAGTTAAGCTATGTCTAAGGTTTATTTAGTCTGACAAGTATGGAGACGTAGATGTATACTATAAAAAAAACAAAACTACTTTAAGCATTGCTGTTAAGTGCAGAAGTTGGTTCTTAAAAAGCATTTACTGAAAGTGAGTAATGTCGCAGAATAATGGTCGCTTGCTTGTTGGCTTCAGCATTCCATATTTTAAGATTTCAGACGTTTGCAGCAGGAGATCTTGCGGTGAAATGTGATGAGTTACTTAACCTGTACGGACGTTCTTTAATGACAAAATTAATTCAGGAGATTTGCGCTGTAATATTTTAAGAATGTGCAGAAACAGGTTTAAAAGCATGTTAAAGGTTTTAAGGGCAGCATTTAAACTTTCTTAAGGTTTGAGACCTTATTGCAAGAGTGGGATGCCTGTCGCATGTTGCCTTTAAATTGACTTGCTGTATTTTTGTTCAAGCATATATGAACCTCTGAGACACCTTCTTCGTGTCTCTGGTTCAAATGTTTAGAGTTTATGAAAAAATCAGTGCTATGGTTTCTGGACTGTTCAATGGATCGTTTTATTTCTCTCACTGAGCAAAATGTATGGCAATAACAATTTGACCTGAACATACTATATGGAAGCATGTTTCTGCATTTTATGAGCCTGCCATCTGTCAGAGGATTTCAAATCACCCACAAACCCAGACACTTCTTTAAAAACTACCTGCTTGATGAAGCTTGAATTTGTTTTGTGCTCACTCATAATTTTGTCATTAATTAACTTCCAACCTGCCAGGATAAGTCAAATGAAACAGTAGGAATCAACCCCAATGTGTGAAAGTTGGGTGTGTTCGTTCTCCTCAGCTGGAGGTGGGGTTTGGTTGGGTGGGGCTCGGGCTTTAAGTTGGAGAAAAACTTTAAGTAACTGAACAACTCTTCACTGGGTCAAAGGTCCTGAAATATTTCCTCTTTATTTTTTTTCTTTTTGCTACATTCTCTGGCGATTTGATAAATATAGTGTGCATTCCTCTGTCACTGTAACCATAGTAAGATATTTCTTCATATTGCACAATCAACAATGCCACGATGGGGTGGGTGGGGCCCGGGGAGGGGGGGCGGGGGGGTTGTCAGTGAGGTAGTTGGTGTGATGTGGACCAGGGGTCACTGCTAGTTGGATCTGCACCTGTAGACTTCTCCCCATCTCTGTTACATATGTGCAAAAAGCCATTAAAATGCTTTTAAAATGAGCCGACCAGACTGTGCCTTTTTACTTCTCTCTGTGTGTATGAATCTCAGACAACTGATATACTGACTGTATGTTAGACACTTGTCCAAAAGCCCTCCAAACATCTGCTGTGATTTAATGAAGCAGCTGTTTGAACGCGTCTTTACTACCATGTGGCCCCAACTTGATTTTCTGTTTTTCTTTCTACCATTCTTCTTTCAGTCTACACATGTTCCCTTCTGGCTATAGATTAACTGTAACAGCAGTCCCCTTGTTCTTTCCTGGTGGTTTTGGAGGAGATTTGGTCTTATGTTTGATAAACTCAAGCAACCAATAACCCACATTTTTTTCTTTTTCATATTTTCTTCTTAACTAATCAAACAGGGGACTTTGTCTGATCAGGTTGGAGAGGAATAACAGTGATTCCATGATGCTTTCACAGGGTCCTAACACTGTGAAGTTGCACATCTAGAAAAACACCAGCAGCCCAAATAGTGCACCTAAGAAGATATGGGTGCTGTAGTCAACTGCCACAGGGTTCTCTCTCAAACAATCAAAAAACTGTAGAAAAGACAGGCGTAGTTGAAAAATACAGTGAGAGTGAAATTTATTGATATTCAGCTTACCTAGGTGTAGTGCAAACATATTTACAGAAGGTGAAAAAAATGGTCAAAATACTATTTACAAAAAAAAAAAAACTGTACAAGGCACAAAAAATAATGACGCCAACAAGGCAAAAGTTCTACAATTACTTGAGCTCAAGAAAAATAAAAGGCAACACAGCGTTAATGAGATATTCTGGCATAAAATTAAGTTTGGGTCAAACACACCGTAACACGGAGCTAGACATCCCGTCGGGAGATGAATGTTGCCGACTGCTTGCTTCTCGAGTTATACCAACTTTAGTAACAACGACACAATAGCAATACAAAGAGCCACGCGCTCAACCAAAATGCCACTCTATAGCCACAAATAATGCTCAGAAGACAGCACCTAACTTCATCAACAGTACATATGGTGAACTACTCCTCAATAGATCAGACATGTTACCACAGCCAAAAAGGCACTAATAACCCTGCATACAGCTATGACCTTACCCCTTTGAAACAGACAAAGTATCAAATATGAACTACACTGGTATGGTCCGGGGTCACATGACCCCCAAAAGCGCGCCACCTTGCGCTTTTTACTGACGGATCAGGAAGTACTTCGGTTTGACTTGTAAGATGGCAGCAGGTAAGTGGGTGTGGCGGGTAGTTGTCCAGTGTGGACCCTCAAACCAGAGCAGTCGATTAAACAATCAGTTTAATCGACTGCTCTGCCTCAAACGCCTATACAGCGGGGAGAAAAGAGTCCAGATACAAACGGAAACGGTTGGTTGGAGTGCATGACTGCGGGACACAGGTGCGGGGACACAGTTAAACAGTTTGATGGAGCTCGGCTCCGTGGGGTGGATGCCAGCCGCCAATCAAATCCAACAAGAAGAAGAAGAAGAAGGCTCCGTGGGGAACAAGCGCGCCTCTTGCGCACTCCCGGGACCGGCACTCTCAGGCCACGAGGAGAGTCCCACGCCAGTCGGAGAAGACGGGGCGTTTAATGGCGCTCCGTCACATCACCAGTCTAACAAGTGGACTAGAGGTACATGAAATACTAGTTTACAAATTTGTAAAAATGTGTAAGAGAACATTTTGTCTGGATACAAAAAAGAAAGCACAACAGTCAAACGGTCCAGGACAGACAGAAAATATCTTGAAAGCGACCTCAAACACAGTCTAGCCACATTTCAGGTATGTGAAGTGTATTTGAAACAGGAAATTTTTCTGTTTTTGCAGTTTTCAGCCTCAGGCTCCCTTAAAGTTAATGGTCCTGGACTAAACCAACCAGAGGAGGTCAGAGCAGAAGTTTGGAAAGTATGTGACAATGACATTTTTTCTTTCCTGTTTTCTCTCGCAGTTGTCAAAGAGATATCCTGAGGTAGATGTTCACTGTTGCTTTGTCTGAAGCTTTGTTTCAGAAAACAGTCACTGCAGTGGAGTTTTGAGATGCTAGAGTCAAAAATGTTTAATCATCTCTGTGTTTGGTTTGAGTCGCTGGCCTCAGAAGCGGATATCTCTAAATCAAACTGAAACAATCAGCGTGTGGCAGGCTGGTGATTCATTTCAGCTGTTTGCTCCCTGCGGACATCACAGAGCTTTAAAACCTCATCCCTTTTACTCAAACCAGTGTGTGTGGGTCCGTGTGAGTTTGTGTGTGTGTGTATGGATTACACTGCAGGGAGTCTGGATTTGTCAGGATTACAAACTTCATGCAGGGAGAGCTTAATTAAAGACATACACTAACTTTGTTAATACTGTACACTCTCCATCTTAAAGCATGTCTTGTGGTTTTATTCATATGCCATGTAGGGAAAAGCTGAGAAAATGGACCCGACTCAGGATCGTATTTGTATCTATAGAACATAAAGGGGTGTTTTTACATTATTATGTAGATGTCAAGTTAATTTTGCTGTAAATGTGGTGATTTAAAGGGATAAATTCTTTATTGCATGCTACCCTGACAGAAAAGCTGAGTTAAGAAGCCTAAGCTGGAGTTACACACACTGGGATGCACTAAGCTAAGGGATACTCAGCCTCAGCCTCACTTTGGCTATTTGGTTTAGATAAAAGAAAAAAAAACCTTTGCTCCTTCAAAACACTGAAAATGTATCCTTATCCAAAGAAAGCTTAAGTAATTTTTCCTGTTGTGGATAGTATAGTGATAGAGCTAAATTGGAGTTGAAGCTATTAACATGTCTAACCCTGAAATATATGAAAAGTACATCAGCTCATGGTGCCAATAATTTGCCAGATTATGCATCTTCAATAACTTTACTCTGACAGACAAAGGGTGGAAAAGCAGAATATCTATTTCGATGAGTAAAAATAAACCATGCACACAGCTCATGGCGTACAGCACAGAAACTTAACTTAAACCAGAGGTGGATCCATATTTAGCCACTTAAGAAGCTGCTCAAAAATTCTTCTCTTTGAATGGCTATTTGCCTTGTATGAAGCAGGACATATGTCAAAAATACTCCTCTGAGTTGTGTTGCAGGATGTTACCTACTTTGCCTTGAATATGGCACATTCATTTTGCTGTTACTTTGAATTTTGACCCTGAAATCTAAATGTTACTACTCTGTATGTTATTTTCAAAAGTCAAAAAGTCCACAAGAATGAAAACATCTCAGGTAGGGTTTATAAATCTGATTACTAGTGCATGTGCATGTGTCTTTGTGAGTATACTCAATGGCACTCCTGCAAAAATGCAGTTTGGCCACCCTGGTCAAAACTAACAGCAGCAAAACCTTCTTTGAATGCCACAAGATGGAGCAAGAGGACAAGATCATACAGCAACACCAACAGCATACACCGCCAAGTGTTTTTTTTTAATCTTGCAGGTGAAATATGTTAATCAAACTTATTGTCTTTCCATCACACAGACATTGCAGTAGACAAGGTCATATGCCTGTTTTGGCTCTCATACATCTCACCTCAGAACGCAGCTGCTGACTGGGACTTGTGTTTGTTTTGTTGCTGCAGCTGTTTTTCTATCCTCAGACAGGGGAGTGTGTTGTCATAGAGCGCGGGGTAAACACAATGTCTGTGTTTAAAATTAAACCGGTGCATGGGTGAGGAATACTCAAAAAACACCTCTTTAGCTGTGACAAACCATTTGAATGTGCCTTGATATGAAAAACAAAATTTAAATAATCTCACCTATACATACAGAGTGGGAAGGGTATTCAGGTCAATACGGGTAGAAATACCTGAAAAGATAAACATTTTCAGGTGAAAAACAGAGAAAAAAATATTCATCACCATGTGCAGATACATGCTGCATGAAAAATTATTTAAAAAGGTGTTACCAGCTACAAAACACCAATATTATCTTGTCAAATGATGATTAAAGTGTTGTTATAATAGCAGAGAGGTATTACGGGTTTTGTAACCTCAACATAATTTTCACATACCAGTGAAATTCTTCACCTTCACACACAGCAGCTTCCAGGAATTTTTAATTGACAGTGAGTGTGACACTAAACGCCTCAGGCATTGCTACGTCAATGGAGCATTTTTCCTTTAATTCAGGCAGGACTTCAGTGAAATGCACTGTGTCATTCTCCAGAATGATGCAGTTTATGCCCAAGGCTTATTCATTAGGGGACTAATTAGCTAGCTCAGTAAGTAAGCTATCATGCTAGGTTATATGCCAAGACTTTTTCGACGGTTTGTTAGGACAATACACACGCTCATGAAAGTACCAATTCCAGAAAAACAGGCAACTTAATAACTAAAAAAGCAGACTGGACAACTTCTTGTATTTCTGCAGGGCTAGAGGTTGTGGTTTCAGGTCTGCAAGTTTTGGACCACATCTTTAGCACCCTTGTGTTGCTAGGGTTGGAGTTACCTTCTCTTTCATCCATCCTGGCATGAAAAAACTGTGGTCCCAGTGATTTAATGTATTATATAATGCTGTCAAAAACATCAGGGGTCTTAGAGTTGCGGTCCCTGACTTGCAGTTAAACATTTTCCATGCATATACAGAATTAAATCAGAAATGATACAAAAATACACAAACCAATAGTTCCACACAGGAGATGATTCAGCTGGTTCATGTTCTCTACCCTGACTGTGTGCACAGTCAGTGTCTGTTGTAGAGAAATTATATCTGGCGCTCAAAGATCAACCAAAACATTGGGACTGATATTTGTCTTTTAAGCATAAAAAAGTATAATCATGTCAAAAAAATATGTCCATAGTGCCCTATGTCCCCCTATACACACTTGAAAAAACAGTACCTAAAATAAATGAATACACAAAAAATCAAATCCAGGTTCATAAAAACAGGATAAAAAGTTTAATTTTTTGTCAAGTCCAAAAGCAGCTGATTACATTGTTTTAGTTTCAAAGTCCCTGTTATTAATCTCACCCACACTCTGAGGCTTTAAGCTGTTAATACAGCTCTGTTGGGAACAATTATTGCATCTGAGGTAAACATAAACACAAGATTTCAAATCAGCCCACACAAACACTCAGTCAGTCCCAGGTGGTCGGTTAGACAGAGACTCATCTGATCCTCTGCAGGGCTGACTCTGTCTATCTCGATAATACCTCATAGAAACACAGTAAAATATTCGTTTTTCTTTTTATTGTGTGTTTGACGGTCAGCTCATTACTATTTCTGCCTGAGATCTTTTGTTGTGCGATCTGTGCTTTTTAAAATGTTTATATTCTGCAATACATTGAAAATGTTTAATCTAAGTTTCTCTTTTTTTCACGATCATTTTTTCATGATCTTTTTTTCTAAGATCAGGAAGATTAGTATGATTTGTGGCCATGTTTCTGACTGTGGTTTCAGGCATGGAAGCAAAGTGAAATATATTCAGGTCAGAATTTAGGCAGAAATGTAAACAATTATTTAAGCTACCCCACTGAGGCTTTATAACCAAGCCTTAAGGTAATCTACTAGTTTAAAAAATATTTTTTGAGAGTAAAAATTAATAAATAAAATAATAACAGTAATAATAATAATAATAATAATAATAATAATAATAATAATAATAATTATTATTATTATTATTATTATTATTATTATTATTAGTAGTAGTAGTAGTAGTAGTAGTAGTAGTAGTAGTAGTAGTATAATTATTGTTGTTTTTGTTATAGCCTAAAATAATTCCAATTTCATCAAATTCTTATATATTATTTTTGAACAAGTTAAACTTTTGTTATGGCTCTGAGTTGTCTTTCTCTTCATCTAGATCTAAATAATTATCTAGTTTGATGTTGAAGTTGCTATCTGAAAGTAACAGAAAAAACACTTAAGTTATAGATGCAACACTGACACTATCTCCCGGATTGTTCCCTCATTCAGCACCGCGGACAGCTCCTCCGTCTCTGTTGTTAGGGAAATTGTAGTTTTTTCTCCCTGCCCTGAATCCGCCGCCGGTGAGAACACATGAATGATGAGGAATAGAATAAAACACAGAGTCCCATAAGTCTTTGCGGTCGTGCGTCCTCTCCAGCGGTGCCGGGGTGTTTTCTCTCCGTGCGTCATGGTTACCTCCCGAGTCCAAGCTGCGACAAGCGTTTGTCAAGACACCAAGATTAAAGCGGAAATAACGTGTTTCACCTTCAGAATAAAATCCGAGGTTTGGGACGTTATTTTTAGTATCAGCCCCACATAAAATAATAAACTAATATTATCCCGCGGCAGTTTTACACATAACCAGATTCTACAGCGTGAAATAATAGAGCATTATGAAGATATGTAGTGAAATAACCAAGAGTAACAATTAGACCTTATCCTATTGAGTGGCTTTTTAGTGCGTGTGAGGTTTCAGAGTTGTACTTAATCCAATCAGACACCTGAAGCATTAGAGAAGACTCTTAAAATTGGAAAATAAAGCGAAATGCACATTTTCAACATTTATGTAAACAAATACAACATTTTTCTGGTTTTCATTGTAACAATTTGTTAATATCCATACTGTTTATTTTTTTTGTTCTGTGTGGATTCTTGATTTACACGAAGACAGCTGTGAAGAAGACTTGAGAGGCTTTTATTTTTGTAATATTTGATCGCCGGAAACGCTGTTAAACGATTCACCGTGCGTATTCTTGACATTTCTGCTTCTCAGTCCGTAGCCGAGCGAGAAAACATCACTGAGCTGAGACTCGGCGGTCAGGGAGGGTCTCCATTAAGCGTCACAAGTCCTGGAGTGTACTGACCAGCTGAGTCCGTCTGTTTATCGACCAGTCTGTCTGCCTCTCTGCCTGTCTGTGGGTGGAGGGGCTCAGAAGCAGCAGCAGCAGGATGCTCACTCCTGCCGGGAATCAGGACTTTCCTCTCCCATCATCCGGTCGGGATGCTGCGGTCTGATCCCGGGGCTTCTCCCTCACGCAGCCCGCTGAAGTTGGATCATCTGTGGTGACTAAACATTTGTTTTTGTCGCTCTTTTCCTCTCTTTCTCTCCGTCTTTCCCTCTCCCTGGAACAGTCCGAACATTTAAGCGTGGAAATAATCCGCTTCTTTTATGTAGAGACTCTGGATTATTTCCATTTCTACACATCTTGCTGTCCCCCCTGACTCTGGTGGGTTTTACTCACGCACAGATTTGTGAATGGGTTGGGGAGTCGCCACTGGCTCTTCCACCTCCTTGCGCGCTGTGCGTTATTCCAGTCAGGGATGATGTGAACACACGGGGCACACAGGAGGACAAAAAAACACCCAGGCTGCAGTAGTAACCATGGCTGGTACCGAGGTCGAGGATTAGTGTGAGGAGGGATTATATTTTCCTGGAGCAGAAGCCTCCATCAGTTGTTTTGTTGTTTATTGTCTCTGGAAATTTTTGGACACGAGGAGAACTTTAACGGCGCGTCTCTGTGATTGATTTTTCCGTCCTGTTTCTTCGTCTCTGGTTCATTTTTGATCATCTGCGCGGTGAGTGTAGGTGGAGCGGCACCGAGATATTCCAGACTCTGTCAGAAACTATGAATGAGGGTCAGGACGCGCTCCTCTGTGTGATTAAGAAAAAGACAATCGCGCGTTAATCACTCCAAAAGTTCTACTTGTGTTGTTGTTTTTATTATTATTATCTAAGGCATGATGGAGTCGTTTCAAACTCACTACAGTGTGCAGTAAAACTACTGACAGTCTTTGTGAGAGTATAATAGCAAACAACTCTCAAACCACAGATAAATGAAACTACTCAAATAAGTGAAGCCGAGTCAGCCGACACTTTCAGCAGGATGGGCGAGAGGATTGAAGCTGGTAGAAAAGATGTGAAGGGCGCCTTCACGCACTGAGGAGATGAACTATTAGACATGGGAGTGCTGCAAAGATGAGCGATGAAACAACTCTGACCAACTACAAAATCTCTTTATTCTGTTGTTAAACCAAACCAAACTACTGCCCATATAATCTCGCTGCATGTAACATGTAGATGCAAAAACAATATTACACCATACATTTAAAGGTCTTACCGATTAGTATTGGATAATAAATCTATTCTGGACCGGGGCAGCTGTACCGGAAGAGACGGACAAATTGACCCGTCAGATGAGTGAACATGTCGGACCGGAGCGCCCCGGGCTGCCGGCTCAGACTAGACTGGGTCTACGGGTACCGGGGCCACCAGTGCCGGAATAACCTGTACTACACCGCCGGAAAGGAGGTGGTGTACTTCGTGGCTGGGGTGGGCGTGGTCTACAATACCAGAGAGCACAGCCAGAGGTTTTACCTGGGACACAACGATGACATCATCAGGTAAGACACTTGTAAAAAAAAAAAAAAAACTATCAAATAATCATTGATAATAATCTAGTGATCATATTTGTAGCCAGGGTAGCCTATTCTAGGACTATTCCAAGAGCGCTGAATAAATCAAAAGCTTGGTTCAAAAAGGTGAAAAAATCAGATAATCAATCTGTCGCATGATCGTCCAAAAATTGTTGGTATTTTCATTAGGCCAATACAAAATGATTAACCCTTTAGATCCAAAGTAAGAATAAGAATAACTTTATTTATCCCAGAAGGGAAATTCAATTGTCTGTAGTCTCATTTGTCCTGTCTCAAAAAGTCATCTACTATTTAATGAATTTGTCAGCTGATAAAGTCATTATTGGGTCTTTATTACTGGTGTTTACCAGTACAGAGTATTTTTAACTGGATTTGTAATGCAGAAGATGATACTTAGAAGTCTGTAGAACTACTATCAATAGTTGATCCCACAGAGGACACTCTGACACCAGTTTACAGAACACTCAGCACTGTCTGTAACTCCTAGCTAAGCAGACAGTGGTCCACTTGAAACTTTACACAAAGTTGTCTAAAAAATAAGTAAAATAAGTGACTTAATATGACAGGATGAATGATTTTCGTAGATCCCAGAAAAATCTTGTGTATTTGGTCACAATATCTAAATTTGGTCATTTACCCCCTCCAAAGTTGTATCCTATCAGTGTCAAAAATACCATGTCAGGACAGGTTCTGGAGTTCATATACCCACCTTAACTGTAGACTGGATCACATTGCAAGCTTCTGGCTGTGGGCCAAGGACAAACAGAAGAACAGACAAAGTTAGTTTGAGAACTAACAACACATGAAATTGTAACAACACTGACTGACTCACCCCTGACAGTAAATCAATTTGATTCAGTTAAGTTTGTTTTTGTGTGTATTTGTATGGCATGGATTCAGATGTAAATATTATCTCAAGATACTTTACAAAAAGTTCAGGCCTAGATCATTCTGTTGTTTTTTTGTCATGTATAAAAAGGTAATACTGATCTAACGCTGAACCAGACTCAAGTTAAACAACCATCTGCTGTGACTGTGTTAGGCTTGCAGAGTGGGATAGATCAAAATGCAGATAGGGAGATGGATAGAGAAAAAGAGTAACAAAAAAAAAAACAGGTCAAATAACAACTGAGTCAAGTAGGTCCACGGCAGAAGACCATCTGCAGCAACAATCTTGAGGAACCTGCCGACTAAGGCAGCGCAAAAACTCCTGCAAACAGATTTGGTCAGTAACTTGAATGTTACACTGAATTGAGCATGACTAACAGGCAGTAATATGACATGAGTGCACACAGATAGAGCAGTCAGGTTGTGCTGTGTTTTTTGGGGTCTGTGCTGTCAGTCAGATTACTTCAAACATGAGCTTCTTCAAGGTTGGTTTGCTCGAGTTCCCTTGTGATGTCAAAGTGTGTTTGTGTTTTGATAAATTCTTTGCTTACAGCTAAAATTCAGGAAAAGCCAAGACTGGAATTGCTCTATTAGGGCCAGATTTAGTTTACTCCCTGTGTGCCTGGCGTCTTCATTCTATGACGTCTTTGTTCTTCACTCAGCAAAAATAGATTTTAATTTTAAGTGACTCTCTGGTTAAGTAACCAATAAAATATCATTTAAGAGCTTATTTATTATAGGATAGATTTGGTCTCGTCTCTCCATCTTGGCATATAAGTACAGCTATAAAAAGCTACAGGAGAGCTCAAGTAAACATTTTTCCTTGTGTACCACTCAAAAGAAATCAACACAGATAAAATTTTAACACTGATGATAGCAGATAATTTTGTGTTGATTGTAAAATGCTCTGAAATCAACACATTTCTGGATAAAAAATAATCATGTGAGTAGTGTTGTAGGTGAAAACAACATCTTAGAGCAAGGATTAGTGTCATATCTGTAGGATATTTTATGTGAGTGGGCTGTAAGGAGCTGACTAGTGAAGGATTCATAGAGTGACATAGTTTATAAGACAGCAGGGACACACTGCTGAGCGAGCAAAGCTTCAGGTCTGACAGTGAGGAGTTTTACCTTCCTACTCTGATCAACAGTCGACCCTGTCCTGAAGCGACAGCTCCATTTCTCCCGCTCATCTGAGTGTTTAGTCTCTGTTTCATTTGGATCGAGATGTTTTTTTAGGAAGACCCTGGTGGGGTTATATCTCTCCCACACAGTTTGTTTATCCTCTAGTTTGACAGTAGCTGAAATCTAAACACAAAGAGGTCGATACTGTGCCAGAACGCAGCTCTTTAAGACTGGTAGAAGATTTTCTTCTGAGGGATTTAAGGTCTGAAATCTCTGATAATGTGAGGAAATACTAGTATTTAAATTTCACCATTAACACCAGCTTGCAGAGCTTGCGGATACTTGCAGATTAACATAAAACGCTTATGAGCAGAGGAGGGTATTAGTCTGTTTCTCAGGTCTAATGTGTCACACCAAAGTTGGCCCATGAGATTCTGGGAGAAAGTAATTTGACATCCAACATCTTTAACACTCACAGAGAAAATTCCCTTTAGTGTGTTAATACCACACATTACACCATTTAATGAGCAGAAACATAACACAACATGTTTTTTATGAAGGCTTAGAGAGAAATCATCAGCATATCGACAGCATTAAGAAAGGGATCATGTATTGTGAGCAGGTGAAAACTGGAATCCAGACCTGGTGAGTTTGACCCCGCCCATTACCCTGCTGCCAACTAGAGATACAAAGAAGTCGTATGAATATTGATTTTAAAAGGATCCTATTGCCTTGAAGTTTGCCTACTTATATCGCTGACACATAGTCCCTCCAGTTCAATGAACGACTGATACTCAACTGTCAAAAGAAATTAAATATATCATCAAATTTGACCAAAATGAGGGCTTCAGGCCACTCCTCTGTTAAATCATCAGACAAGGCTTTACATTTTTCACAATTAGGACCCAAAAAGTTAAAATGTGTTGAGGGTTTCTGATTGGGAAAAAAATTGGTGAATGAATTACATGTGGAGATACAGGAGTTGTGAGTCATTTTCAAATTGACTGTATAACAATCAGCTTAATTTCTTTAAAGCTTAGCTATAATAACAGGACTGAAGCTACAGTAAATTATCATTTAATTTTTGATTGGATACTCAGTAAAGCAGCAAAATGATTAAAAACCCCATAAACTCCCTTAACCTGTCAAGAATTGTTTACATAAAGATCACCACAGAGAACTCCTCGATATGCATGGATTTTAATTGAAAGCCCCAAATTTAATAAACACAAATTTTCTCAGCCCTAACTTAAACTCAAGACAAATCTTCTTGTCCCAAGCAAAAATCACCATCACAAATTCAGAAGGTTTGGTCCAATAGAAATCAAAACCAAAAACAATATCCTTTAAATACTTCAGTTCCCAGTTTAGTATCTGAGTTTCATTTAAAGGAGAAGGTCAAAAAAATCCAAGATAGAAAATAAAAGTTTGAGAAGAAAATGCTTTACTTCTCAGCTGTATTATTGCTAAATAGTTTAGGATATTTGGTGAAATCTTTGGTTCTTAGTCTTTTCTATAGAGCAAAATGTTGACTTTGTCTACCTGCAAATGAAACCTAGCCGGGCAGCTAAATCTTGTATAGTGCATCTCCTCTCAGAGACCATTGTATTTTGTACATAGTCACTGACAAACCAAATAATAAACAAAAAAGTTTGTAACAGTAGTATATTCGGCTAGCCAAGCACTAGCATCTGCTGTTTACAAGACTTTGGCCAATTTCTCGCTTCTCTCCAGCTTTACCAATAATCTCTTTTTGGTGCCAAAAAACAAGATGGCAAAAGATAAAATGCCAAAATGTGACTCCAAACATTACACAGTTGAAAACACAATTGAGTGGCTTTTCCTGCTCTTCTATTGTCATTACCTTCAATTTCTCATCCAAGTTATGTGATTCAAAAGGCTCAAAGATTTAGACACAAAACAGTTCAATCAATGAAAGCTGGTGACGGAAAAGGTGCCACATATAGGAATCAGCATGTATGAGTGACGACCAACTGGTCATCACAAAAGAGGGCAAAATGACCCCCATACCAACCTTAATTCAGCTGACAAAAAAGTAAAATAAGAAAATTTAATTCAACCCAACATTTCAAAAAGCACTTGTTGTGTAAGTGTTATAAAACAGTGTACCAAAGATGTTTTGAAATGTTGATAATTGTGTCCGCCCGCATTAAACAAGAAACAATTATCCAGCCTGTTACATAATCATTAGAGGAAGTCATAAACTTCCATTGTAATTCACTGGAAGGTTATTCATGTAAATAGAAACATGAGCTACAAGCAAAGTCGTCATGTGTCCAAGTTCGACCTCTTTCATGCATTTAAAACACAATTCAGTATTTCCTGCATTTCTTAAAGGCAGCAGTCACCGAGAGGTCAGATTAAATACACTGCAGACAACATAGATGAAATGCATTTCTTATTGAAGCTGATGATACACCAGAGTCTGTATGTAATAAGATATAATGAAATTACTGCTGAATAATATCAGGATGTTCGCTGATCTAATAAAATGAGACAACCTGGAGGTTCAGCTGGAAACAAACTCCTAATGAGCTGCACAACTGTGATCCTGTTGGAGGAGGTGGTTTCACTTCCAGCAACTGACGCACCATGGACAGCAGGAGAGAGAAAATACAGTGAAACCCGAACAGAAGTTGTAAACAAACACACAGCATGATTCACTTCCCTGTAATAGTTCATCAAAGTTATCACTAAGTAGATTTTACAGTTTTCTGTCAAAACTGATGCACAAACTCCAAAAAAAGAAGTACACATTACCAACAAAGAGGCTGGAAATCTTGGAAAACCCTGAGAATAGTCTGTGGATTTGCATAAACTAATTAAACATTTGCTCTGAGTGTCAAACCTATTCACAAACACCCAAAACCTTTAATCTGGGATCATCTGGCAATTATGCAATCAAGGGTCTGTTTCCCAGCTAGGACACACAGTGAGGAGGGTATATAATCATGCAGAACCTCAGAAATATACCTCAAACTTTGCATCTCTGCTAAACTTTACAGTTTCTCTTAGTCTAGTTTGGATTGTGGCTTAAATTAATGGAAATGAGGCTGGAACTCCAACTATCACTAGTGTCTCCATTGTACAGATTACAAAAGCATTAAACCTGATTTTACTTTACAGCTTATTTCTGAAAGAAGTCCTTACTTCTAAAAGAATAAGGCCAATTAATAAATTAAAACTAAATCCCATAGTCTTTCTATGAGAGATCCTGATTGGGTGATACATTTAGTGTGTAGCTGGTTCCATCTGATGGCGGCTGGATTCACGGGGAGCTGGTTTTGAAAGATTGTAGCCAACAGGATGGTCTGTAAAGGACCTATTAGAATTAAAAACACCAAACTGTCATTGCCATTAATTTTTATAACGTGCACTTCAATTGAGTTCACTTTAACATTGTTTTGGTTTCTACGCTAACTTACTTCCAGTCAAACTGTCCGCTGGCTGGCTGGCTAACAGTGCAAAAATGTTTCTGGAGTTGACTAATTCAAGCAAGTTATTTATACGAAAGAAGATTAGGGCCACAAGAAGAGAAAAAATACAGGAGGGAGATTTTTTTAATTAACATTTCAGGATCAAAGTCAAAATTTTAAAAAGGTGAAATTAAATGCCGTGTGGTTTAAATTTGTCATAGCCATCCATGTGCCAGAGGGCATTGGGTCCTCTGCTTCGGTAATGCCTGCGCCTCAGATGCTGGGCTCGTCTGTGCTCCACGCCTTCAGAATCTATCAACTTGATCAGTTGTCTTATTGTATCTTGTGATACATAGCCTCGCTGTATGGCACACAAGTGTAACCATTGATAACCCTGTATCTGCATCATAATCTTCGGTACGGTCTTTTCAGAGTCTGAATACTTATAAACCACACTATGTTTGTGTGCTAAAAGAGCAAGGATTTCCTTGTTACTAAATGCAATTCTAGAGTATAGCTTTACAAACTGTTCTACAGAGGACATGTTGTCAAATGACGAGCGACAACTGATTCATTATCATTCATTTCAGCATTACGATTTTATTCATGAAATTTTATCTTTATATGCGTCGACTTCAATCTCGTAATTTTGACTTAAATCTCGAGATTTCAACTTTATTCATGTCGACTTTAATCTTGAAATTTTAACTTCAATCTCAAAATTTCAATTTTTAATCTCGAAATTTTGACTTTAATCTTGAAATTCTGACTTTAATCTTGTTCCTGTAATTATTGTTTTTTTTTTTTTTCTCTTTATGTGGCCAAATCCTCTTTATGATGGTTTGGAACAAGTTTTTTTAATCTCCTCGTGGTTCTACAGCCCACTGTCTGGGTTTAGAGGGGCGAGGTCCACAATACCTGGCAGAGAACTTAATTAATGCTGAGTAGATCAAGCAACGTTGACTGGTCTTTTTTTAAATGGAAGAAAATAACACATCTAGTCAAAGCAACACTTTCTCAGTTGTATTCAGATGTATGCCACTGAGGCTTGACTGAAATGAAACTACAGCCACAGTAAATGAATCCAGCAGAGAGGGGACAATGACTGGAGCTGCAGGGCCTCAGGTGGCACATGCTGTGTCGATGAAGGACATAATATAAAATGGCTTTCATATTTCAAATTTGTATAATAATATGAATATTGAAAACATTTATTTCCATCTCATTATCCATGACTTTACAAGTTCAGGCCCATACTGGTCTGACAACCTCACCCTTCAAACAACAACCACCTGTACATCACATCCTTAATGATATTTATATCTTACCATCAAATACATGAGTGATATTTCTTAGTGTTGATTGGCCTTTTTATTGAGGTAAACATCTCACATTTGGAGCTTCAAGACAGTGTTGTTTTTGGTGACATTTATGAAGTGATTTGACCCGACTGTAACCCTGCAAACCTTCTTTGTGCTGAATGAATCTGCAGGAGTGCTTAGAAAATAAAAAAATGTTTAGAGTTACACCTATGAGGAGATTACTGAAAAACAGAAGAATCCAGGTGTCTTTTAGTAGACTGAGCTGCTCATATTCTCCTCATTTACATGGTTAGTTTTGGATGTCTAAAGATTTTCAGGGGCTGAGTTCATGTTCTGGATAATGATATTGAAAAAACTGAGTTCAGGAGGGCAGAAGAAGGGATTTTCTGTGGTGATGGGAGAAAATTAGAGTGAGTGGAGGAGGAGGAGGATGATTCACTGAGGTCACCCATTCAACCCAACACAGTCACACGCACACACACACCTGGTGTATTCACTGACACTAAACAGCCGATGAGTCATCAGAGCAGCAGGCATGTTTGGACAGTTTATATAGCAGACCATTCAGCTGCAGCCTGCAGAACTGTGTGTGTGTGTGTGTGTGGGAGAGAGAGAGAGCAAGCGTGTGTGTGTGTAACATTAATTGGAAAGCTGGATGTTGTCTCAGTAGGGCCGTGCTCTCTCTGATGTTAAGTGTTAAATCTGTGTTTGGGCCAAACGAACCCTCACAGTTGACCGAAAGTTCACAGCTGGATGAAGATATGCTACATTTAAATACTCTGCATGGGTCACTGCAATAATTTTCTTACCAATTAAATTATAATGTGATGATTTCTGCCCCAGAATTCCTGGTTACATAAAAACAAAACAAAAAAACAAATGTGAGGGAGGTTATCACAAACCTACATGAACTTGGAAACATTTTAATGATTCAGGAGAGACAGCAGTCTAAACAGCAGACAGAAAAATAAATACTAATGTTATAGCATAAAAACTTTAACATGTCAATATTTTTAACGTCACATTTTCCCTAAAAGACAATTAACATTTTAATAGGAATAAATTTATGGTAAGCCAATAAAAAAAACTAGATTTCCATTACTTAGCAGATGCATCTAAGCAAATGAGTCTTCTGCCCACAAATGGGTGCATAAGGTCAACAGTAATCTTACTACATATGGAAGGCAGACTACCTTTTTACATCAAAACCTTCCCACATGCATTGACTTGACTTGACTTGTAATGCTTCATACTGCTGATTAAAAAGCCTTCATCATTGTAGCATTCAAAGGATAGCTTTGAAGAGTTTCTAACATGTATTTTTGCAGATCAGCTGTCTTTAAATGTTCTGGGAAGTTACAAACTTATCTTGGCACAAATGATTTACTCATACAGACATCTCATAGTTATTTTTGCAACTTTGTCGGTGTGAAGACTGCAGCGAAGTTGGTAATTGGTGAGCTTTAGAGGGGTTTCTGACAAAGTAAAAATAAACCGTCCAGAGCACCATGTCTGTACAGTCAGGGGTTATTTTTTCACCCCAGTGACGCCATCCTTCATGACATACTTTGGACTCGCGGGTTTCCAGTAGACTTGAAGTATGAACAGACCCAGAGAGCAGTATTTGGGTTAGCCCTGGCTGCAGGAAATGTCACTATCACAGGCCAAGTTAGATGCATTGGCTTTTACATCACTACTGGCACCACTGCTGTAACGGTGGAAATCAGCCAACCCACCATTACACTCTGAATGAATGGAGGAGAGGTCTGGTTTCAGCTGAAGCTTAAAAATCCTCAAAGGTTCAACCAGGACAACTGTGTGTTTAGTTCATTTTAAATTTTGATGATTTCACATGAACCATATTGTGGTAAGAAATAGTCTATAGGTACATTATTGTCAGGTGCTGTGGGTTGAGCTTAATATATCACACTAAATTCATGCCACTTGAGCAGTTATGAACATTACATTCATTTGTTGTGACTGTGATTTTTTTCCCTCTTTCCTTTCTATCCTTTCGACTGCTCTCTGTGCTGAAAGCTCTGAATCATAACCACACTTTCTCGCTGTCCGCTTGATGGATTGCTTCAGTAATTGCAGGCTCGATGTTGACGCATTAAATCCATGTTGAGTTTTTGAAAGGCAGAGAGTGGGACTCTCTTTTTCTTTCATTGGCTCTTTCATGGCTAAGACCTCCCGGGGGGCGATCAGCCTTTATGCTCCTCTGCAAAGAGGAATCAGCCTGCTGCTGAATAGCAGCAATTATTATCCTAGGACTGGATGCTGCTGTGAGGAGCTCACATTTCCAGCTCAGTTTATATCTGCTCATCTCTTTCAAGTTCATGTCTACTCGCTTTAGTGCACCCCTTTTCATCCCTGGGACTTCAACTCAAATCCAAACCTGTGTAGTATATTTCATCACCCCCTGGATACCTCAGTTCAGAGGGGTTTTAGCAAATACAAATCTTTACTTTCCATGAATGAAACACAAATAAGAGGAGACCTCACAATCTCTCTCTTTAGCTAACACAAATTGTAACTTGCACATCCAGGTGGACATTACCATACGATAATATTGTAAAATTTGTTTGATAAGATTGTAACCTTACTTGTTAAAAATGCAGTTGTGGTACCAGAGCAGTAGGTATGATGGAGGCACAGCAGTGAGGTCCAGGCTGTTAGGCTTGGGCTGGTTACCACTTTCAAGGTATTCTCCCACAGTTTTACAGTCTAAATCATGCTGTTAGCACAGAATGAGGAAAGCTCTTCAGTGAACATGCATGAAGCAGATAAACTGTAAGATAAGCGTAGTTAGGTCACATACTATATTAGTCAACTCAGCTTGTTCTGCAAGGAGAAGGGAGCAGCAAGAGTACAGAGAGAGAAACAGCTTCATACATGGTCTTTTTCACAGGACCTGGACTGTCTCTACTGTCACATTAGCAGCTCTGTCTGTGTGCTCATAGACCCACTGTTTGACAAGGTGCTAGGAGAACAGATGCTTGTCAGATGACCATCACAGACACAGACACAGAGACAGAGACGTCTGTCTCAATGTTGCACCCAAATGGTGACCTTTCAGTGGATTTTATTCTGTCTTCCTGAGGTCAATACTCTATTATTCAGTGTGTTTGTTGGGATTTGTCTTCCAAAATCACAAGATACAGCTGAATACTGCTGCATGGTGCTCTTTCAAAATATTTGTCCTCAAATTAAAAAGAGGTCTAAGCCACTGACATGTCCACAGTGGCTCAACAGATTTTTTACCATTTCAACTGCTTGCATTGCGGTTTGAACTTTGAATAGTCCTTGCAAATCTCTTTTGACTCCACCAAGTTCTTGTTTCCAGGCTGATATTCAAGGCAGCAAATGAGGATGAACTGTGAGTGAAGGATCTGGGTTTCTGCGTGTGCAGTTCTCCCCCCGTCGTCCTCTGATTCTCCTTTCTTTCCTCTCCTGTCCCACTTCCTGTTGGTCGCCTGCAGGCAGAACCTGACCGACCAAGTGACACACACATACATACACACATACACACATACACACGCACACACGCACACACAAAAGGGAAGAACTACACTAAAGGACATCATTATGCTTGGTGAGTAGTGTGGATGGTCTTTCTGCTTGAGTGGATGAAAGTAACCAGTCATCTAATGGCACAGCAGCTGAAGGAGAGAAAGCAAGTCCTCCTCTCTTTCTTTGGAAGTGTTTTTGCACAAACATAAAAGCTGGTAGCCATTTAGACCTGTTTTAAGTGATTTCCTGTCCTCTTGCTTTCATAAAAACAAACAAACAGAATCTTGCTGTTATCCACTGGAGCCCCCTGACTCTGACTGGGTCGTCTGCCGTGTGTGTTCTTCACATTAGAATATCAATTTAATAATAAAAATCTGTTACACCTGCAGATAGACCTTTATTTAAAAAAATCTGGTAAGGTGAGAATTAAGTGTTGTTTATTTCCAGTCACTGTTTGTGTGACAGCCTAATAAAAGAAAGTTAAATATCTAATTTGGTTCATAAGACATACAAACGTGTCAGGCTGAGACTAAATGTAGCTTGCCTGCAGTTATATAAACTAATCTTTTACGTGTTACTGCTTTGATGTTTGGCCTTCAAAGTATCCAAGTGAGAGGCTGTGTGGGTGTCATATCTTCTTGAAAGACACATTCAGTTAAAGTTAAAAATCTGTGCACTTGTACAATTTGAAAAGCACACATCTCATGAGATCTGATCTTTAAATTCTGAATTTTGGACTCTTTTATAAGTGGTCTCAACTCAGATTCAGCTTTTGTGGCTAAGTGAGCTTCATCTGCAAGTCATACCAAAATGATTTTTTATTTTTTGCTTCCCTATACATGATCTTTCTTACTTTGCAGGCAGATGGATTTTGAAATGTAAAGCTATGACTTTGCACTCTCACATACCTGAGTACAGGAGTAGCAGCCATTGGGCCACAGAAAGCACATATGCAATCACCTGCTCATGAATTTGGATAGTTTAATTCAACACTTATTTAATGAAAAGTATTATGCTGTTTTTAAAGGCTTCTATTTCTGGATTGGTCATGACTGGAATTTAATGCAATTATTTTTCCTAACTGTTCTGTAAAAAAATATAAACATTATAGTTTGATAAAACAACATTTTTCTACTTCTAAACATTGGTAGTAAAGCAAAATGGCGCTGCTGCCTACGTGCACACCCAATATACTCGAGAGGTCTGCCCAGGTTAACTGCTATCCCGCGGCTCTTTCCTCACTTGTCACCTTCTGCTCTCTGTTCATTTGCTTCTCTGTCCACTGTCCTGGGCTTTTTTTGATAAAGGCATAAGCTGGAAAATAAATCTTTAAAAGATCCTGTGGTAAAAAGTAGTAACAAAGGAGGAACAGAACCATTGTCTCTCTGTGTGCTAACTATTAACAGAGACATTAACTTTAATGATTAATTATGTTCAAAATAACAGAAATTAATATTTATATTGACGTCAAAGCAGATTGAAAGTCCAAACACACTATATCAATCAAGAGTTGTGGATTATTTCAAATCTTCTCAGGCCTTATACTCTTTCTCATGTTGTCTGCATTTCATGACACTGTAAGAAAGGAAGGTTTCGAATCCTTCTTTCCCAGGAAAACAACCTCCATGTTACTGCTTCAGACCATTTGGTTCAGTAGGAACTGAATTTTTCAGCTCCCAAATGGCTTTGCATAGTACCATCTTGGTGTAGTCGCCTTTAGAGCCAAGTCACTTGCGGCTGACACAAAGGCTATCCCCATTTCAGTGCATTCCTGCAGTTAAGTAACATTAAAACAGCTGCAATGAACAATGGAGTTTGCATGCTCTCCCTTTGTGGGTTTTCTCTGGGTATTTCTGCTTCCTCCCACAGTCGGTGATTCTAAATTTCCAGTAGGTATGAGTGTGTGCATGAATGGTTGTTTGTCTCTTTACATGCCTGTTGCCCAATGGCAGCTGGGAGAGGCTCCTGCCCCTCATGACTTTTAAGGGTTAAGTGATAAAACTAATGAATGGATGCCAAAAATTATCAATTAACAATTAACGATTGTTAATTATCAATTAACAAAGTAACGATTTGACTGATGCTTTGTGTTTTTACCATTGTACAATATATAGTAATACATACAGTGTACCTCCATTTCCAATCCACAGTGAGTCCTCAAGTTTGTAGTATGAATATCTGCACTCAGGCTCACATATATAAGTCACTTTGACTTATCATAGTACATTTCAGATATCTGATTTGGAAAGGTTAATATTGTAAAAAATAATTAAAATGCAGGTATAATCCTTGCAATGGACTACTGGTCCCAACAGTCAGCCGTGTTCACCTTTTGCAAACGATGAAGGTAGCGTTCAAATGCTGAAATCTAAGTTCTATGAGAAGAGTTTGAAATTACTCAACCAGAAATAACAGCCGTGCATTTAAATCAGTGCCAAAAGCTATCCTCCCCTCTGTGAAATAAATGAAGTTAAGTTGGACTTCATGCATCCTCTAACACAGAGAGGAGGCAGGCTGTCAGAATGACCTACAGGCTCATCATCATCATTGTATATAAAACCAGCCAATTCGGCCAGAACGGCTAATTGAGAGCTGAGGCTAACCAGCAGGAACACCCCCAGGCTCAAAGCATGTGTGTCTGTGCGCCCACATGCGTGTGGGTGTGTGTTTTGTGTGTATTTGTATTTCTTCTGAAGCGTGGTGTAGCTCATTTGCCTCTCACCAGGTTTAAAGGCTATGCTAACAGGCTAAGCTGACGGAGATTAGCACTGCTGTTGTTGTTAGCATTGTTAGCAGCTCTGCTTGCAGCCGGAGAAGTTGTAGTGCATTCAGTGATGCGTTCACTGGCAGCAGTGCTGACAGTGCTGTTTAGAGTAAAGGATGTTGTGTGAAATCAAGTTAAGCTTGCAACTGTTGTGTAGTTTTGGTGAGTTACAAATCATGATCCAGCACTCAAACTAATTTAAACGACTGTGTCACCATGAAAGTTTGCCTTGTGGTGCAACAGTCTGCTCATCCGGATGCTATACCAGGCAAAACAGCATGACTGATCTTTGAAGCCACATGAACCTTAAAGGTCAGCTGGTCATCAGTCATGACACCAAAGCTGCAGGCAGACTTATTGGGTCTGGTTTCAGATGGTCCAAGCTGGATATTAATCTGTAGTTCCACAGAGGGACCAGCTGGAATGACAAGATGCTCAGTCTTGCAAGAGTTGAGCTAAATGTGTCATTCTGTCGTCCACTATGGCAACAAATGATAAAAAACCAAGCCAGGATTTTGTCTGAAAAGTGTGTGCAAAGGCCCATGAAACTGTGAGAAAAATGACTGCGCCAAGTGAGGTGGTGTTTACTAAGAAGAGAGGGGGACACTGACCCTTGAGGCATCCCTGTTGAGAAGCAAAGTAGTTTGGCCGCTCCTCCTCTCCAAGGTACTTTAAAGCTTAAGGAGATAAGCTTAACCTGTTGCTCCTCTTTTAGTAAGGGAGGTTGACGAAATTTTATTGTGAAAAATGTTTTCTAATAAAGACTATTGCTGCATTCGAGTTACCTCGGAAGTCAGATGTTGGAGCTGAAAATGACGTCACACCTGAGTTCCCAGCATTTTAGTTGCCAAGTTGGAAAAAAGCAAAATCGGAGGCGTAAACAAGATGGCTACATCTACGAAAGTTATTTTAGCGTTTGCCTTATATTCAGACAAGGCAAGCACTAAAGTAACTTTGGTAAATGTAGCCATCTTGTTTACGTCTCTAATTTAGCTTTTTTCTGACTCGGTAACTATAACGCTAGTAACTTGTGTGTGACGTCATTTTCGGCTCGGATTCCTGACTTCTGAGGTAACTCGAACGCAGCATATATCTGATGTTTTCAGATTTTTTTCTGTATCAACATCAATAATACCAATGAGCCACAAAGTTTACCTACCATAAATCTATTTCCTGTAGTCCAGGTTGGTGTAAATTTAGCAACTCTAGAAGTTTTGAAAAGTATAAAGAAGCTCTATTAAGTATAAATATCTAGGAGAAAAGAGGGTGTAAATGAATTCCTCGAGGCCTGGTTTATCTGAGACATGCTTGTTTTCATTTGACAGTTTGTTAATGGAGGCAGCAGCAGCAGCGTGCAGCACAGGACCTGGTGGCTCTGTGGATTCACAGCTCAGTGGTCTTCATTAAGATGATGACTAAGAAATTATCTGTCCAGCATCCCACTGCCAATCTGCCCCGCAGCCATCAATGTTCCCACGTTCTGCTGGCACTCAAACACTTAAAGGCAGACACATTTTAACTACACACAGATTTTCTCAAACACTCACAACCCCCCTCGAGGGGTTATGTCACTCCCCAGTGTTATTCTGAAAAGTCTGGAAACTGAATTTAAGCTACTTATTGTGAGGAGAGTGAAAGATATTAAGTGTGTTTGAGAGAGAAGTTCTTATCAGGCCCTTAAAAGAAGAGAAGATATAGACTTTATTTTAGGAGAATGTTCTTCCCTTAGAGGCACTTATTAGACTTCTTATCCATCCACTTATTATTCTTGTCTCCCTGCAGACGGCTGATATCCAGCGGCATCATTTTAGGGCAAATATGAGAAGCAATATTTCCACAAGACTTTCTCCAGCGTGACAGCTTTGACTTAGTATATCCTGCTTCTGGCTAGAAAACATAACGATTTCATGTTTCATTGATTTGTTTGAACAGAATATCATGTCCAGATTGCACAACAGAACAGTCCACTGCCGCATTTTCCTCCAAGCAACGATTAGATTTACTTCTGCTGAACTGGAGCTGAACAGATATTATTATAGATAATACAGTATCTGACAAAACCCTTGATGTTTATTAGAAAAACAGACCACAGAGCAGCAATAGAAACTAGCAACACTGACCAGCAAGCTCTCAAGCAAGTGACAACAGTGTAGACTATTTTTATGTGCTTTTAGCGAGATAAACTCAGGGCATTTTTCACACATGCCATAGGGTTGTCGACTTTTTTTTGCTTTGTTTGTGTTCCCCCTTTTCACTCTCTCTTTCTGTTCCTCCCGAACCGCTTGTATGAGGCACATCCAGCTGCAGCAGATGGCTGTTCAACACAAGTCTGGTTCTGCATGAGGTTTCTTCTGTCTGTTAAAAAGTTTATTCCTTGTCACTGTGGCTACATGTTTTCAAATGCTTGTTTGTGGTAGATTAATGTTAGTCTCTCAAGATAACCTCACTAAAGATAAAGTCATGGTCTGCTCTTTCTCTTGATATCAACTCACAGAAATAAGGACCGTTAACTCAACAGGGACTTGGTGCGTAATCAGCACCCTGGACAGCTGCAAAGACAGTTCTGCATGCATAGTCAGCTTTCTGCTGGGTTTGGTTTGGGTCGGTATGTCAAATAGAATATTCGAGTGCAGACTCTGAGAAAGAGGTTTTTTATTGAGATGAGGAAGTCACCTGTTGAACAAACTCTAGTAGAAGGCAGGCTCATGTGATTTGTTTTCAAAGTCAAACTGGAGGAAAATGTCAGCAGTGTGGAAGATGCCTGCTGTTTCTCAAGATATATCAACATGTTAGACATGCTCCAGTGACACCTTTTTAAATAGAGGGATGGACAGGTTATGTGGTCGGTTATTTCTCACTTGGTGAGATGCATTTGTGTTACATTATGCTGCTTGTTGAATGTGACTGCAGTGACTCTTCCCACTGTGACTTTACATATTCTAAAAGCATAGTGCCTTGAGGGAAGAGCTTCCTCATCCCAGTCCATGGACTGACAGGTACGCACAAGCACAGTCAATTCAGAGAGAAATATAATGCATGAAAGCTAGTCATAGCAAAACTGGGGGGAAAAAGCCATTTCTGAGCGCAAATTGATCAAGCCATACCAAAATAGCTCAGTACCATGTTAAGAAGTGTGGTACCCCTGTGAGCGAGTTATATGTACTCATGCTAATTCACATGAGTGGCAAGTTCTGCTGAACTTTTCCAACTTTATCTGAGTAGGAACTGAGGTAGGCTGCAATGTCAGCTTGCAGGTTCTTTCTGTCTGTGCCTGAATAAACAAAGAGTATCCCTGAGTCACAACATTAATATTCACAATAACAACACAACACAGAAGCCCACTGGTTACACAGGCTATCTAAAGCACATGCTTGGCCCTTTATGCTGTTAGAAGACAGACTGAACTCTTTATATTCACTTAGCATGTTTGCACTAATGAATAAGTATATGGCAATGAAGAGGAAATAGTGAGAATGCATAAACCTTATAAGAGCATACTACAGAGAAACATGACATGAGCTCCTCAGGTCTTTCATGCTGTATAGTGTCACTTAGTTAAAAGCATAGACTGTATATAGAATGGACACGGTTTGCCTCCTCACTGGGTGAAGCCACCACAAGAACAGCACCCTCTGGTGACAGGCTGCAGTATAAATCATAAATCCCGCTTCCTCCAGCCATCCTTATGGAGCTGTGGACAAACTTTAAACATTTATTACACATAATGTAAATTTTTCTCCCCCCCTGCTTGCGATGTTGACATGTAGTTACTGTAAGACTGGTTTGTGTTCAAGTCCTCTTAATTCTATACAGCTCCATTTTTAAAAGTTATTGGGTGGGGGTGGGGGGGGGGGGGGGCGTTCATGTTTTCTATAATTGACACTTGATACAGCCTATGAGCATACAAAAATTGCGTAGTTCATCGGGGGATATGCTATTTAAGCAGAGCGTCATCACAGTGACTCTCTTGCCGAATGTGTACAACACTACCACACAAGGGGTGGTTCCAGGAAGTGGAGAAAATCCCGGAAATATTGAGAGCAGAGCGGACAGAAGGCAGAGCCAAGTTGTCTGTAGTATATGCAGTCCGTGGTTAAAAGTTTGAGCAGAACAGGAAGGTCTGGATGTTGCAAGTAATGAAAATGTTATGATAAGATTCTCTCTCTCTGGTGTGCTTGACTACCCCTATAAGGAGGATTTTGGGAAAGCAAGCTATTGTTCTGTTACACACACACACACACACACACACACACACACACACACACACACACACACACACACACACACACAAACACCCCACTTCTCACCTCCATGCTGAGAGATGGAGTGGAAGAGACAGAGGAGGAGATTCCTCTCACTATTTATAGACGCTGCCCTGATTTCCCCACCTGCTATAAATAAACTCACCTACACTGAATTTATTCACAGCTGCGTGTCTGGTGCTTGTAAGCTGCCTGGAAGGGAGAGAGATGCCTCTTTTTTGAAGGACAGCATGAAGAATGAGACTGTGGATGACATACACCAAATGGTCCCAGATCAAGAGTCAAACTTGTAATCCTAAAAGAGGGCCCAGCCTAAGTATGAGCTAGACGTCACCTCATGCCATCCTTTTTTAATGGCAGCATAGAATGGTGAGGTGGTCAATGGTCAGCTTTTAATGCTGCTGAGAATCTAGCCTGAGGCTCTCATCGGGAAGACAGGGAGGGGAAGATTTTGACAGGAAATGAGGATTTTTTTTATTGCAGGAGAGGGTTTTTCAGCACTTACAACACACACACACCCGCACACTCAAAGAGACACACAAATTTCTAGTTAATTTATTATTCATATGGCATTTACAATATTAATCGGAGGATGTGTGCTCATTTCAATTTAATTGGCCCTTTTAAAATTGATTGTGTGTGTGTGTGTGTGTGTGTGTGTGTGTGTGTGTGTGTGTGTGTGTGTGTGTGTGTGTGTGTGTGTGTGTGTGTGTGTGCGTGTGTGTACGTGCGTGCACGTCTTCATCACCAAGTGGTTCTTGTGATGAATGTTTCCACATTGCTGCCTTCAGTCAGATCTCCCCACTGGCAGCAGCAACCTCTCGGTGCCTCGTCTCTCTCAGAGGCGAAGCTTTGATCTGCAGGAAACCGACACTTCTGCTCATTTTCTGCAGTTTCCATTCAGACAGTTCGTCACTTGTCCTGTCTGTGAACTGACTGACTGCATGTAAGAGGCTAATATTTAGCATAAGTATTCACTCTTGTTAAAAATGTAGCATCACTGCAGTTATAAATCTGTCTGTTGTCTGTTCAAACATCTCCTAGAAGACAAATAGAGCCCCCTTTGGAAAAGCTGTCAGAATCAGTCATGTGGGCACTGAAGGCCTTGTGAGCAAAAACTGCTTAAAAGAAACTGGTAGAGTAGTTTAGCTGCATTCAAAGCAAAAGCAAATCAAACATATGCCCCATGGTACTATGTATTAATATTTTGCCACTCAGAGTGTCTGTTATTATAGAAACCTAGTAAGGCAGTCTGTACTCTAGAGTCTTACATAAACAACATAATAGCTTCTGAAAAAATCTGTGTTATTCAAAGTCCCACTCCAGTTGTTTTTGTTTTTACTACTTGAAGTGTTATCAGTGGTCTTTAAACTGTGATTTTGAAGTTTTTAGCCAAAACCACGTTAACTGTGTCGTTTTCAAGGGCTTTTCTTAAGCAATTTGCCTCTGAGTCGTGGGCAGAGACAGCGCTGCTCTGCAAACTCCTCTTCGATTTAGCATGTAGCCCAAAATTGCCGGTGTACTAGAAGAAACCAGTAACATAGGAGCTAATCAGCTCTCTGACACTATTGTCTTTATGTACATGATGAAAGCTAACATCATGATTAGATTCCTTATGAGCATTTTAATCCGCTAACGGACACGCTTGTTCCGCGATCGTCCTCTCTATTTCTCCAAGCCTGGTCTACATAGTGGGGCTCTGGGGGCGGAGCTTGGATTGGTTACATAGGAAATCTCACTGTTCCTGAACCTGCCATTTGGGTCTGCCAGAGATTCACAGCGATTTGAATGCACAAATACTGAGAAATGCAATTCTGGACTTCTTTTTCTCATATGTCCTGTAGCATCAGAATAATGCCATATGAGCATGTAGACAACAAGAAAAACATGATTTTCATCGGAGTGGGTCTTTAAGTTTAACAGTTAGATTTATGCTCAAATACTTCTTTTCGGAGAAATCTGTTTTAAGTGTTTAATTGTTTACATCAAAGGGGTGAAACCTTCTGGTTTGACAGCTTTGTTGACAAATGCAATAAGCTTCTTTACCTGATCAGCAGAGTAAAGAACTGCAATAACCACGAGGCTTTGTTTCAATCCTGCAAATATCGCCTTTGTTGCTGCTGACTGAACTTTCTTGAGGGATCTTTGTTGTTTTAACAGTGGGTTATTTGTGTGTTTTGAATAACAGAGGGGCTTTGAAAATCGGTGCTGTTTCACTTGTTGATCATTAGGCACAGTTGCACGAGGGCCCCAAATGATGTCACTAATACAAGGTGCCAACATTGTTTTGGCATCACTTTCTTTATTAAGTGGAGCTGGAGACAAATCCATCTGTACTGAGAGTAAGAACTGCCCAGTGAATCATGATACAATACAATGTTTGGCTCACAATAACAATAGTATCATGATACAGTGAGATAGCTGATATGTGGCCAAACAAGCATTTATTTATACATCATGATATCTAATTGACAGAGGAATACAAAAATGCCCCCAAAAGGCAAAGTGCAAGATTAATGTGTCTATTTGAGTACAGTATACAGTTGTATTTACAGTGATGTCAGGAACTGTAGACAGACCTTTCAGTCAGCTTCATTCTTCTGTAACCCGCAGTGACAATTCTGCTGAATGAGCATTACTGTGAGTCTTGTCCATCACACTAGATTGAAGCAAATAGGAACACATTTGCCACTCATTGTCAGTGAAATTGCGAATAATGATCATCGACCCATCGTCAATGAGTGCAACTCCTTATGTAGACCGGAGTGTATCCACCACCTTTGCTCTCATCTCAAAGTAAGGACTCATTTTTGTTTTCCTTTCTTCTTTTTAGTTTTAGAGACTGCTTTAGCTTTGCTTAGCCTTAGTCCACCACAGTCTGAAATCCTGCTGTCTTCCTCTGGTAAAATGCTGTCATCAACATCTTTTTAGGCTGACAGGCCACTCTTTATGTCCCCCTCATTCATGTCCTATATTCAGCACTGTGAGGAGTCATTACGTAATAACAATATGAGTCAAATTGTTAAGGTAATTACAGTTCTGTATTTTTTAAATTTGATTGTTATGTAATTATTGTACAAGTCAGGACAATGACCTATAGACATATCTATATTTTGTCTAATCCTTAACTTTACACGAGCATACACTCAGTGGTCTTTACAACACTTAATATAGCAACTCTTATTATTATCAACATAAAACAATTAAACCACTGACTCATAAGATAAAAGAAAAAAAAACTAATCTGTTTTATCCAAAATTACTTTAATAACAGCCTCATTTCTCTGTCTAACGTGCTCCAGGTCATTCACTGATAAATCACATTATCATTGCTACACTCTATGTTCACACACACACACACGCACGCACGCACGCACGCACGCACGCACGCACGCACGCACGCACGCACACACACACACAGAAACGCACATTCTGGATTTCCTTTTGGCTATTTATAGAAGCTCAGCTTGCTTTTACAGCTACTAATAATAAACAGTTGGTTGTGTGTGTGTGTGTGTGTGTGTGTGCGTGTGTTACCTGTGCTGAGCTGTTTCCACACAGACAGATGGCAGTTTATCCCAAGGTCATGGTCACAGACAGTGTAGAGATGTAGGAAGTAAACGCTGTCAGGAGGGAAAATGAAAACATTAAAACAAATGTAAGAAAACGAGGAACAAAAATCAGGAAACAAAACAAGAGAAGAAGGTTTAGTTTGAAGCCTCAGACAGGAGAGGAGGAGGAGGAGGTGGAAAGAGACTTCTATGGCAAAGGACTGGAGGTTTTTGGAGGTGTATGATGAGCTAAGATGTAGAAGGAATCAGCAAAGCGTCATGGCAACACTCCCTGTGAATACAGCTTCTGGTTTCTTGTCAATTAATAGGTTTTAATGACATATAAAGATTAATCTAGCTGTGTGGTTCTCTGACTGTAATTCTTAAATCAGCTAGACTGCGGCTTAGTTTTTGGTTACAGGCACTGACTTCTTTAACATTTCAGGGTCATTTATGTATAATATAAAAATTACAAGGTGCAGGAAATCATTAAGTTCTTTTTGTTTTAAAACAGAAAATTTAGAGAAAAGGAAATTAAATTCCATTCATTTGATGAGTATACTGCATATTCAATGGATGACTGCTAAGATCATCAAACACACACCTACACTCACCAACCTGCTTTCCTATGTGACCCTTTACTGCATATGTGGATAAGTGATTAAGCATCCAAGGTTAAAGCTTTTTCACAATTCATTTGCAGGTGGAGATGAAGCATTACAGTGTGCATGTGTGTGCGTGTGTCCTTCTTTCATAATGGTTTTCCATGCAGTGTCTCCATTATTCTCCACTCTTTCACTCTCCCTCCCACACAGGTATGACTTTACATTGAATCTCTTTCTGCACATATTTTATTTCAGACCAGCAGAGACCTTAAAAGGTTTCTCTCTGCTTGTGCTTGGTTTAATAGATGTAATAGCATGCTGCCTGAATATATTCTCTTAAAAAGGTCACTGACTCAAAGACCTGCTGTCACCCCCCTCTCCACTCTGTCTCTTGTCAATGCTGCTCCTAACAAAGATTTGTTATTAGTATTTGTGAAAATATTGAATATACAAAGGCTTTACTTTTTCTTTTATATGTTTTTACTTTATTGCTTTGGTGAGCTGGTCACAAGCTCAAATAGGCAATAACATACTTTAGTAAAACCACCAAAGCAAGTGTGTTCTGGATTACAAAATTGTACTTTTAGGCCCACTAATAGAGGGCTTTAAAAATACCATAACATTGTTTTATTTTAAATATTAAATGATTAGCCAATAGTCATAAGGGATTATTTATTATTTTGGCTGCCTTGCCATCGATGGTGATAGAGGAGACACAGGGTTACAACACTGGCCACTCAAACTGGAGTAAGAATAAGGTCTAATACCAACATTAACTAAAGACTTTCAATTAGGGGTCTTGTGGTAACAGACAATAGTACCGTTGTGTTAACAGTGAGAATATGGAGTATAACGATAACTAGTTGTATTATGGACCTTATTCCCACGATGGCCATCTTCTTGTGACATCAAGCTCAGGGTTGGAAACTTAAATATTATCATGTTAGCACTGTGTTCCACATAATATTTTATATAAACCTTTATAAAACCTGCCAAATACTGTATGGTTTTTAAACTTGAAATATGACATCATCTCTTACCTGATTTTGATGTCTCGCTGTCTTTGTCGCTGCAGGGCTGTGAAATGACCACAGCTTGTTTGGTGACCAAGGTTAGGGTTTAACTTATAACCTGAAACACAGAAATGAGACACGTTGTTACCCAGAGTCAGGTGAAAACAGGTAATAATGCAGGGTAATGCATGGTAGCTTTGTGTTAGGGTCTAATTTTTACCAGTTAAATACATAAATCATCCAAGATGCAGAGTGTATATAAGGACATAAGAAGATCTGGGTTCAAGTGCGTGTGCTTGTGTGTATTTGTGTGTTGTGATGTTTGACCTTGACTCCACAGTTGTCGTGCTCAATCCTCAGCTTCTCTACCCTTGGCAATTTGGTTGTCATGGCAACCACAGCAGCTAGCAGGCTCATTGGCTGACAGGTTGAGGAGGAGAGTCGATGTCGAAGGGTTGTGTGAGAGTGTTTGGTGGGAGTGTGTGTGTGTGTGTGTGTGTGTGTGTGTGTGTGTGTTCACAACACAGACAGCCTCCCTGAGATCAATGGAGGCTTGGCGGCTGATGCACCTGTGCTATTTCTGTTCAGTTTGATTCATCTGTTTTTCAAACACAGTGTCTCCGTGTTTTACACCTTGCTGCTGGGGACAATGACCTTTTCTGACACCAAACAATAACACCTGCACATACACACACACATGCACACAAACTACTCTTACCTGCAACTTTTTTTTTCTCTTCTCACTCAACTATCTCTCTCTGTCACCTAGACTCATGCAGTAATAGAGCAGAATATAAACAGCTGTTAATGTCACATCTGGCCCTTTTTTAGGAAAGAGGAAGATGAGGCAAGGTCACACACACACACACACACACACACACACACACACACACACACACACACACACACACACACACACACACACACAGTGTCAGGGATCATTACACCATCAATAGAGAGAAGAGGAGACTGCATCCGTGTGTGTGTGTGTGTGTGTGTGTGTGTGTGTGTGTGTGTGTGTGTGTGTGTGTGTGTGTCGATAATGATGCCATTAAGCTGTGAGTGTATTTATAGCAGGCTCTTTGTAAAGGAGAACACACACTGACCCTCTGAGAGATGGAGAGGGGGGAGACTACAGATTTATAAAAAGTGTATTTTTGGAATTAAAAGAAGATTTAAAAGGTTTAGCATGTTAGGGTTAGGGTTTTCTATGATACTGCAGTATCATAGAAAACTACTCAAAACAACTATTTGCACTTGTTTTTAAAACCCTTTAAAATAAATTAAAAAACTTAAAAAAATTAATAAGGAGTGATGATTAATTCTCCTTTACATGTTTTTGTAAAATAGATTAAAAACATCAGCAGCTGCTCTGTAAAAATACAGACAACAAAATCCCAAACAGCCCAATATCATATGGTATACCCTAAAAAATAAATGATGAGTTCGATTAAAACAGCGAAAAAACAAGATTGGTAGGTCAAACTGTGCTAAAAGACCCATGAGTGTCCTCTGACAGGATATTTGAAACAGGCAGTGTAAGGCCAGTCTGATAGGCAGCTTCAACTCTAGTGGCTTAATCTGCTTTGAGCATAAAACTTGATCTTGGGACAACCAGAAGCAGCTGGTCTGCAAATCTGAGGTCATAAAAGGTCAGAATGAATAGCCAAAGTTTGTCCAATAAATGTTTAGAAGGCAGACAGTCTTAAAATTACTCCTTTAAACAAAGAAAACCTAGAGAGATTTATGTATATGGAAAATATTTTCTAGGTTGTCTTGTTTTAAGAAATAGGATATATACAGTAATCATGTTGTAAATGTTTGGTTTGAAAATGTGTGCTTTGAAACCTTATGTGGGGCATTTTAGCTGTCATAATTATTTGAAATTGAAAAATTAAACCATACCATAATATTTATGTGATTTTACAAAAAGAGGGAATTTTAAAACACAACCGTTGCTCTCAAATTACACGTGTTGATTTTGCTCTCTCTCAAAACCTTAACCACCATAGCTTGTTGGACTTTTGACCTGACGACTGAAATGCACCAATCAGAAAAGGACGTGTAAAGAATATCTGTTATCTTCATGCTTTTTTTTCCTCTCTGTTTCTTCTCCTATCACCCCCCCCCCCCCCTTCCCCCAGTTTGGCGTTGCACCCCGAGCGCTCTCTGGTGGCAACTGGTCAGGTAGGGAAGGATCCCTATGTGTGTGTGTGGGACTCCTTCACTGCGCAGACCGTCTCTCTCCTCCGTGATGGACACACACATGGCATCGCCTGCTTGGCATTTAGCTCTGACGGACAGGTGACACACACACACACACACACACACACACACACACACACACACACACACACACACACACACACACACACACACACACAGTTTAAAGTTTAATGGTGGATATTGTGATTCAACCAGCAGACTTGGTTGGCTGTATGTGTCTAACAGATGGTTTTTGTCATTAAAGGACAGTCGTTTATCAACTTAAAGGTCATGGAGGAAGAATAGTGTTTTGAGCACACAAACACACACACACTCACGCTGAAAAGGTGGAGAAGAATAATGGGAAAGGACAAGTGTAACAATAGTGATGATGACTGTTAGTCATGAATTGGCACAAAGCACAAAGGAAACCCTGAAAACTTGACCCGGTAAATGTTAAATATAGTGGTGGAGAGCTGAGAACAGAATCCCAAGTACTACACTGATTTGTACCTTAGAGGTACTTGCACATTAATCCATTGTAACATGTTACATACCTTTTACTTTTACTACATTACTGTTGGTCATAACTGCCTTTTTGTTCAGTTGTAGGTACTGCAGTTTAGCAGTTTAGAAACTGCTGTTCAAAGCGAACCCCATGATAATTCTTACCAATCCTGTATAAATTAATCTTGAATCAAAGCTATGTTTTCATAAATGATAAATATTTGTTTTTAAAGGTCCAGTGGACTGGGTAGAAATGGAATATGTTATTCCCAAGTATATAATCACCCCAGTATGAAATATTGTTTTGAGTTTGATTGTTTTATTTATACATAGAAGTGGGCTCCCTTCTCTTGCACTGTCCTAGTTCTGCAGTAACACTGAATAGACAACTCAATTCAAAAAAACTTTATCTATCCAATAGGGACTGCATTTGTGTAAAAGCACCAGTGCAAACACAACACAAAGCTAGACAGGCATCTGACAAAAGGCAGACAAAGGAAACAGGTCAAAAAGTCAGGGGTAAGACTGAGTTCAACTGAAAATATTCATGAATAAATATATCAGTAAGTATGTAAGCTAGTAAGTAACAGCACTGGAAGTGGGGTCAGGTATAGGCCCATGAACACTGGACCCATGAATTGCAACAGTCTCCTCAGTTAGGGTTTAACACATAACACATCAAAACATAAAACTGCATTAAAACATTCTCAAAGTTCAAACATAACAACACCAATAATAATAATTACATGGTAAATATCTTAAACAAAAAGCTTTACAAATCAGGAAGTCAGCCCAACAAAAAAGAACATGAAATATTGTTGGTCAATGTCAGAAATTGTAAGCATAGGAAACGACAGGAAATGAGTTTTGGATTAGAACTGTTTTTTTGTCACCAAGAGCTAATGTGGTTTGCAACCAAAGTCCACACAAGCTAAACACATCATAAATACACAGAAACAAACTGTAAATATAAAAAATAAAAACTCCTTTAGGTGTCATCATAATAGAGATGCAGCAAAATATGAGATAATAAGTCCAACAGTCTACGCAATAACAATAATCCTTACAGCTTGTTAAACTTCTGCGACAGCAGCTACAGCTGTGGATGGAACAAATTACCTTGAGATCATTTCAACAGATAAAAACAATATGCACTACACTCTCAAGTACTTGGCTTTGTGCTATAATTGGTAAGCTCTATAAATTACTATGTTCTGATTGTTTATTTGGCATTAATTTGTCAAAGAAGTCAGTTTTTTTTTCAACTTTTACTCATTTTTCTGTTTTTAAATTTTGTGTTTTCTTATGACTGTAATGAGAAAAAGGACTGTTTAAAAAGCAGGAAACCAGAATTGCACAGGAAAGACCCACAAGTAGAATAGTGGGTCACCTCAAGGACCCCAGCTTCATGGGTTATGCAACCCAACTTGCTAAGTGTAAAGGCATAAAGCATTTAAAAGAAGAATGTTCACAGAAACACTTATGCTTTGTCATTGTATTTTGCTTAGTCAGCTCAACACTTGTGATGCCCTGTTGTTCATGGTCCAAACCTCTGGCTCGTATTTCCTGCTGACTGCCAGCTTTGATTTAATTTAAAAATGACCAGCAGGTGAAAAGTGAGGAGAAGCACTCTGTGTGTGGCTGCATGTTGTTACCTGTCTCAGCAACTTACTTGTCAGCCGTTGTTGAGTATCCTCGAATGTTACTGAAAAATACATGCTGAAACAAAGTGTTGCTATTCTCAGCTTTCCATTTGAAACATCTCTCTTACCAAAGAGCTGAGATAAAAAGATGAGCTGAATGTGATCACACTGGAAACACTTTTAAATAAACCAGAAGCAACAGGAAATGCATTGAGTTTGGTTTATCTATGATTCAGTCATAGACAAATGAATTAAAAAGAGCCGTAGCAGTATGACCGTGAATGATCCCGACTGATGTTTCAGCACTTTTTGCTTCTGGCTGAGGATTGGGTCACAATGACTTAACACCCCCGGAGTAAATCAAAGTAAACACAGAATCAATAAAATAATCATAAATCCACTTTAATAATAAATCAAGAACGCAGCCTTTCGGGGCAGATGATTTATTATGAAGCAGAACCAGAGAGTCTGACTTTTTCCTCTGATCCTGTTAGACTTTTTATTTATGCTACAGAGATGCTGTTCACATATTTTGAATTCTGAGCTGAAAATCTCTCTCAAAAAGTTCTGTTCCGTCTAACTTTGACTTCACGCCATGAAAGTTAAGCAGAACAGACTGTTACCTCGAACATTTTTCAGAATGACAAAACAGTTTTTGTATTCATCTAAAATCAGCAACAACAGGCTGTATTAGGTCGATATCTGCCAAAAGACCATGTGTGTCATATTTGATTGGAAATTCTCTTTTATGGGCTTGTGTAAGCTTAGATATTTTGAAATATGATGACATTACTTTAAGTCAGTGCTTGAAGTGGGAAAAAAATCTTTGTTTTTATGCATTAGATTTCTACAATCAGAATAAGACACAAAGGATAACACTGATTTCAAAGCATACATATATATTCTCTGCACCTCCGTGATCCTCTCCAACAGGCTGTATGAATTATAGTCAGCAGCTTTGGTGTGAGGTGCAACAAAGTCATCAGACTCTCTACTGCAGAGTGTCAGGCAAAAACAGACATAACAGCATGTGGCTGGGGATGGGAGGGCTTGAGGAGGAGGCTGATGCATCCAGGGACAGAGTGCAGCAGCGTGGCAGAGATTGGGCGGTAGCGCTGAAAGTTCAAGGAGGCAGTGAAAAGATGCAGGAAAGCTGAATTAATTGCAGATAAAACACAAAAAAAGCAGAAAAAGCCCAAACAATTGTAAATTCATGAGAGAGCTCTAAAAACTTTCCGAGATGCAACATCAGAAGTTGGAATAATCTGACACCGGAGAAGCCTCACATCATGGCTTGTATGCAGGTGGTGCACCAGTAATATGGTGCAGGTGAGGACAGTTCAGGAGGGAGCCACCCAGTCTCTGTGAGGAAGAGAGAGACAGACTCCACAGAAAAAAACAACTCCAGACATGCCAACAAAAAGCAAAAATATGTTATCACTACAGTAATACGAGCTAAAATGTTATTTATTTACATCAACAACAAAAACTTTTGCTTTTAACAAATCTGCAAGCATTCATTATCAAGATATCTTATTTGTTTCCAGACTTATTGGCATTTAATAGAAATTTAAAAATCTCTTTTCCTCCTCTCCTCCCCTCCTCTCCTCTTCTCTGAAGCGATTGGCCTCAGTTGGCTTGGATGCCAAGAACACCGTGTGTATCTGGGAGTGGAAGATAGGGAAAATCCTGGCCACAGCTGCTGGACACTCAGACAGGGTATTGGAGAGAGAGAGAGAGAGAGAGAGAGAGAGAGAGAGAGAGAGTGTGTGTGTGTGCGCGCTCATCAGACTTGCATGCTAACATCTCTCCCTCCTTCCAGATCTTTGACATCTGCTGGGATTCGTTTCAGCAGAACCGTTTGGTGAGCTGTGGAGTCAAACATATCAAGGTAGTACACACACACACACACACACACACACACACACACACACACACACACACACACACACACACACACACACACACACACACACACACACACACACACACACACACACAGTAGGAATCATCGGTTCTCATGATGCCTTTAATATAAAAAACAATTTAATGTTCCATGTAAGAATGAAATGGTCCAGAATAAGTAGTACAGCTTCATAATAAAAGCACACAGGGAACCATTAATTATCCACCATTTATGAGCTTGGTGGTTTGAAGATGCGTGTTGGCGGTGAAAGTGTGCATAATCAGAGGTAAAAGAAATTACTGATTCCTTACTAACAACCTCACAGCGTGTCTAAATTATGAAGTCAATGTCTCAACTAATTACAAGTATATATTTCAGTGAAAATGCTTTTACTACAGTGAAAAGTTTTCAGTGTTTTTTCATGATTATATTTGATGTTTTTGAAGTTAAGTAACACTAATGCATCATGTTACACATTTTTGTTGTGTCACTGTCCTCTGAGAAGTCCACTCTTCATGAGCCTCAGGAAAAGTGCAGTTTTCAGTTTTGCAATGGTGCATTTTCCAGCTAATCCGAGAAGCACTTTGTCTTTGAGAACGATTTATGTGATCACCATAAATTCTTAGCACCACATCACATGGCTGCAGCATAAAATGTGACAAAACAAAATATTGGCACTGAAGAACAACAATGGGAATGAAAAGTCGCTGAGATTAACAAATCCTTTTCAAAGTCAAATGTGATGTAGTGCAGAGAGCAATAGAGGCTGTTCTGAGCACTGAACCAGAGTGAGTCATGGGTTTGAAAACCGCTGGATCTACAGTCAGCACCGTGATTCCCATGTGAAAGTGACATTGTCTTTTCATCTCATAATGTCAAGTAACTTATGTTTTGAATTACTTTACTGACCTGAAAACTTATAAATAACAATCCCCAAACCAAACTGACATGGACCAGCTGCTGTAGAAGCAGGTCCACTTTGTACAAACACTGTGTCCAAGATGCTAACAAGTAATTGTGTTTGATCCGGTTGAAAAGTTTATATGTTTGACAGAAATGGGAAAATATGTCATAAAAACTTTTTTTTTTTAAATTGTTCGGTTCATGACCAAGATTCATAAATGATCTATCATACAACATCTATAAAAAACAGTCCTACATTTCTTGGAAGAAGATGAAAAAAAGGATCGACTGAATAAGCAGGAAGTTATCTACTTCAATTAGGTCAGCCCCTTAGTATCTGTCTATTTATATCTTTAGTATTTATTCATGGGAGCATCCCATTTAAAAAAAGTATATATTGTCCAATGTATCAGCCTGTTAGAAACCATAAATAGCATTATATAATATGGGGGCAGGACTAGATAAGCTCTAAAATTCATTCTTTTCCTTCTCAAACTGTTTATTTTTGACGTACAGTACATGTTAGTGTAAATTTATCTCTGACATGTACAGTTGTTTGGTGTACATATGTATTATTTTGTTTGGTGTTTTTGATTCTAGTTGCTTTTTTTCTTGTTCTTAAAGCTTGAGATAAATAAAAAAGAAAGAAAGAAAGAAAGAAAGAAATGAGGAAAGAAAGAATAAACCTGATGCATCTGCACTGAACATGAACGTCTCATTTCTTCAGATAAAGGGATCTGAAGTATTTCCTCCTCTGTGTCTGAAAAAGTCTTGTGTGTGTCCCCTCTCTTTATCCATAGTTCTGGTCTCTGTGTGGGAACGCTCTCACTCCAAAGCGGGGGATTTTTGGGAAAACAGGCGACCTGCAGACGATCCTGTGCGTTGCATCCGCTAAAGATGACATAACCTACTCTGGGGCACTCAACGGGGACATTTATGTGTGGAAGGGACTTAACCTGATAAGAACTATTCAGGCAGCACATGGGGTGAGTCTCATACCTGCTCAATAGTAATACAAGAATAACAATATTTAGCTAACAGCACCTAAATGTCTGATTTCTACTGCTGTGTAATTTTTTAGTGGTGCAACTCAAGAAGTGCTGATGCCTGAATCAACATTCTCACACTCATTGCTCATCTAATTATATCAACACAGTACAGTGGCACAGCCGTGAACTTAGCGGAAAAAAAAAGCTTTCTTGTAGATATTTATGGAGATCTATGATCATACATTTCTTCTGTGTATGTGTTTGCTTATGTGTGAATGTAGGCAGGAATCTTCAGCATGTATCCCTGCGAGGAGGGTTTTGCCACAGGAGGCAGAGATGGCTGTGTCCGACTGTGGGACGTCGACTTCAAACCAATTACTAAGATTGACCTGCGAGAAGCTGAGCAGGGATACAAAGGTACAAAACAAACCCTTGAAAAAACATCAAGTTGGTACATTCATTGTTTGAAAAAGGTGGATCTAATGTAGATCTGCAGCATTGCTCAGGTAGAATCATAGACTGTATATAGAATAGACGCCATCTGCCTCCTCGAATACCGCCTCCTCCAGCAATCCCTATGGGACTGTGGACAAACTATAGAAATTTATTACACAGAATAAACATTTTTCTCCCCCCTGCTTGCGATGTTGACATGTAATTATTATAAGACTGGTTTGTGCTCAAGTCCTCTTTTTTCTGTACAGCTCAGTTTTTTTAAGTTTTTAGGGGGTTCATATTTTCTATGATTGACACTTGATACAGCCCTTGGCATATGTCATCACAGCGACTCTCTGCAGCTCTCCCACCGAATGCGTACAATGCTACTGCACAAGTGGTGGAGTGCATACAACGCTACTGCGCAATGTTGGTTTGAGGAAGTGGAGAAAAAACACAGAAATACAGAGAGCTTTTCGGCTTTAAATGTGTATACAGGCAGAAGGTGGAACCAAGTTGTCCATAGTATATACAGTCTATGGTAGAATCCCACTAAGCCACAATAGCATATATTGACATGACATTTGCTATGAATGGTAGCATTTAAATTAAAGTACAAGTACAAGACTATTTTCATGTTACGTATGACTTTACAACAAAGTTATCTAAGTGCCAGTGCTTGTAGCTTCTCCACTAGCTTTGATCATTGACTTGCTATGTGAGTAATAAAACTATGTCTGCTGTTTCAAACCCTAAAATGATTTGTAAGCAGTTGTTATTGTCACTGCCATTACAAAGCCTCAGTCACACCTACTGACAGGCCTGGAGTTGCATAATCATCTGTTATCACAGATGTGCAGCATGACGCTTCCTTCTTCTTCTTCATGGTTACTGGGGTTAAACTTAGTTAGCACTACACAAATAACTGTTCTTTTTATTACTTACACCACAACTACACTATAAACCTGACCGGCTGAAGAAATTCAGGCAGCATTTGGATGATATATTGAAGCTACAGAGACCAATCTTATTATCATATGTCATTTGCAAGCTTTATAAGCAAGGAATAATGTAGAGTGAATGTGTGGTTCAGAAAATTATAATCTATCAAGGAGAGCAGAATCAAATATTTCACACAGCTTGGCCAATAAAGATTTAAATTTCAATCCCTATATCATGTCCTCTTTACTTGTAAACCAATACTCAAACTGTTATTGAGCAATCTCAGACCTATCAGACAAGGATATCGCTTCTGGGAGTTTCTGCTAGAGGCTATTTTTTTATGAAACCTCAATTAATGAAAATATGGATGAAGACTTTCTTTTAGGCCTTTCTGCTTCACTGTTTACAGATGGGCGAGGACCATAAGCCCTGAAAATGGACTCCAGCTGGATTGTTAGCAGAATTTATCTGCAGATGTCTGTTAATAGAAACGGGATAAATGAGGAGATAACTCTTTGTCAGATGACTGCTGATTGGATCCAGGATTGCGCAGCCAAGATGCTTCACTTTTTTGATCTCTCTGCTGACTAAATTGCTGCAGTCAAAGCGTGATAAAATGCCAAGGAAAAAAGCAGTGAGACTTTAAATCAGAGAACATCAGACACCGGCCACCCTGACCCTCGCAAACAGACTCTGTTTTCTTTTGTGTAATTCATGTGCAAAGATTGAACATCCAAACACAAGTAGAGGTGGAGGTAGAGAGTTCAATACCATAAACTGCGTGACAAGCAGACCTTGACTTGAAAATACTTAAACTCTCTATTGAAATTATTCTTCTTTCATGCTCTATTGCAAAGATTCTGAGCTTAAATGATAATAAAAACAGGGTAAAAAGTAATTTTCAAACCAAACACTCTTATCTTGCTGAAGGTTATGACGCCTGAATCTTTTCTCCCTTTGACAAAACGCGGAGGAGCTGAAGATGTGAGTCCTTCACCTCCCTTCCAGTCACTCTTTCTTTATAAAGATTTTGATTGTCATCTCCTGTCTTTAGCTGCAGATAAGATGACCTGATTCACCCTCTCTAACTTGTCTGAAAGTGTTTGAGGAAAAGTTTTCAGCAGAGGAGTAAAAGTTTTAACAGGAGAGCAGGTATGACCTGATTTTGGGAGAACCCAGAGGTGGTGAATGTTTGAACCTCGCTCCTCATTTTCTCTCCTAAATGCCATCACCCAGCTGGAGGTGGAGATGATGTATGTCTTTCCGAAAAGCTGCGGGGGGAGAACCATTTAGCCCCTGGCCTCCTTTTTTAAATGTCTTCTTTCTGAAAATGTACCAGGAGAAAGTTAGTGAAGAGAAGACCCAGTCACAGTTGGAAATGGCCTCATTTTGGCAAAGTTTGGAGAAGTTAGGTGGTCAGGTCTTTGATTTCTCCCAGAGAGCTTTAGAGAAAGTCTCAAAAGTTTAGGAGATGACTTACTCTGTGCCAATCAGGAAGGAAGTAAGAACAGATAAGACGGAGGGAGTGAAGGTTTGATCCACAACTTTGGTCCAGACTGAATTTCAATGAATTCAGTGAATTTTAATGAAATTTTGTACTTCCTTGATTCTTTTTTGGCAACAGATAAAGAGCTTGCTTTAAGTTTGCTGGACTCTGAAATGGAAACAGCAAATCTCAAACTGATACTGACCTGAAAAGCGCTATGACAAGTGTAATTATAGGGATTTTGAGCACAATTTACCAGACTGATGGCAAACCCAAAGATTTCTTTTTCACAAAGCATAATGTCTCAATGGATCAGTAACATTAGGGTGTTTTATCCACAAGAGTGTCTCCTGAGAACTTTTTTTTTTCTTTCTGCATTTGCACCATCATGGTGATGGCTAAGATGAACCTCAAAGTGACCAAAGCCTGCTGGTCTGCCCTCTAAAAGGCTCTCCTCAGCAGACTGTGGAGGACAGTCGCCTCAAAAAACCTGACCGCTGAATCCATCATTATCTCTGGCTAGAAAGTTTTTCTGTCAGATCCACTTTAGTTGTTGTTGTCTTTCACTTTTTTATGATCGTCCTCCCTCACCTTCTCACAGCACAGTTTGCTGTATGGTGGATACTCAGTGTAGCTCCTGGCGATGAAGTTCTTGGACAGATTTTAGAATTATGCTTTGCAGAGGGAGAGAGGGACAAGAAAAAAAGGGAAGCAGAGGAAGAAGTAAAAGGTGAAGAATGAGAAGGAATACAAGAAGAACAATATTTCAATCAGGAGAGACATTTAAAGATTAGAAAATTTATTTGACCATCATTAGAATGATGCTTGACAGAAAGTCTTTAGCGTTCAGACTCAATGGGGTGATTTGTGAGATCGTAAGATGCCTGATCTGAGCGGCGGTAGGAAAATCCCCCAATGGAGCCCTGAAGCTGGTGGTGGTGGCGGCTGATGACTGCTGGGACTGGATGGATGAATGATGGCGCTGTTGATTCTGCTGAGATTGGGTGGAGATGGGGAGGAGGAGGGTGCTGCTCACAAACCAGCAGCGAGAAAGAACTAGAGGCAGAGAAGAAATTTGTTTTTAAAATGAGGGCAGAACGAGGGAAAGCTGACTGTGGGCATGTGCTGCCATGCTATTGGATAGGGATAGACACCGGTGAAGTGGCTGATTAACCAATGACTGCTCAGAGTGATGACATCAGGAAAAGTGAGTAGGCGTGGGAGTGGAAAAGACACTTACGCAGCTGTGACAGCAATTATAGTCTCCTTGACTGAACTTACACTGGATGTAAGTTCAGTCAAGATGAAAACAAAGATGTAGAGGAGTGAAGGAAAAGTTATGCAAGAGTTATAAAAGTAAAAACAGGTGAAGAGCAGAAAGAGAAATTGAATTAGTGCTACAAAAACTGTAAGAGGAGAAAGATAAACATGAAAACCCAATGACAGACACACTAATCATTTCTCTATCACTCTTTTCTGCCTTGGGTGACTCAGAACCATCTCATTAAGTTTCCCTCTCTTCTTCCCTCAGGCTGTTTTAAACACGTCTTAGATCACATATGAGAGATCCTGCAAAAACTCTTTTCACTTATCACCACTTTCCCCTCATAACTTCTCTGGTATCAGGGTTTGTTGGCTGGTGAACCTCCAGGGAGGAGTTTCTAACAAAGTTACAGGAAACATCACACTCTGATTCATGCCGTCAGCGACAGCAGGCGCTCTAAATGGTGGGAGCCGCAGAGCTGAACGGTCTGCTAATTAGATTTCAGACGGTGGAGAACAAGAGTGTGACGGAGGAGATTGGAGAAATGACGAAGGAGAAAAGAGTGTGTGCCTTCCTCCTGTCTTGACTCAGACTTAAAATCGAAGTGGGCCTTTTTCTTAATTGATGTTTGAAACTTGGATAATTTCGCAGAATTTTAATGTCAGTCATCACCTCTGAGACAGCCTCACAGATGGCTGCCGTGGTGTACTGGTGCTTGCTGTCATGTCTTGTTTTGTTCGACAGTTTTCCCTGCACATCCATACAGCTTGTAATTACACCCTTCCTGCATATTTTGGAGCATATTTTTTTAAACTCTAATTCTCTTGTTATTTTCATTTGAATCATCTTTATTCTCTCGCTCCCCTCACATTTTCTTCTCCCTCTTATTTTAGAACCTGTTAATTACTGTTAATTCTCGTTGCAGCCCCCGTGCTGTTTTCTCAAGATATGTCTTGTTTTTTTTTTAACAGCTGATCCAATCCTCCTCCTCTTCTTCTTCCTCGTTTAGGTCTGTCTATTCGTAGCGTCTGCTGGCGAGCTGACCGTATCCTGGCAGGAACGCAGGACAGTGAGATCTTTGAGGTGAGAAAAAGAAACTCGGGCCTCATGCTGCTTCTCCTGTGATGAGAAGTTTTCAAGAAGAGTTTCGTTTTGGTCTTCTGAACATTGACTCATCGTTGTCTTGCGCACAGTTAACCCTATCGCAGTTTGTTTTATGCTCCACCAAACAAGACTCAGACAAAAAGACAAAGATAACAGAGATGTCAGAAAGAGGACAGGAAAGGCAGAACAAGACCTGAACTTAAAGACCTCAAACACATCATCCTTTTTACAAAATCCAAAGAAACTTCCAAACTAGAGGTGAAACTTTTTCTTGTGCAAGGAGAGTACTTTTTCATTAATCACTTTCTCTAACATTTACTTTGGTGCCCACATGCTGCTAAGAGCTGGTTACTGAGTTTTCCTCTGTGGCCGATGTTTCTTCCTCATCATTCTCCCACTGTTTTATTATGTGTGGCAACCAGCATTAAGAATCATCCTCTACAATGAACCCATTAATTACGCAGCATTACCATATGCTTATTCTTAGCATATTGTCAGCATTTTATTTTTTTCTAAAAAGATTGCTGTCATCAATTCCGCCAAGGCTGCACCATACTGAATAAAACAAGGATGTAGTCTCAAGGCATCCCTCTTTGGTCTCTGAAGAGGAGTAGTGAAGCCTGACTCATAAGACCCAGACACAGACAAAGAGGTGGAAGCCAGGACGAGGTGCTCACCTGTTAGTGAAATGAGCCATGACCCTGATTATGTAAAACTCAAAGTCCCTTCATAATGGAGAAATTAGAGCAGAGTTCAGCCAGAGTGATGAGCCTCTGCAGGCTTTAGCTCTGCCTGTTTAGGCTGAACGCTGCCCTCATATTCATAAGGAGAGAAAGAAGATACCCATATCAACCCATCCAGATTCACTGACTTGTTTCAACTAACATCTTTAGTCTCTTTCTAAAACACTGTCAATGCTCTGTCATTTCTCTAAGTATATGTTATGACTCTTTATTATATCCATACCACTGTTGTAGGGCTGCACGATTAATCCATTTTACATTGTAATCAGATTATTTGCCTATGATGATGTTAAAAAAAAAAAAATTAAACTCGTGAATCGATTTTCCTCTCTATCATGTCTCGCAACTCCAAGCCACCATAGGCTCCCCCTTCCTGCAGGAGTGCTCCCCAATTCCCACACCCACCAGTGTGACTCAACATTGCGTTTGCAAAAGAAGGTGATAATTTCGTGGCTAAATAGGTCAAGAGCGTGTCAGTCGTGTGGAATTGGTACAGCTTCGCAGTTTCAAATGAAGAGCAAACCACTCCCCGCTGCAAAGTCTGTCTGAAGGCGGTATCAACCTGTCCACACGGAAACTTATTCAGGAGTAAACCAAAAAAGATTTTTATCGTATCGGTGTTTCATCCATGCAGGTACAAGAGTGCATGTAACTGTATACGACTACAATTTCATCTCCGTATAGATGTCTAACTGCATCACTCTTGAAACAGTTATGTGACACACAGCATAACTCTTTTATGCCGACTGCGCATGTCTGGCCGAAACAACCTTAATACACGCTCTGTACTCTTCTTTAGTCTTTTGTGCATTTCCTGTGCAGCGTTACAGCGCCTCATACTGGCTTGGCATATGCACTACATGGTTTTCAGTGGTTTCATTTTGAGAAATGATAGAAAAATTATCAAAGAGAAGTTTTGTGAAGTTGCCACTGAGTGAAAAAAAGGAAATCAAAAATCAAGTTTTCAGAGAAAAACATCGGGATTTTATTTTTGGCCAAAATCGTGCAGCCCTACACAGTAGTAAATGTAACCTGACAGTCACAGGTCAGACTTGATGTTAAAACTAGATTAAATTTGAATAAAAAGTACAATTATTTTTTCTGCTTTACATCAGACTAATGAACGCGTATCGCAGTATATTTGTTTGTTTTAGTCTATCTGAAGAAATATTGTTTTTTTACTTGTTGAATTACAAGTTACAGCTTCAAGCTCAGTTTAAATTGTGTCTTAAGGTGATGGTGAGGGACCGAGACAAGCCGCTGCTCATAATGCAGGGTCATAGCGAGGGTGAACTCTGGGCACTCGACGTTCACCCCAAAAAACCTCTGGCTGTCACCGGCAGCGACGATCGCTCAGTCAGGTAAGTGCAAGAGCAACAGTTTCTTTCTTTCTTTCTTTTCTTTTTTTTAACATAGATCACACATACTGGGAGTTGCTCAGTGTTAACACAGTCATGGGTGGTACCTGCTCCGCTGGAGGGTTCACAGGTTTATCTGTTTACTGTTTGTTCTGATCAGCAGCATCTGCTCACTGTTTTCTTTCAGCCCCTGCAGGAAGTTCCTCAGAGACCAATTATATATTATAAAACCATTATAACACACACAGTCAGCTGAATACACAGAGACACAGATGGTGGTAGAACAACAGCACTGAAGAATGAGGGGATGCAGTCATGGTTGGTGCACTCAAGGGAAAAGCTTCTCCAATGAGCTCCACTAACTATCATTCTCTTCCTGAGAGAGGGAGTTTGCACCTTTGTCAACAAAATAGAAATGGAAAGAGAAAAAGTCAAGTTGTTTATCCTATTTTTATGTTGGTTAAGCAACGCTAACCAACATGTAGAGAGACTCACATTGTTCTCCTCTTCTGGTCACTTCATGTAATAAATTAAGGAGTCATCACTCATTAAGACTCGTGTTCTCAACAGTAATCCCCTGTTTTATTTATATGTATGGTTTTTAGTTAATGAGGGCAGACTTTCTATGTAGAATAAGATTTTCTCTGCTCAGTAAATGATGCTGAAATCACCTTTACGACAACCAAGAACCTCTGAGGCTGAGGAGACTTCATTATCCAGACTTCAGTGCGATTAGTGTTGTGTGTCTGCTGCAGCTTGAGACTCGGGACTCTCCTGTCTTGCTCTCAAACCTTAAAGATCTTGATTCACTGTAAAGGATGAAGAGCCTTTGTGAATCAGGTCCCATTTAGAGCCACATGAGCCCTGTATGAATGGAGACTGTCCATCAAAGTGTAGGCAGCTCCAGCAGGACAACACAGGACTGTCAAGTGTAGATTGGACATAACTCTCACTGTTTGATTAAATAAAGTAGTGTAATATCCCTGACTGATTGTTTAGTTTGTTGTTTACTTTAAAATCGCTGCACAAGTATAAATCAGCTCCAGCTTAGTTAACTTTAATTATAATTTTGTATTATAAATCCAGTGCCGTATTTTAATGGCTCTAAAAAGACAAATCAGATCTGCTTCAGCTGTTCTTTGAATAACACACGCAGTCTATGTGACACGGCAGAAAAGAGGGCAGATGCTTTACAAACAAAGTTGTGGGAGCCTCAGGCCAGTGAGATACTGACATTGAAAAAGTCTTTAAGTGTGCATGTGCTAAGTGTACCTAAGTGTGTGTATGTGTGCCAGGTTGTGGAGTCTTGTGGATCATGCCCTCATCGCACGATGTAACATGGAGGAGGCAGTGCGGAGTGTGGCGTTCAGCGTGGATGGATACCAGCTGGCACTGGGCATGAAGGACGGATCCTTCACGGTGCTCAGAGTCAGGTAGTACAAACACAACAAACCCGCTCACACAATTCATAAGAGCATTGAGACAAACAAACATGAACTAAATTAAAATGTAATATTGCTTTGTTGTGATGCGGCACTAACAGGATGTTTCTGTCTCTCTGTCTCAGAGACATGACGGAGGTGGTGCACATCAAAGACAGGAAGGAGGTGATTCATGAGATGAAGTTCTCTCCTGATGGAGCGTACCTCGCTGTTGGCTCCAATGACGGGCTTGTTGACGTCTATGCTGTTGCCCAGAGATTCAAAAAGGTAGGGATCAAGGCAGATCAATGCTGTAGAGAATAAGGAAAATAAATAATAATATTTTTAATAGACTATTAAAAGATATTGAGGGGAGAAAGACATTGGAAATTCAAACTGCTGCAGAAAATATCTTCTTTTGATTAACTTTATCTACATGTTGTTTTTAGATTGACCTACAAAACAATTTTTTTTTTTTCCATGTGTTTTGTCTGTCCATCTGTGTGCAGGTGGGGGAATGTGGTAATTCAACCAGCTTCATCACACACCTAGACTGGTCCATCGACAGCAAAATCCTGCAGACCAACGACGGGGCCGGAGATCGCCTCTTCTACCGGATGCCCAGTGAGTCTCTACAGTCATTCTTTGAGAATCTCATTTTAGCGAACAAACAAATATACCCACTCATGTTTGAGTTTTTCTTTTTCCCTGTACAGCTCATCATGCTTCTCTTTATTCTGACTGGTTGTATCCTGCAGAGTAATTTTGGTGTGCATTGTTTGATAGTGGCGCCTCCTGGAAATCAAAATTGAGCTTAGAAGTTTTAAATGAACTGGCTTATTGAAATATTAGGCTGAAAAAGTTTAAGATGTTTCCTCGAACCGAGTGCTGGTTTGATGTTTAAAAGAGTGACAACTTTTATCATTTAGTCCTTTTTTATGGAGCGACACAACACAACTTTTTTTTTCTTTTACAAAGAAACTTACAAAGAAATAAAGATTGCTGAAGGTCTAGCTGGTTAAAGGAAATAAAAATATGAGATGAAAATGAGAGTGAATGATAAAGAAATATCCAAAGTCATAGATGCAAGAGAGAAAGAGAACATAAAACCTGCTGCAGGGGCAAGCAGAGGAGCAATATGCACAGGCATCTCGTGACATGGTGACAGTGGTGTTTGTTGACAGCAGGTACAGACAGAGTGGACAATCCTTCTACAATTTTGAACAAATCTGAGCAGCAGGACAACTCTCCGGTTTATTTCATGTCCATATAGCAGGTGAAGTTGGAATCTCTAACCAGAATGATTGTAATCATGTTGAAGAGAAAATAAGCATTTGAAAATATCAACCCTCACTAGTTTTTTTAATATTGTAAGAAGCTTTTTCAACACTCACAAGACTGTTTCAGGCAAGAGGTTGTTATCTAATCCTCATGATACATTTTAGGTATTTGAATTAAAATAGGGTATATACGGAGTTAAATATAAACTATGACACTCGAGGAGCTGTAGGTTTCACTCTAAAATTTCCAGCTGAGAAAATCCCCCCGGACCCCAACTCCCCCTGTGGTGAGAGCATGTATTTCAGTGCACATACACAGTGAGATTCCTGCAACTATTCAGGAACTAAATATACTGTATTGTAAATTTCCTGTGTACCTGTCAGAGAAAGGAGGACACATGCACGGCACATGTGGCAAGATGAGAACAGCAAGGCAGAAGGCTGCACATGACCTCCTGTAAGATGTCATTAAAGAGTAATATAGTCATTCAGTTTTCAGTCGTGGATGACTCAGTGACTCAGTTTTTTGTTCTCAGTAATAGAGGGTATATTCTAGTCTCTTTAAGTCTCGTCACAGTCAAAACTCCTTTAGGATAGAGAAGGGCTGATTTGTCTTTGTTGCACTTAAAGAAAAGGTAATCAGTCATTTTTCTTTCTTTTTGGTTCTTGTAGTGAACGACCTCAGACTGAATTCAGGTTGCACACAGCTCCAATAGTTTCCCACACAGGATAAGGATTTTGTTATGCTGCTGAGGAGTTGAAGGTGTGAAGCCTGTCGCCTGCAGCTCTTTATTTAACAGCTCAGTGAGGCTGCTGCTGCTGCTGCTGGCTCCTCCTGGAACTCTTTGACACAAATTTTCACTTACAGCATGAACTAAATCAGCCTTGACTGCTTTGTTGATGTATTCATGATGAACAACTGCAGTCAATAACAGTCTGTTAACCTCAGAGGTAGGAAGATTGAAAATGGTTTTCTGTGACTGCTTATTATTTGTACAAGCATCTCCTTTGTTCTGGTGTTTTTTTGTTTTGTTTTATGAGCAATAGAAAAGAAAGGTGAGCATTAACAGTAAATAGAGGAATACAACGTTAGTTTTACAAGCTTTAAGAGTAAAGTCTATTCTTACACCAAAGCTGGTTTACAGTTTGTTTTTAAGTTAAAAATGTGCTTTTAACGTTCATAGAGTAGAAGAATTTAAAGGAATTTTTTTTGTACAATATTTTCTTCAGCATCTTCCATTCAAATGTCACTTTGAATGGAATATACTAAATCTACCTTCATTTCATTTACCTTTAGCTTATTTGTAAGGTACCTGTTTTCATACACCCCACACCAAACCCCCGAGAGGGGATGAAGTGGCACATTGTTTCCTTTGAATTCCTCTTTTTTTTGTCCAAAGCGGGAGAAAGCAGCTTCGTTTCTTACCAAAGTCATACTTACACATTTCGACTGATTTTTGAGTGCATTGTACCACATAAAATTGGTCAGTAGGCACAATAAGTAATCATAGATAAGGCGCACTGGATTATAAGGTGCACTGTCAGTTTTTGAGAAAATTTAAGGATTTTAAGTGCACCTTATAGTCCAAAAAATACGGTAATTCAAAATCATACTTTTGATGTTCAAGTGCAAACATAAAAACAAAGTTTTGCAGCCCTGTGGAGTTTGCTCTTGTTTTTCATCTGAAAGTGGAGATGAGACATCAGCATCTCTGCTTTTTCAAGTCAGAGCTAAAATCTGTCCTTATGATGCCAAGAAGCTGAAGGGTTCACTTTTTACCAGTATGTGCTGTGAAGTGGATCCCTGACAGCTGTGAAACATATTTCACGGCTTATAACAAATCTCCCTGCCCGGTGTTCAGAGTGTCTCTACACATGTGAAAAAGCGTGAGTGTGTGTTTGCTGGGGTTGAGCCACAGACAGCCACTGACTAAAATAACAGTGAAGTCAAAGCAATGTTAAAAGACGTTAGAGACTATCATTACATCATACAGAGGAGACCCCTGGAAAGGAGTCCGGGAGAAAGTCGGGACCGCCCTCTCGCCATAGAACTCCAGTGAAGCTGGGCTTCCGATGGGCGGGACAAAGCCCAGCATTTATCCAATGAGCGTCTAGTTTCGCTGCTGGAACAACCCACTTTTAGCTTCCACATTGAAGTCAGCAGAAGCCCAGCGTCCGGCTGTTTAAAGCGCTGAGGCGCTGCGAGGATGAATGAGAACGAAGTTATGCCGGTTACCTGTAATTATCAGCTTCTTATCACAGTGTCTGAACAAAAGATGAAGGCTTTCTAGTGCGTATTTAGTTAATGAAATGTACACACAGCAGTACGTATTTCACCACTTTTTCTTTTTTTGGGGGGGTAACATTTTAAGGGAAGCCGAGCTTCCCTTGCAGTCTTAGAGCAATCGCCACTGGGTTGGTGATAAATCTCAGAGCTCCATGGTAAACACTGTCCAACAACTGTAGATCTAAACAGAGGCATTCATGTACAGTAAATCACCATAATCCAGAAGAGGTAAAAATGTTGACTCAACAAGTCTTTTTGTAATCATAAAACAAACACAAGACTTGTTTCTGTAGTAAAAACCTAGTAAAAAAAAGAGTTATCATCAAGCAAAAATCCCAGATTTTTAAAGGCAGAAACCAGTTCAAATTCTTGACTCTCTTTAGTAACAATTTTCCCAGGCAAGGTTATATTAGCTGCTCTAGATGATGTTAAGAATGGGAGTTTAGTTTTGTCTGTATTTAGAACAAGCTGCAGCTGGCTAAGCTGATCCTGAACTAAATCAAACGCATGCTGAAGATTTGCTAAAGGCTTGTGCAGGTGAAGGTGCACAGCAGTAGATCACCATATCATCAGCATAGAAATGAAGCGATGAATTGAGAACATTTTGCCCAGTCCAATTTATATTTCATTTAAACAACAGGGGGCCCAGTACAGACACTTGAGGCACGCCCTTCTCAATTTTTAGTTTCTTAGAGGTAAAACCATCTAATTGAACATCCTAATTTTCTGTCAGTCAGATAGTTGGAAAACCAACCAACAGCTTGTTCCGGGACCCCAGTTAAAAAACAATGGCACAAGTATCACCATCTCTTAACAAGTGGTAAAAGTTTCACTCTGCAGTATGTGGCTTGTATAGTCCTGGATGAATGTACAATGGCCCATTTAAAAATGTGCGATAAGACACCTGAGCTCAGAGACATTGTTTGTTCTGCAGTGTAGTCAGACTGCACTGTGTGTGCTTTCTAAATCAGATGGTGTCTTTTTGTCTCATCTGCTCAAATTTGTGAATCAGTCCCTGAATAAGTAATTTGGAAAAAATACAGACCATGAAGCATAGAAAATCAAGTTTTATATCCAACTCTTCACCACAAGAAGCATGAAAACAAAGCAAAACAAACAATACCGGTGCAGACAGAGCAAACTGCTGATGTGAGAGACGGTTCATTATCTCCACATGAGATAGCAAATCCAGCTCTGGGACCTGATTCTGAAAAGAAGATTAAAATCTGCACCATCCTCCATCCTCTCTGTCTGTGACAAATGTTGTACAATGTGTGAATGGACTGTTTGTTATCACAATCATCTACTCTGAGATAAGCCGGCGCATACGAGTACATGAACAATTAGCTACCGAAAGAAAAATGTTTTTTAAGTACGAGTTAACATTCACAAACTGTTCCTCTCTCCTGCAGTGGGAAAGCCAGTCAGTAAGGAGGAGGTGAAAGGTCTGTGCTGGGCATCCTGGAGTTGCGTACTGGGGTCAGAGGTCAGCGGCATCTGGCAAAAATACTCCAATCTAACGGATATCAACGCTGTGGATGCAAATCACGCTGCATCCGTTCTTGTTTCAGGAGATGACCTCGGCCTTGTGAAACTCTACCGTTTTCCCTGTCTGAAAAAAGGTCTCCTTATTTATTCCTCTCACTCGTCTATGCCCCTCGTCTATGTCATGCTATTAAATGTGAATCTTTTTCTTGTTAAAGGAGCCAAATTTAAGAAGTACATCGGCCACTCAGCTCATGTGACCAACGTCCGCTGGTCTCATGACTTGCAGTGGGTGCTGACTACAGGTGGAGCTGACCACGCCCTGTTCCAGTGGAGGTTTCTGCCAGAGTCAGTGATGAACGGAGGACTGGATGTCAACATACAAGGTACAGCAGAATCAAAGTAATGGATGAGGGATGAGGTAGAGCCATTGAAGTAGAAAAGAGCACAAAACAAGAGTAAATGCAAACAGTATATCGATACAGGAAATGGGTACAGTCGTTTTGAGGGGGCTCTGAAGGTCCTTCACAGCTTCAGTGTTTTCTAACTGGGCAGGGGGATTCAGCTGTAGTCAGCCCTAGCATCCTTGAAAAAGATCAAGATGTCTTTATAAGAGTTACGAATATCCCTGAAGTTCTGTAACAGGCTGTAGAGAGACATTTTTGAGTTTTGCTGCTTATGTAAGAGGTTTCAGGTTTCCTAGAAAGGCTGTACGGATCTTTATTTGAGATCCAAGGGCTCCGAGGGCTTCTTTGGATATCTTTGTGCCTCCTGAAAGTGAAAGCAAAATAGCTGTGTTCAGAAGTCCTTGTGAAAAATTTAAGCCTATTAAAGATGGTTATGTGTTTTCCTGAGTGGATTCAAGGAATCTTTTTGTGAGTTTTTCAAGTGTTCTCTAGGTTTTCTTGTAGGTAAAAAGTCTAATCAGATATGTTAGACATTAGGTTATTATCAGTGATTCCAGGATGTTGTAAATAGACCTTATCAAAACTCATCGGTAGATTTCTGAATATGATGGGTCAAGACTTTAGAAAGTTTCTTAAAAGTTTTAGCTTCTACATCTCCTCGTTGATTTCAGGATTTGTTTTTTTTTAAAACTATGGAGGGCTCTTGTGTTTCAAGATTTGGATGGGTGGTTGGAGTTACGATAAAGGATCTGAAGTGTCTATACAGGAGTTCAATTGGTTCTTAAGTGTTTTTGTGGTTTACTGAGTCTGTGAATCCTGGGTTTCTTGTGTATGATTTAAAACGCACAAGTAACAGTTCAAGGTTGGCGTAAATAGATCTCACGGAAATTTTAAGAGATGTTTGTGGTCTCTCTTCAGTCAGTTCTGGATTAGTTCAGAGAGGTGGGTTCCAGTCTGATGACCCTAAATTGGTTCCTGAGGAGGGCTTTGGTGGTTATTGACGGGGTACTTCAGTCTTTTCTTGTTTTCTGGGACCTGACCAGGAATCACACTTTTCCATAAGGGGTGTTAGGTTTCCCTCGTATACTAGGAGTACTCATGAACTTTTCACAAAGTTTGAAAATGCTCTGAAGTGCATGTTTGAGGGTCAAGAGAGTTTAAAGGGTGACACAGATACTGAGTTTGGCATTTCTAAAGTGGGCTTGGAGATCTTGTTTGAAAACATATTCCTTGATTTCTTGGAGGACAGATTTTAAAGCCATACAGTAGCGGTAAGTCGACAAGAGAGGTTTATTTTTATGTACTGCTGTTGAAGTTTTATTATAATGACTGAAGTCCCTGGAGAAGTTCTTCTGGAGTTGGCATTGGAGGTCTTGAGCTGGTTGTCAAAGACCTTGTGGGACTCTGATTGTATTTGGTTTATCTCAAGAGGGTTATGGAGGCCATGAAAGTTCCTGTTATTAGTCCTGGAGGAAGTCTCAGTACTTCTTTTTGGCAGTGTTAAGAGATGTCTGTGTCAAAGCCCAAAAGCCTAAGGTTTTTTTGTTTGCCTGGATATGAAACAGACTGAAACTAATATTGCTGCCTCTTGAGCTGCAAAGGCAAACAAGGCCATCAGCGTAGAGATTGACTTTTTAATTTATAAACCACTGTCAGGGGTGGGTGTCAGACACAGACACAGACACAGACACGGTGATTAAAATGCATCGAGCTGAAGCAGCCTTTCTTTGTCAAAGGTTTATCTGTAAGTGATACATTACATTACAGAGATTGAAACCACTGCTTACACATTAACATGGAAAAAAGACAAAGGGACAAGAGATCGTGCTCTGTCTACTGAGGCATCAGTGTTGAGATAATCCAAAAGTTCCTCACAGGAGCTTTGAGGGATTTGCAGATCACACTGATGTAACATGCTTTCATACCAAAGGATATGCAAATAGTTTCAAGTCTTATTTTGAATATATTCACAGCGAGTAGAGTTATAATATGATAAAGTATGATTGATGGTTAATGGTTTAACTCAGGATTGTTGTATCAAAAAAACAAACAAACAAAAAATAATGTAACCATCCAATCTAGTCATCTGTTCCACCCCAGAAAAGCATAAACAAATACTCATCTCTACAAATCAATGTTGGGGTGGTAACTTGATCTTCCACTTTTGTTTTTTTAAAGGATCTGTTCAGATGGTTGGCTAAGCAGAACATGTCTGTCTGTGTCCTCTTGTAGACAGCCATGGAGACTCCAACAGTGAGGAGTCGGACAGCGATGTCTCAGATGTCCCTGAGCTCGACTCTGACATTGAGCAGGAAACTCAAATCAACTATGAGAGACAGGTATGACATTCATGACCGTAAAAGCTGCTTGTGGTGTTTTTATTATGATCCTCAACCCCTGAGCAAAGACACTGAACCCTCAGCTGCTAAAACAGAGCTGATAGGTACATGTATGCATGATGTTACCAAGTGCGTTTTAATAGCGACTCCACTGTGACAGCTCCTTGTTCTTATTCCCGTCAGCCACAGCACAGCAGGGCTCTGTGCCGTTGCCATGGTAATCCCAAAAAACGCCTTATCTCCAATGCCAGCCACTGCCTGGCAGACTTCCCCATGACTACAGTCTGCAGTTTGTCACCAGTTTTTGCGACAATGTGGTGTTTAGAGATAGGACTTAGAGTGCGAGTGTGTGTGTGAGAGACAGACAAAAACAGAATGTGCATGTGCGCTGAATTAATCAGACTCTCTAAAGTTTAATTGGAGACAGCAGGAAAACATGGATTATTATTGAAATATAATCCATTATCTTTGGCCAGTCCTTTCTCACGTCCCTCTTTTTCACACTTTTCTCTCTATAATTTGTCTTCAGTTTCCTCCTCCCACCATTTGGACCCCCGTCTTCCCTCTGTCACCTCGTAGATTTCAGTTTGAACCATTCTCACAGTTTTGACTAGAGGAATTGCAAGTGACTTCTAAATCCCATTGAAATCTTTTCCTGGTCCAGTGATGTTAAACTTGGTCTCCCGTGTGTTGTGGAATTTGAAGACATGTCTCAGTGCTTGAATTTCATGACTATTAAAGTCAGTAAATTTTTTTTTTTTGTAGTACATTGGGATTGTCAAAGTTGACTATTTTCACTGAAATGTCTTTACATATACTCATTGTTTTGTTATGAAAAGGCTTATACAGGCAACGTTTTTATCTATACTTGATTATGGTGACTTCTTATATATGCATGCAAATCTCTCTTCTTTAAAAATGCTGGATTCAGTGTATCATGCAGCATTAAGATTTGTAACTGGCTTAGATTTTCGTACTCATCACTGCAGCTTATATGAGAGTGTTGGTTGGTCCTCTCTGCAAAACCGTAGATTGGAACATTGGTATATCTTTCTTTACAAGGCCATTCTAGGTGACTTGCCCTCTTACCTATGTTCCCTCTTAACTCCCAAAATCACCAACAGGAGTAATCTCTGGTCTGATGGACAGATCATGTACGCTATTCCTCTGACAAGGACCGTTTTTGGCGAAAGCGCTTTCAAGGCTTTTGCACCCTCCTCCTGGTGTAAATTACAGGGTTATTTTAAACTGGATTATCTGCCAAGTATGGCACATTTTAAAACTAGAATTAAGGAGTTTTTGAGTACTGAATGCACATGTCTTCTTACTGAACGCTGATTTATTGTTGTGTTTTGCATACTGTAACTGTTTTGTGTTTCTGTGTGTGTTGTTTTTCTTTTCTTTATGTGGAACTTCTTGTGCTGCTATCCTGGCCAGGACTCCCTTGTAAAAGAGATTCTGAATCTCAATGGGTTTATTTCCTGGTTAAATAAAGGTTACTAACTAACTAACTAACTAACATGAAATAAGATTCACATTTATGTTCCCCTCTTGTCCTGTCCTCTGGCCAATATTTTGATATAGCTCTGCTTTAGTCAGCTTTACCTGATCCAACATCAATATGACGAGTCCATTAAATATGCAGTTGGTGCAGAGTGGCAGAGTGCAGAGCCTCAGAGTCCTTACCAGACTGTTAAACACCATTTTTCTAAAGCCAAATTTACATCTGGTTTTCCTTTTAGCATGAACTGTCGATAATAAAATAATCTGGAAAATACATTTTTAAAGGTCTACCCTTGGACCTTAGATGATTTGTAATAGTTGCAAAAGCCATTTGAGGTCTAGTTACCACATGCACAATTTGTGAAGTCAAGGATCTGTTTGGCTGCAGATGTCACATCAGCCAATTTGGTAACTGGTGAAAATTTCAAACCATGAGAGGTGCTGAGCCATCTCAAGACATGGGTTTTGGGGTCACATTCTTACAGAGTAAAAAAGAAAGTGTATAATTTTCAAGAAATTTTGATACTTGATAATTTACTGACGCAAACGTGAGAAGAAAAGAGGAAAACGCACATTTCTGCCTCAGTCAAATGGTCTGTAGCTCTCAGTCAGTGCTGATCCACCATGACGATCCATAAATATGCAGTTGGTGAGAGTGGAAGCAGAGCCGGATCCAAACCTCCTGGGAGCAAAGACTCTCCCTGAGAAACTCTCAGACGACTGTAACACGCCAGCTCACCCTGAACAGAATAATTTGCATGAAAAATGAGCAGTCTCATATTCTGCCGAAGGTGGAAACACTGCAGTGTGTGACCGGTTTCATTCTCTAACCGAGGAGAAAAGCGTGTCCACGGTGGATGTCATGTTGATATGTGGATAATTGAGAGAAATCAGTGACTCGGTTAATGAGATACATGATCCCCTGTGCTAAAAACTCTTGCATCAATTGTGAAAAATCTTTTTGTCAAGTCTGTACCACTCTTCGGCCATTTCTACACCATCTTTATGGGTCACTGTGGGACTTTGTAGTGTAAAAAATACTCTTAGTGAAAAAAGAGATGATCAAGTTTAATGTTGCTTTGGCTTTGATTAGTAAGCTGTGGGCAACAACCATGCTCTGATTTTAACACTCGCTCTACCAAAATTCTGTAACCACTCGAATGACCATAGCAGTCATTTTGACTGCTCAGTCTTGATATGCACATAATTTGGATAATCAACAAAAAAACTAATAATACATTGGTGGAATAGATTAAGAACCTTCCTCAAAATGCCACGACACATCATTCCCTGAACTTGCTCATCCATTGAATTCTTCCCCATCAGGGCTCTGAAGAAAGGCTAAAGCCTCCATACTTGTCATTTTTCTTCTAGTTGTCATTTTTGAGTGTCTTGAGTTTTGAGTAAAGTTATAGCAAGATTTTAGCTTCACAGAGCTTTAAATACAAAACAAGAAATAGAGCAGGAGAAAGAGTGGGAAAATGTAGCAAATAGTAAAATATAACACTCTCTGTAAAAAGTCAATTTGACTGCTCTGGTCATTTAAGGAAGAAATACTCAGATCTCTTTTGTGTTTTGAAATTTGAATGATAAAATAATGTTGGTATATGGTATATGGCTGGTATGTAGGTTTTATTTTAAAAAAGTTATGACATTATAAATTTTGAAAGCAGTCAAAATGACTGGCTTGGTAGTTCGAGTGTAAAAGCCCTCACACCTGGGAGTAAAACCCAAATGAGCATGATGGCTCTTCAGCAAGCTCAGGTGTTTAAATGTTTGTGTAAAGACCCTGAACCTTTGACCGCAAGTACAGTGTCTTCTCAGCCTGATCATGACTCCTCGAGAAGATGGAGGTAAATTGCTGAAAAATGTCAATTTTTTTATCCTAATGACCACATGACACCTCCTCATGTTACAACAGAACAGATTTAAGTATTTCAGCTCTGCTGCATATATGGCTCTGAAGACAAACATCCAACACTTCCATGTTGATCTTCATTAAACTTGATAGGTAATTAATTAACCAGTTAATTTAGGTGTGTGGAATTAACATCTGCGTGTGTGTGTGTGTGTGTGTGTGTGTGTGTGTGTGTGTGTGTGTGTGTGTGTGTGTGTGTGTGTGTGTGTGTGTGTGTGTGTGCTGTTTTGCAGGTGTATAAGGAGGACCTGCCTCAGCTAAGACAGCAGAGCAGAGAGAAGAAACAGCAGGTCGGATCTCTGAAAAGACAGAGAGGACCAGACCAAGGCCTTCGGCTGCAGTTTGTCCACGGGTATCATGTCATTGTGTGTATGTCAGTCCTCAAAGAGTCAGGTCCAAATCAAACCCAGGGTGTTAATAAACCCTGGGCACTTATTTTTGTTGTCATTCAGGGGTTGGTGTCGGTGAGGTGAATTTTAAAGCTTATTGGACTCATGCTGGAAAACTGATGAGGGAGACGTGTTATCTCTTCTTTTTGAATTTTTATCACAACACATGAAGTTCAGCTTCTGTACCTCTCTGCTAAGAATGTGGGCTGGCTGCAAGATGTCAACAGGTTTATCTGGCATTCATATTTACATGCAAAAGCCTTCACACTGCTGGTTTGAGCAGCTCGCTCCAGATGAGGCTCACATGCCGCTTTTAGACAGAGATATTTACCATCTGCAAATATTTGGAGGGAGCTGTGGCGTGATATTCATGAGGAGTGTCATACCTTGGGAAAACGATTCGACCCGTCTGTCACCTGAGTCTATCAATATTACTTTGAAAATGCAATCAGGGGCTGAATCTGAGTAAGGTTGTGAGATGTACAGGCATATATATTTGTCAAATTGTACGTATAGTCTGGAGCCACCATGCATGAATACGTTGACAGGACACATGGTTGTTTATGTGTGTTTGTGCAGATACCGAGGTTACGACTGTAGGAACAACCTGTTCTACACTCAGGGGGGTGAGGTGTTGTACCACGTAGCAGCTGTGGGGGTGGTCTACAGCCGGCAGCTGCACAGTCAGCGCTTCTACCTCGGCCATGACGATGACATCCTGAGCCTCAGCATCCACCCACTGAAAGACTATGCTGCTACTGGACAGGTGCGCACACACACAGTTGATACAAAACAAAACAGAGCTGACTCATGATACAGATACTGAGATATAAACAGAGTAAATTAATAAGCCATTCATTGTAAATTAAGCAGAAACTTAAAAGAGCTGTTTAAGAGTAAGATTATTGTGTGTTTTTGCAGGTTGGGAGGGACCCAGCCATCCATGTGTGGGACATCCAGACTCTGAAATGTCTCTCTTTGCTCAAAGGTTTCCACCAGAGAGGGGTGTGTGCTCTGGACTTCTCAGGTACCTTGTTTGTGTACCTCAAAAAACAGTTCAATGTGTTTTATTTTTTGCTCAGCGCACACCTGTAGATGGTTTTTCCTTGCTGCTGTTGTTGTTGTTGATTCTGAATCTTATCTCAGGAACCAGACCCTTAAATCTTGTCTTCAAAATCTATGCCTGTGTTCCAGATTTCTTTCTCACAGTTCCTCACTTCAGACACTTCCTCTGTCTCACTTTCCCTTTGTGCTTCGCCTCACTGTGTGCACTATGTACTCTTACAGCGCCTGAATTTCAACAGTGTTGTCTCGAACCCAGTCAGTCAACCGTGCACTTAAAGGGAATGAGGGTTGCAACATCACACTGCCTCTGGTTCTGTTCCTTCTTTCCATTGCAAATTGTAAAAAAGCTTCAGCATTTAGCACCAACACTTGAATGTGTTGCTGGATTTTTTTCTTTCTTAATTTTGATCTAAGCTCATTGAAAGTTGCTAAACATGCGCCTGCTGTGACTGTTTTTAATTGTCTTTGAGCTCCACATGATGTAAAATATGCATCTGCAACAAGGCTGGTTCCTTTTCTGCTCCATCACGAGGAAAGCAAAAACGTCTGTCTGTAAAAAAGGAAAATTGTGTACTCTTTAAAATGTAAATTCAAACATAATGCCAGTAGGAAGAAAATCACTTTCACAGCACCGTAGAATGATTCTCGCTCTTTCTCTCCTCTGCAGTTTCGCTCCTGGACTCTGTAAAGTGTCTCGTTTGTTGTGAAGGTAATTTTTTCACAGGTGTCTGTCTCCTGTGTGTGTGTCTGATGCAGCTGATGGAAAGAGTCTGGTCTCAGTGGGAGTGGATGATGGACATACAATCGTGGTCTGGGACTGGAAGAGAGGCGAGAAACTTGCTACTGCCAGGTACAATAAAAATTACAACTGTTATTACTCAAAGATAAGTGCACTGTAAAAAAAAAAACACTATCAGCAGACTGTAGGACTGCCAACAGAGTGACAGAGTATCGTTTTTTACCTTCACCTCTGCTATCACTACAACCAAAGCTGCTACATGTTTTACTGCTCCAGTCAAACATCCTCCGTCATTATCACTGCAACCAAACAGCACTCATTACAAACTGCACATGCTCATCCTGTAGTTATGCTTACTCTGATGGGAGGAATCAGATGACCTCTCATTGCTGCTCCACTGTGACCTCTGGGACTGTTCATTTCTTCAAATGCTTTCTCTGCTGTTGTTCTGCTTTGCTGTTTCCTACGACTGCTTTATAGCTGAAGGCTTGCATGGGGAGTTTTTAACTGATTGTGATTGACTGAAATGAACAGTGATGTCTATTTATGACTTTTAAAAGCAAACTAGATGATTAGCAGTAACACTGAAAAATTCTTTGTTGTAATTTTAGAGTCAGCAAGAGAGTAGAGGTCAGATGAAGTAATTTAAAGCAAACCGAGGAGACAAAAAGGAGTTATACAATATATTTGACTGTTGAGAGAAAGTAGCATGGGAAAGTAAAACACCTCCTACTTTTACTCAGTGGATCTGTGACGTTATGATGTTTTTGAACCTGGAGAAAATCAGGTACTCTGTGCGTGGCTCTACAGAGAAATATAACAAGACTTGGTCCTTATTTGTGACACATGTCAGAATGTCGCTTTGAGATGTTAGTCTTTCTTGCTGCTTGATCCCTGTATGTATGATATGTCATTTTTGGGAATTGGTAAGAAACGCTGTCATTTATTACCTGGTAATGCTGTGCAGATAATAGAATCTTAGCATCAGTTTATTTTTATGTAGTTTTTATTATTTGTCTATTTTATTTTCTGTCTTTTTAATCATAGTATTATACAGTTTTTCATTATTTATATATCTCCTTCCTCCTTATATACTCACTTCTTTAATCACTGTATATATATTTTGGTGAACTATACTTATCTATAGCTTTGGTTGTTTACCTTCTTATTTGCCTCCTCTGGGTGAGGAGAGGGGGGGTGTATGTCATGACCTTCATTGTTTTTCAACATGCATGTACATGGAAAATATCAATAAATAGAGTTGAAAGAAAAAAAAAAGAAAGAAAGCAGGATGATTTTAGGTCAGATAATAGATTTTACAAATGCTCAGGATGAGTGGGGGTTTTCACTTTGTCCACTGGGGCACCAAAAATGACAAAAACAGAAAGTTTTATTGAGTTTTTCTTAAGAGCTTTGAGTATTTTCAGCCTTTGAAGTGTCTTTCTGCATGTAATGTTTTACTTGTGTTTGCAGGGGTCATAAAGAGAAGATATTTGTGGTGAAGTGTAACCCTATGCAGATGGACAAACTGGTCACAGTGGGAATCAAACACATCCTTTTCTGGCAACATTCAGGTAAAAGCTGCAGTCATGTTTGATTATCAGACTTTGATCCAAATAGTGCTGCAGGTTCGAGAGGCACTTTTTCTGTGTCCTAAAACGCTGTGAGGTTGAGCTGAGAGATCCTGCGTGAGTAGAGTCCGTAACAAGAACTATGAACACTTGTAACTCTTTTGGGGTCTCTATCAGGAGTCAATATTTGCATTTCGTGCTTTGGCTTTTCTGTTTCTGCAGTAACCACTGCGCCGTCTTATTACCAATGTAATCAACATAAAATCATCAATATTCTGTAGTCTGTTGCTGACCTATTGCTGCGGTTACAGCTAGTCTCCCAAAAGACACAATTAAATCCGTTATTAAATCAACTGCAGACTCTCATGTGTAAGAGTTTGTGACCTTTGTGCCAACAGCTCTCAGACTGGGACACAGACTCTGTGGGGGGGGGGTCATTAGGGAGGTGTAGTCTGGCTGCTGATGTAGCTGCTCAGCAGCACAGTCAGCAGTTGTAGCAGCCATGGCGTCAATTCACATAAAATCTGCACTTCAATCAGAAAAGACGCAATTACCAGAGAGAGAAAAAAAGCGTCAGCGAAGGATGATGAAAGGGAAATGTCTTTGCCATTCAGACCTCACGATGGTGTCCTCATGTATTCAAAGTGGTAATGAGTTGGAAGAGGGTCATGCTGGGACAGCTGACTGAAGCTAACAGCAAAATAAGTGATTGATAACTTTGTGGTAAAATTGAGTTAGAATGATTCTGTGAAGAGTAAATGCCCACGAGGAGGCAACAAGAGAAGCAGGAAGAGATGGAAAGAGAGATACAGAGTGACATGTATAAATGATCATTGAATGAATGAATGAACAGTCTTCCGCTGAGCTCCTTTTAGGTTAAGAGTCATAATTGGTTGTATATAGAGTAATGCACACTCTCAGTGGTCATCAATTTATGTCCATTATACTTAAAACTAAATTAGCAACTACAATAAAGGGGAAAAAAAGCTTTTTAAGACTACAGAACTTGCATTAAAGTCATGAAATCAAATAACTGAGTATCAGTTTTTTAAAAGGCTTTTGAATGATTAATTTATCGTGTTTAAATGCTGAATTTCTTCAAAATGTAAACATCATGTAAACATAATTTATAATCTTGACTTTTAGACTGTAAGGCACATGACTGATCGCTACATGCCAGCCTGAGTATGTCCCTCTGACCCGAGTCCTCCACATTGTTAAGTAGCCTGCAGTCAGCTGCCACCAATCAAACAAGCCCTGTGGTGAACTTCTTTGATTTAGTGTTGTCCACATTCATCCATCACATTTCTGAAGTAGTGCTCTGCTGGCTGTGATGCCACTGTAACATCAGTTTGATTAGCTGCACCTCAATGGATAGCGTATAGGTGGTAGCTTAATGCCAAATACTCATTAGATAATTTACCTTTCCTAGACACTTAATGCATATTAGTTTTAATTAGTTCACTGAGCCAGCTGGGACTTTTTTGAGTGAACTTTGCCATATAAAATATTCATTATGGTAATGTTATTTTTAAGCATGTTAGTAGCAGGAGGCAGGAAAATGCTGCTGTGTACCATTAAAGTTATCTCACTGTCTTCCAGGTGGGGGTCTTACTTTTAAACGTGGTGTGTTCAGGAGCATCAGCGGGCCGGAGACAATGATGTCAGTGTGTTATGGCCGCAGCGAGGGGCTGGTGTTCTCAGGGGCTGCGACAGGTGACGTCTACATCTGGAAGGAGCCGCTGCTGCTGAAAACAGTGAAAGTCCACGACGGGCCGGTGTTCGCTATGTTCTCCCTCGACAAGGTGAGATGGAGCTCTTTAGATCAAAAAGGGTTTATTCACATAACTTCAAGTTGGGGCATCAGCTTCACTCGGTGAGTTAAGCAGGATCTGGGTAAGTGCCAGTTTTGGGGAGAAATCTTGAATGTAAACTCTACCCCTCCCAACCAGTTTTCCCCGCAGCTCCTCCTCTCCCCTCCCTCTCTGCTACAGCAAGCCCTGCCCACAAACAGACGCTCCTGCTTGCTCGTATTGTTCCAATTAAATTCAGATATAATGCAGATAAATGCAGATAAATACTTCAGATAATTACAAATGGAGCCCAGTCTACGTGAAAATAAAAAGCATTGATGCTACTGTAGATGCCAACAGACTACCAGCAAACACAATGTTTGCTGGACTTCTACAACTAGGATAAAGTGACATAGTCCAGGACCCGAGGTAAACAGTTTAGCAGCGCTACAACACACAGCAGGTCCATTTGACAAGAAACGCTTCTGATGCAGACACTGGGCTTACTCTGTTAAAGTGGTTTACCTGTCCAGCAGAAAGGTTACAGGGTCTGTAAGATCCCAAAGCGTCCCCCATCAACCCGGCTGTTTAGCTCTTGTCTGGGTGGTCTACCTCCTTCTTAAGCGCCCGTTATTTCACCAGTCTCTGGTATTTACTTTGTTTTCTTGCTTGTGTTGGCAGTCGTGGCTAAAGGAGGATTCAGACAATTTTCTGTAATTTCTGGTTGGTTTCTACTGTCCAATATTGTAGCACGCTAACTTTGTTTGGGCTCCTGAACGACACGGGAGAACAGCGTCTGCCTCACAACCAATCAGGATGGGGGAGGTGGAGAATGGCTTTGTTTACAGTTAGAAAGAGCAAAGCGCTGCGAAATTTTAAAATGTTGACTACACAGACATAACAAAACACTGCGATATCATTATATCACCAAATGTCATCAATAACTAATAGCTATTGACTGATATTAAAAGCTTTTTTGTATATATACCACAAAAAAGATGCTTCTTTAACGGATTCCTGCCTACCCCACCGTTAAATCACCTTCTCATGTACAGAGGCTACAGTCACAAAAGCAGTCAGCCTAGTGACGATAATGACCCAGGACCCTTTGCTTGAGTTATTCTTGACCCTCTCCTCCCAGTTTCCCATGATTTCCTTCCCTGTCCACCATCCTGACTCTCAATTACCCAAAAAAATTAAATTCAAAGAAGCCTGCAGGACCAGGTTTTGATTAAACAGTGTGAACGGCTCTCCAGACGATTTTACTCCTACTTAAGATCTGTTTACATCTGTCAGCTTAATCTGTGTGCGTGTGTGTGTGTGTGTGTGTGTGTGTGTGTGTGTGTGTGTGTGTGTGTGTGTGTGTGTGTGTGTGTGTGCGTGTGTGTGTGTGTGTGTGTGTGTGTGTGTGTGATCGAACCTGCTGGAAGTCAGTGTTAGCCATGTTGAACAGCAGCTAAATGCCCAAAATCTCAATGTGGGCCCAAGCAGACGCGTACTTTCTTCTCATGTTTTTCACCGTCATTCCTCTGGTAGCTTTGGTTTCCTCCCTCTCCTTCTTTCTGCTCTGTTTTTTTATGTCCCTCACATCCATAATTACCTGACTCTTTTTCTTTTATCAAACATACAGTAATTTGCAGAAAAGCTAATTGAAAGACAGACATGAGAGTTTAACCAGACACTCAAATCAATCCACGATCAATTTTTACTTTGACTCAACAAGTTAATGTTCAATGATGCTTGAGTTATGATGTGTTTTTATGGTTGAACCATAGAATTACAAATAATTTCATATTTATATTCCTACTTTTGCTCTTGTCCCCTGGTGTCTCTTCATAAGGAGATGGAATATCTTTATCATTTTCAGCGTTTAGGGAGTCAGTGAATGTTTTATGGCTCTCAGAGTTCACACTCTGTAAAAAAATAGACCTTTTCAAACAGCATAGACTGAGTGAGAGTCTTCAGATTAAACATGAAGCAGATCTGAAGATCTTGGGGTGAGTGGGAGAACAAAAGAGAAAAACCTGTCAGAAGAGGAAGACAAAGAGTGAAAGCTGACAGCCCACAGAGCTGAAGGAGGGGGAGGTGGTTGTCTTTCGCCTGTCTGACATGTTTCTGCTTTGTTTCAGCTCAGCAGGGAGCTGCACATGTCTCTTATTGTACAATCGGTAATTCAGTGGAAAATATTTGTTTTTAAGGGGTTTGTGACAGGTGGAAAGGACGGTGTGGTGGAGCTGTGGGACGATATGTTTGACCGCTGTCTGAAGTCATACGCCATCAAGAGAGCAGCTCTATCCCCCGGCTCTAAAGGTACACAGCTCTATCCAGCATTAAAAAAAGCCTGCACTACATGCAACCACATCTGAAAAATTAAACATCTCTGTGAAACTCAAGTGCTTGTTCAGAAACATTGTTCTGGGACGCCCTGTCTGCTGAGATAAGACAGAGTCCTTATCACAGCAGCTCCTCACTTCCTTACATTTCCTGTCCATCTCCTGTTTCCTTTCAATTAGCTGTAATATCCTGGAAACATTATTAAAAGAATAAATCTTCATTTTGTGTTTTGAATAAGATGAAACCTGACAAGCTACAGCTTCAGCACAAAACCAACGTTAAAGTTTTAACAAGCCAACTGATCAGCGTTTGTTTTCAGAGTCTTCTATCCTTCTCCTTAAGGAGAAACTAGATTTTTCTCTCTTCGTGTCTTTTTTTTTTTTAGCTCATGGGTTCAATTATGTGGAACATGCAATCTTGCTGGGCTAGTGTAATTTTATCTGAATTCATATCTGCACAAAAGTCTTGAAATTTCACAAAATTTTGGCGACTGGCTTCATATGTGAGTGTAAACTGTTCAAGTTTTCAATAGGACTTAATCCAAATTTTTTCCTGCCTGCCTGCTTGTTGAGTTTTTTAATGTAAGTTTTGGCTGAGCTGGAGTGAGAATGCAGCAGGAAATGTCCAGAAAAGTTCATGTGGGTAGGTGAGGGTGATGATGACAATATTATGTACCGGGTGTGAACCATAAAAGCAACATGTAACAGGATGAACAGAAACCCCCAAAGTTGAAGGAGGGATATCCTTTTCAAGACAGGTATAGATAGGGCTGGGCGATAAAACAATAACGATATATATATCAAAAATTAATTTCCCTCGATATCAATATAAAACATGGTCAATATGCTTTTCAATAGTCAGCATTCTGCCATGTTTTGATGGACTATACAAATAGACAATGAAAAGGAGAGTTTCTCCACATAGTAGCAGGCTGCAGCTACACGCAACCATAGCACTTTAACACGTGAAGCCGACAGCCCTGATGCTCGACCTCACAGATGCAGTAGCTTATTGTATTGCAAAAGACATGCTACCAATAAGCACTGTTACATTTCCTTTAAGAGTAAGAGGGAATATTAAAGATTGGCAAGCGATTTTTTTATATCGTGATATGTATAGATATTGACTGATATGAAAAAAATATTGTGATAAACTTTTTCCCATATCGCCCAGCCCTAGGTACAGAGTAGATGTCTGCACATTTGTCTGTGTGCTTATTGCCTTATGTAAATGCAATAACTGTCTTTATATTACAAGTTCCTGTTGCTTTGTCAGACTGTATGAACTACATGCTTTTGCAGTGTGTTTTTTGTTGTCTTGTCTACTGAGACATCCTCCTGCACCCCCACTTCCTCAGCAGTGCAGACTTTAGACTCTCAGGCAACATATGGAAACAAGCAACTGTGGGGCAGAGCTCGTGAGAATTTCTGGAATATTTCAGTAGCTATTGCACCCAGAGCGGCTTAAGCGAACGAGCAAAAGTTGTAAGATTGAATAAAAAGAAAATCAAGTCGAGCTGTCAGAAATACCACACAGGATAAAAAAAACCTAAATCATTCATGCAAAAAGGTGATATGTTGTTCTTCATCGTCTTTGCACACCAGCCTCCTGTTTTTTCAAACACTTACATAAAACACCTACACTAAACAACTTTACCTTAAATGAATTGACATGTTTCATTTGTTGAGTTTTAAATTTATTTGAAGTGGGGATTTTCAACAGAGACATCTTGAGACAGTGTTGACGCTCTTTTATTCAGCACTGCCATCTAGTGGCCACACAGTTAAGTACACCTCTGTTTGTGACCGTCTTTACCATTTACCCAAAATCAACACTTTGATTACCAACCACGTAGATGGCTAATGACTGTGTGTGCCTGTGTGTGTGTCCATGTGCAGGCCTGCTCTTGGAGGATAACCCATCCATCAGAGCCATCACTCTGGGTCACGGTCACATCTTGGTTGGAACCAAAAATGGAGAAGTTCTGGAGATTGACAAGACTGGACCCATGACCCTGCTGGTGCAGGTATGTTGGGACTGGGAGGGTACTTTTAGAAGCCTTATAGATTGACTGGTACATGTCCACTCACATCAAATCTCTGTGAACTTTAGGCATGTTGTGGTCGGGTGACCAGTTATCCCGCTTGATTTGTCAGGACTCCAGGACTAATAAAGTGTGTTACTGTTCAGGTTAAGATGGAGCGATTCTATTCTATGTTTAGGCTGTTAGACACTTTTTGATCTCTGACCTCATTTTTACATAGTTTGGTGTCTAATTGATGAAGGGTACAGTTTACAAAAAAGGATATAAACCTGTTTTGTCAGTGATAAGGATGCTATTTTTGAAAGTGGAGACTTCTCTTACATTGCATCTTATCTTTTGCTCTATTATTGAATTGTCTCACAATTGAGAATATAAATGTGACACGTAAAAAATCAAATATTTTTCTCCAATGGAGTCTGAAGGCTTTGAAGTGTGCAATGAAATCTCTGTTCCTGTGTAAAACTCTGTCCTTAACTAAAAAGTAAGTCAGATAACTGTTTCCATGGTGACAAGAAGTGCAGATTGTTGAGCAGTTGGATCCAAATGGAAAAAACAACCACTTTTACTCTTTTCATTTCAGCTTAGTATTGTGTGTGTGTGTGTGTGTGTGTGTGTGTGTGTGTGTGTGTGTGTGTGTGTGTGTGTGTGTGTGTGTGTGTGTGTGTGTGTGTGTGTGTGTGTTCGCAGGGTCATATGGAAGGTGAGGTTTGGGGTCTGGCTCCTCACCCCCTGCTCCCCGTCTGCGCCACCGTCAGTGATGATAAAACATTGCGACTGTGGGAGACATCCGCCAATCACCGCATGGTGGCCGTCCGCAAGCTGAAACGAGGTCAGCTGTAGGAGCAGTTCAGACTTGGTGATAATGGGATATGATACTCACAAGTTTGAATTAGTGTAATCACCTGAACATAATTCAGGTCTGACGTGCAGCCAGCTCAGAAGAACGACAGAGAGTGTGGTCGTCTTTATCTTTAAATTGTTTTACCTACAAGGAGTCAGCAGCTTACAACAAAGGCAGCTTCCTCTGACTGAGGAATTCAGATTTTCACACATCCTTTATGCCGTCTAGAAACAGACACCCCCGCCCACTAACATAACATCTTACAAGTAGCATGACATTACAACAGTATCCAAATATGGTACAGGTTGCAGTTGTGGTCTGTACTGGGAGAACAAAGACAGCTTAGTTCATCATCAGGTTCCTGTTCATCAGTTCAATGTCACACTGTTGGGAAAACAACCTCTGAGTGAAAATGCAGCACTCATCTAGTTGCATGGCCTCAGTAGAAAAGTAACAGTCCCGACTCCAAGGCCACACTTCTCCTTTCTCATGCTCATTAAAAGAAACAGATATAATCCTACAAGCATTCACACCAAGTCATTTTTAGTAAATGATGATTAACATACATATATAATGATAAAATACACATGTGATAGCATATGCACACAATTTTTCTTTCAATTAAACATAATGTTTTGTGTTTTGAAGGAGGTCGCTGCTGTGCCTTCTCTCCTGATGGGAAGGCGTTGGCTGTCGGTTTAAGTGATGGCGGTGTGCTGGTGGTGAACGCCGACACACTGGAGGATCTAGTGAGCTTTCACCATCGCAGGGATGCCATCTCAGACGTCCGCTTCACTCCTGGTAACCACACACACATGTGCACACACAAAAACAGATGTTACTGCAGAGAATGAGTCCACTATTCTTCGCTCTTGTCTGTCGTGCTCTCAGACTCAGGGAAATTCCTGGCGGTGGCGTCACATGACAGCTTTGTGGATATCTACAACGTGCTGAGCAGCAAGAGAGTGGGCATCTGTAAAGGAGCTTCAAGTTACATCACGCACATCGACTGGGATACCAGAGGTAACACTGCATGCTTTTTGTACTTTATCTCAAACAGCCTCAAGCTTTACTTTGCAGCAAATACCCTCCCCATCATCTGCTGATGTGGGGAAGTTTCTCTGATACCATCTCAAATCTCAGCATGGATGGTTAATAAATCTGGATTGTGGATTGTATAAAAGGAGTGTATGAAAGCTAATCTGCCGTTTTTAAAATGGCCAGCAGAGGGAGACTCCACTACCTGCAAAGAGAGGTGTAGTTGTTTTTGTTTAGTTTGTTATTTTAATAAGCATTTTCTGAATCAGTTCCTGGTCTCACTTCCTAGTTTTGAGTTGTCTTCAAACAGCATGGTGTGATTGTGAGTTTTGACTGTAGAATAAAGACAAAGTGAAGTTTTAAATGTTTGTAAACTGACCCCTGATTATTCCACCACTTCAGGCTCCAGCAGAGTTTTAAAATCTGAGTGATGCCTTATAGTTTCACTTCATGAATTTTACCTTTGAAAGGAAGGAGGATTGTGTTAGAGTTTTGTTTTGAAGCTGTGTGTTTGTGTGTTTGTGTGTGCTGTCAGGTAAACTGCTGCAGGTGAACACAGGAGCAAAAGAGCAGCTCTTCTTTGAGGCACCGAGAGGAAAGAGACAAACCATCAGGAACTCTGAGGTGTGTTGAGTTTGACTCAGCTCTGTGTTGTTTTTAAATGCCCTCAAGCAACAACCGATGTGAGTTTAAACTGACAGCCATAAATATATTTCATGTTAGTCAGCTGGTAGATTAACAAACACTGCTACATACTGTACAAACACACCCAACTAACAACTGTGCATTTGAACTGTTTTATAAGTAGTTAGTTTGGAAAATGCTGCTAGTTGAGCAGGTTTGTTAGTGATTCTTGTTGTTTTTCATCTCTGAAAAACTGTAAATCTTCAAAGTTTTAAAGTCCCACTCCAATTATTATAATATTTTTTTTACTACTTAAAGTGTTATCAGTGATCTTTAAATCATGATTATGAAGTTTTTTGCCAAAATTGCATTACCTCTGTCATTTTCAAGGGGTTTTTTTTTCTGCAGAGCTCCAGTAGCTCATTAGCAATTTGCCTAACATTGCCAGTGTAGTAGAAGTGGCAGGTCACACAGGAGCAATTCAGCTCTCGGACACTAAAGTTTTTAGGGACATGATAAAAGTTAATTTCATAATTAGCTTTCTTACGAGCATTGCAATCCACTAACGCACACGCTTGTTCTGCGATCGTCCTCTGAATTTCTCCTCTATATGCAGAGTCTGGTCTGAATAGCAGGACCCCGGGGGCGGAGCTTGGATTAGTTACGTATGAAATCTTACTGTGTCTGGACCTGCCGTTTGGGTCTGCCAGAGATTTGCAGTGATTTGAATGAAGAAATACTCAGAAAAGCAATTTCACATTTAGTTTTCTCATGTTATGTCCTGTAGCATCAGAAAATTGCAAAACATATAAAAACAAGAAAAACATGATTTTATCAGGGTGGGTCTTCAAATCCTGTTCATGAAGTCACCTCCCTAGTCTGTTTTTGTATTTCTTGTTGTGAATGTATTTAGCTGGAGAGGATCAACTGGTCAAACTGGACGTGTGTCCTTGGTTCAAGCTGTGATGGAATCTGGCCGACGTACAGCGACATCACCGACATCAACGCTGCCTCTTTAACCAGAGACCGAACACTGCTCACCACCGGGGACGACTTCGGCTTTCTCAAACTGTTCAGCTACCCTGTTAGAGTACGAGACCGGACACATCACTGGTTACTGATGATTGTGATTTACATGACACAAAGAGAGAAATTAACATGACTGAGATTTTATTTTATTTTAGCTTATCTTCCCCAGAAATACACAACAGGAACAAAGCTGAACATGCAGCAAATACAGTATGATAAAACAATCGAACTAACATGACATAAACATGGAAAAAGTGTTAGATAATTATAGGATTGTTATAATTTAAACAAGAAGAAAATGAATGAAGCTAATAAGCGATAGATTAATACAAGATGGATGAACTGAATATAAACATGAGATACAGATAAATCTAAACTAAAATAAAAAAGAACCATTAGATGAGCAAAGGATAAACACAACAGTCTAGTCAACCTTTAAGGAACTGAAAAAAAATATTTCTGTGCAATAATTTAATTTTGCAAGCAATGTTTTCTTACTGCCTTATTAGTCATCTCTTATGTCCTTTTCTCTGTATTGTTTGTTTGCTTCAATTTTGCGACCCTTTTCAGCTGTATATCTCTCCTGTAAATGTTTCCTTTGCATCCTTCACTACTTTTCTTTTTTATCAGTTTCTTTTTGAACTTCCTCATTGCTTTACTTCCTCTCTTTCTGTCGACCTTTGATAACTAACCGTATTAGTTAATCTCTTTATTAATTCTTCCTCTTCATCTCTGTATTCTAAGTAAAAAGGTATTATAGTATATGTTCGAGGTGACAGCGAGTCATCTGTGTGTTTCTTCTCACCCCAGGGTCAGTATGCTCGCTTTAAACGTTACGTTGGCCACAGCGCACAGGTGACCAATGTCCGTTGGGCTCAGGATGACTCCACACTGCTGACTGTGGGAGGGGCCGACACCGCCCTGATGATCTGGGCGAGAGAGAGAGGAGGCGTGGCCAGTGGGGAGGGGGAGGGGCCCTTGTTCCGTGATAACCGACCACCTGTGGACAGCGAGGAGTCAGATGACGACATTGAGGAGGATGGAGGTGGGTGTGAATGTGATGTAACAGGAGCTGGTTTCTGACACAGTTTAAAAATCTCTGATCTTTATTTGCACAGGACGGGCAGAAACCTCAAAACTGTCCCTGCAGATGTGTCAAAGTGCGCTCTTCGGTTGAATACATGTGTTAGTGTTCAGAAATATGGACAACAACAGAGGTTTTTTTTTTTTGTTTGAAACCAAATGAAGATATATGAGTTTGTATTTTCAGGTCACTGAAAGCTCGGTATCCTCTGGAAAGTTTTTTTTTATTCAACCCACAACTGGTGTTTTTGAGAACAGTCAAACTATTTTATTCTGTATTTTATTTATTTGTGTGTGTGTGTGTGTGTGTGTGTGTGTGTGTGTGTGTGTGTGTGTGTGTGTGTGTGTGTGTGTGTGTGTGTGTGTGTGTGTCTAAAGGCTACGACAGTGACGTTGCTCGAGAGAAGGTGGTTGAATACACCACAAAGATGTACTCAGTCAGTCTCAGAGAAATGAGAGGGACCAAACCTCACCAACAACAGAAAGAGCTGTCTGCTGAAGAGAGGTAAACACACACACACACACACACACACACACACACACACACACACACACACACACACACACACACACACACACACACACACACACAAAGACAAAGACAAACAAACTTAACACAACATAATATGCTCAAGTGAAAGCTGCACCAAACACGTGCATGACTGGCCACCTGCTGTAGGAAATGCGACACTCTGAATCAAGCTTCTGAATTTTAAATAAATTGTAATTATTGTCTAAACTGACTGATATAAATCCAGGGGCTGAAATAACACTGTTGTCGATGCAAAGAGCTCACAAATGACAATTTAGATTGATGGACAATGACACTTCACTGACAGTTTCTCTTTTAATCAACAATACTTTAATTATTTAATTATATATTTATTGTATGTTACTTTTTAGTTTTTCTAAAAAGTCCTTAAGTGTTGAGTTAATTTGATTCTGCATCTGTCAGAGACAACAGAAAAGTAATTGGATTATACTTAATCACATACTGAAATATTAGTTGTTTGAAAGCAGCTTTAGAAAAAGTACTCTGAACCTGTATCTCATAATGCAAATTATAAAGTGACCCTGATAAGTTTGCAGAATGGTCAGTTTTAAAGGCGTTTATATGTTTATCTCTTCACTGCTGCTGCTGAAGGTGAAAGAGGAGTTTTTATTGGCCAATTTACATCTCTGTACACAGAGAAGCAGACAAATGTAGAAGCACACTCGCCCTACTTGTTTGAATGCTCGTCTACAACATCACATGTACCTGGGGCATTTCAATAAACAACCAGCTATAAACTGGATGTTGGACCTAGCTAGCCTAGAAGCCCAAAATTTTGTTACACTTTAGATGATCTGATTGGAAAAAAAATAGCTGAGCCACGCAGGTTTTACTTGCATTAGCTAGTTGTTGGGATAATTATCTAAACTGTGAATTATCTCCAATGTTTTCATCAAAAATGCATCAAAGTCTCTTCATCATTCACTCAGACATCCTTGACTGAGATGGTTTTTTGTTGTTCTTTCTATTTTTTTTTTACTCTATCTTCTTGGTGCAGCTTTAGAGTTTGTAAAACTTGAGCATTAATGATTTGAAACTTTCAAGATGACATTTTCTGACTTTATGCCCCAGACTGTGCACAAGCTCAACTGAAACATCCATCAGATTTCTTTTTTTTTTTTTACTGACACGGAAATCTTCTGCTGTTTGTGTGATTAATGGCAAAAGTGTGTGTGTTCATGAGTGTGTGTGTGTGGTATTGTCTGTCGTTCAAGTAGCTCAGCTGCACCACACTGGGTGTTTGCTCTCCTGCTTGTTAAAATCAGAGGGATTTGTGCCTCTGAAGCATGCACAGGCTTCTGCATGATCAGTGTGCTTTGTATGATCTCTATGAGAAGCTTTCGTCTGAGTTTGCTGTGTATGTGTGTGTGTGTGTCACCTTGCATATCTAAATCCTTGTAATCTCAGTGTCAGTGAGTTTCTGTGCCCAAAACACACAACAACAAAGGGAACCTAAAAGGTACAAATGAAGTCTGTAGAGTTCATTTTTCATCTTACCATCTAAAAAAAGTTTAATCCCATTCTAAATACTTTAAAACACATGACTAAATAAACTCATTTTCATACAACATCACTGAGCACCTCAGCCACAGATCAACAGGTTTGTAAAAACATTATTTAAAAGGTATAAAGGTGTCTCTGTACCCTTAATACTTTGATATAGTTCTTACCCAGGAATTTTTGGTTTTGTCCCTTTGTGGTACCCTTATCTTTGAGTGCTGCTGCTGCTGCTCTCTGGCCTTGCCTGTAGAGACTCTTAATATCTGTTGTGTTTTAACTTGCATTCCCCTGGAGGCAGGGCATTGTCAAGTAAGTATGACCTAATCCTTTCTTCTTATGATAAACAGAAATAGAAAATGTCAGTGTGCTAAAACAGAAATATAAGTGCGCTGCTGTTGAGGGGAAACCTGTGAATGAGGGTAAAAGCTCTGACCTAAATTCAAAATGTGGTCTTTTAAATGTTGAAACATGGTCCAGTCTTGGTCCAGAAACAGACTGATGTTTTAAACTGATGCATTTGATGATGTTCAGTGATGGCCTTCATCAACTGACTAACAATTTCAATATTAAAATGTAACGCCCAAAATTGCTGCAAGAGGTTAGGTGCCCAGCCACATGTGTATGCCTCAGTATTTTTTTTATTTTTTTTATTATATTTTGCTATGTACAAGAAAAAATATCTGTGAAGAGTGAAGAAATGTTCATTTCTTCCACAGGGTGTGTAAAGACAGGTACAGATCAAAATCCTCACAGGAGCTTCAACTGGGAGTTCTGGAAATTATAAAATTATAATCATAAATTATAATTCAATAAATTATAACTGATTTTTCCCCTGAAAATATTTTTATGAATTTATTCTTTTTCCAAAGCTGCATTAAGAAATTTGATTTTGGCACCTTCTCTAAACAAAGAGGAACACCTTATCTGTTTGCCTGTACATGTCAAAGGCAGCGTTGTCTAACAAAAATAATCTTGTCCCGCTTTCTTTGAACAGATATATTGGGCAGTATGCAGTTGTAGATCAGTGGAAGTAGGAGTTGAGTTCATCCTGGTGCAGCTGTGTACCTGTCCAGATATCATTTATGTAATCTGGTGATTCTAGAGGGGGGAGAGTTGCAGGTTGAGTCTAACAGCATGAAATAATACAAATGATCCCAGAATCAAACTACTGTGAGGGTGCTGGGTCAGAATTTTCTCTGCTTTTTCTGTGTAAAAACTGCCAGTTTGAATGAATAAATAAACGAAAGAGTATCCAACGTTTATCTGCTGATAGATATAATGATAATAATATGGGGGGTCTATTTGTAGTTTTATGTGAGAAAATGTCATGCTTTGTCATTCATGTGTAACTTTGAGTCCATGTTTTGGTATTCTTAAAAAAAAAAGCTTCCTCTAATTCAGACAATCATATTCTGCATTAATTTACCATTTTACCTTTTTATCATCTTCTCACTGACTGATGTCTGAACTAAGCACTACACATTTCATTCCACCTTCCTCTCTATGTCTCTCTTCAAATCTAGCTTGTTCTTCCTCCATCTACACCTTTAATCTTATTCATATTTCTAACTCTTTCATCTTTGAATTCACAGTTTTCTTAACTCCTCTTCATCTCCTGCCTTTTTCCTCCTCCTGCTTTTGAAGTCCTATGTTTTGTGTCAGCAAAGCGGTCTTGGTATAAACCCTTTTCCACAGCCTGGTGTCTCTCCCGCACTTATTCTATGATCGCGCTTTCATCTAATCTACTAAAGCCTCACTCAGACATTAACAACATCCCAGAGGGAGGTTGGGAATCTTGTAGACATGCACATAAAGCTTCAACTAAGCCTGATGAGACTGACTGAGATTAAATATCATGGATAAAGGACATAGGATGTATGGATTGCATATCAGAACGAGACTAGATTGCTTATTCTTTGTGAACCAGGGATTAACACTTGAGTATTAACTTAGTGAGACAGAGACTATGTTCACACTGCAGGTCAATTCCAATTTTTTAACCATATGTGACACATATCTGATTTTTTCATGCAAGTGTGAACAGTGCAATTCTGATATTTTCAAATCTGACCCAGGCCTCTTTTATATGTGGAATTAAATCGGATATGTATCGGATGTGACTGCAGTGTGGACGCACAGGTTGCATTCATCTGACCTATATGTCATCAATACGCGACAAACGTCACCATTGTTGGACAACACCAACAGGCGCGGAAAGAAATTTGTGCTTTGTGCGCATGCGGGTCACTTCACGGACGCATTCGGTTCACATTAGATGCCGCATTTGTTGTTGTAATGTGAATGACCGCACAAAAAGATCGGATTAAACAAAAAATCTGAATTGTGCATCTTAACCTGCAGTACGAATGTCGCCCAAGATGCTACCCTGAAAAATGCAGAAAGCCTTAAACAGAAAGCTGTGATACACTGAACATAACTAAGGCTACGTTCGTACTGCAGGTTATGATGCACAATTCGGATTTTTTGTTAAATCCGATCTTTTTGCGCGGTCGTTCACATTACAGCAACAAATGCGGCATCTAATGTGAACCGAATGCGTCCGTGAAGTGACCCGCATGCGCACAAATAGCTTTCTGCTCCTGTTTGTGTTGTCGAAAAATGGTGACGTTTGTCGCATATTGATGACGTATAGGTCGGATGAACACGACCTGAGCGTCCACACTGCAGTCACATTGGATACATATCCGATTTATATCCACATACAGAAGAGGCCTGGGTCGGATTTGAAAAAATCTGAATTGTGTCACATATGGTTAAAAAATCAGAATTGACCTGCAGTGTGAACATAGCCTTAGTGTAGCCAAAAGTGGAGCACGAGGTTTACTAAAACAAAGCAGCTGCAGCGATTGCGGCTGCGGGTGAAAGCTGACCAGCACAAGTTTAAAAAAATAGAAAATACAAATAATGCTTTTGGCAGCTCATTAATATTACTTTAACAGCTGCAAAAACACAGCAGATGTTAATAAACTGACAGTATAATTGACACACCTCTCAGAAATTCTAAGGTGATCCATGTATGCAAATGAAATATGACCAGAGCCATGTTGCAAAAAAATAGTAATTTCAGGCTAGGTTTAAATTAGTCAAAGTGCAATGGTGTGTTTAAGTGAAAATCATCACAATCTTAAAAAAGCTGCAGGCGCAGGAACACTAGGGTGAATAGCTGTTTAAAAACTGACTTTAGGATGGAAGAGTTCATAAAAATTTCTGAAAAAATGTAATAAATACAGTTGATAATAAGTACTGTTGATAAATAACATCCACACCAACATAAATTTTTGGGTCACACTTTGATAAAAAATCTGCAATTTGACATTGTAGAGTTGAGCCCATCTGCAGCCTAGTTCTCTGCAGAGTCTCCTGTGAGTGATAAACTCAGTGTGGACATGTACCTCACACAAAGCCATTGAAGAATAAACAAATAAAGATCAATTATCCCTGTAAACTCTGAGATCAGGGTACAAATAATCCACAGCTAACTCACTGACTCTGTGGTAACATTTCACTTTCCTGTCACAGCATTATGGGACCTGTAGATGTTGGTGACAGTAAAAGGCTCAAATAAAAGTCAGACCTTGTTCCTTTTTGACTTTGGCACACGCCTGATTACTGATTGCTTCTGCATGTTAGCCTGACAGTCTGACGACATGCATCAGTAGTACTCTGGCTTTTATAAGCATGTAGCCACACCTAGTCACATGATAGTTTTTCTCAAGCATGAGGTTTTATGAGTGTGTGTGTGCGTGTGTGCGTGCATGTGTGACGTATTACAGTGCACATCACAGACTGTAATACAGCATTATTTATGCCTACTGCGATTATGACTCCCGTTATTATGAAAAAAGCTAAAGCTAGGCATTTTTTAAACCTTTGTTTGGTGCAGAAAAAAAAAGATAATTTCTGTCATCATAAAATCATGAAACCTGTAACATTATTTATAAAATTAATTTGCAATTGCAAATCATGTTCACAGAAACCAAAGTTTATACCAGAGAGTGATATTTATGTAGTAGAAATCATGATAAGAAAATGTTTTTAAGCACTCTGCATCAAGAATGAATTAATTTGATCAGCCTCAGAAGTGATGAAGTGAGAACTGTCTGTGTCAGATAGATGTAACTCAGGGAACACATCAGTTATAAATAACTTCATGGACAAGAATAAAAACAGTTACAGTGACAATAGGGAGTTAGTGCATTCACCTAGACAGGGGCACAGTTCAGTTTAATTAGGATGGCGATACGTCCTCTCTTTTACCCAGACATGTCCTCTTATTAGGGGGCTGTCCGGCCTTGTCCAGCTTTGTCCGAGGAAGTTTATAAAATCTTTCAAATGTCCAGAGTATTGTGCAGAAGTTTCAAGCTTGTGTCACGTGGACTTACTGAGTTAAAGTAAAAGACACTCAATTCGACCCAAAAAGCTCTCAAAATTAACTTCGTGCAACTCTGTGACTCCGCCCCCACATAGTCGTGTCCTCTTTTTGGGGATTCAGAATATGGTCACCCTAGTTTAATAGACCTCTAGACCTAGAGTAATATATATATATATATATATACTCCTGCCCTGTTTGCCTACTGATATTCTGAGATTTTTTGCCATCTTCACAGTGAGGGAAGTTTACAGACATCTCAATAAACAGAGCTGGCTTTCCTGTGTGAAAGGTATTAGTCCTGTCCCATTTGACATCAGGTTTAATTTTTTATTTGCCTACATGAAGGAAAAGTGCTGTGGTGAGCGTTTGGAGCATTTAAGCGTTAAAAGTTGATATATTTCTGTTGTAGCTTCAGTTCAACTAACTCTTCTCCAGCTTCCCCAGAACTGTATATCCATGTGTTATATTTATTTATTTATTGTTTAATCACTGTACTAATAATATACTATTGGTAAATTAGTTGTTGTCGTTGTTGTTTGAAATATATTATAATGACTACAACGCAGCATAAGCAATCATTGTTATGTTGTTGATGAGTTGTTTAAGTAGGAAGGAGACAGACAGAGATAGGGGCCGACAAGTGTGTGTGTGTGTGTGTGTGTGTGTGTGTGTGTGTGTGTGTGTGTGTGTGTGCGTGTGTGTGTTAGTATGTGTGTGGGTTTTCTAAAGCTCTGTACCTTGGTTCTGTCTCTCTGCTGTCCAGGGGATCCAGGTAACACCTGTCCACCTGTCTGTGCACAGCCTCCTCATTGTGTGTGTATGTGTGTGTTTGTATCACACAGCGGCTGGCATTACCTTCACACTGTCCACAGCCTGCAGGTCATTTTTCAAGTCACTCATGAAGACTGCTTTTAAAGACACAATGTTAACATTTGGTCCAACTTTACATTTTATACTTTCTCTGTTAAATGAAGCAAAACTACACGTTCACATACATCAAAGACATGACCATAGAGCTTATTTACTCCATTAAATCATGTAAATTCACCCATTGCTTTTTTGGTCTAACCTTTTGAAGACTTTGGTCATTGCCATCTTGGTTATTTGAGGCCAGAAGTAACTATTTTTTTTGCTAATTCAAAGAAGCTAGCAGGGTGAGAAGTTAGCTAGCATGGTTAGCGGGGCACATCCATGATGAATGTAAACTGGGATGATGATTTAAATGCCACTGTCAGCTTACAAATAATTAGCTATTAAACAAAATATTTTTCCTACAAAATAGAAGCACAACACTCCACAAGGTTTACATACACACTAAATAAGCCAGTTTTTAAGTAGAGACTTACTACTCACAAGGTAGTTATACTCTTAAACACACCCATGTTTTTAAAACGCCATCTTACCCTGAATTAAGCCTGAGATTACTTTTTGATCGAGTTAGTAGCTCATACTTTAAGAAATTGAATGTTATTTTGAACTCATAAGACAGATATTCACAGGGAAGTATAAAAAATTACAGACCTCAATACAAATGCACCTTTTTGTTTGTCAGCCTGAATTGTTACTCAATTACGACCAGTATTAGGGCCACACTAAGAAAGAAAAAAAAAATCAAGACTTCGAGATTAAAGTCATTGGTAACAAGAACAAAGTCATTACTAACTAGAATGAAATCATAATTAAGTAAATACCAGAATAAAGTCATACTAAAATCTTACTACTACACAAGCTTACTACTACTATTACTTACAAGGATAAAGTTGTATTAAAATCACTATGATAGGCTACTTAAGATCATTTGGTGCTGATGTGCCAAAAGATTAAGAATCTCCTTGTTTGAGAAACCCTCATTAAAGTACATTTTCACAAAATGCTCCATGGCTCTCATTTCAACAACTGTCATCTTAAACAACAGGTTAAAATCATAGACTGTGTATATTATGGAAAACTTGGTTCTGCCTCCCGCCAGTATGCAGATTTGAAGCCAAAAAGCTCTCTGTATTTCTGTGATTTTTCTTCATTTCCTGAAACCAACGTTGCACAGTAGCGTTGTACGCTACGGTAAGCTACACAATCCTTAAACGCCAATAGGCTGTATCAGGTGTCAATCATAGAAAACATGAACCCTCTAGTAACTCAACATCACAACTGGGGGGAGAAAACTTTATATTCTGTGTTATAAATTTCCCATAAGCTTTGCTGGCGGAGGCGGGATTTACGACCTATACTGCAGCCCGTCAACAGAGGATGCTGTTCTCGGCGTGGTTTCACCCAGTGAGGAGGCAGACGCTGTCCATTCTATATACACTCTATGGTTAGAATATAAGGACTTCGTTCTCGTAATCTTTTAATGTGGCCCTAATACTCCGTCGGACTCAACCGATTATGTTTATGAGTGAAGTTGTCAACACATTTTCTTTTTTGTTGACCGAGCCTATGTAGTGTACAGTTATTCAGGGATAACTCTGATTACTCACTGACGTCCAGTGATCCCTTGTCAATATCAATATTTGCACATTTCAGGAGTACGGTTTGGTGGCTTTATCTCTTTTATATATGAAGTGCATATTATGTTTGACTTGCCAAACAACTGCGGTGGTGTCGTTATTTACCATCAGGGCAACAGCAGGAACAGGGCCTCAAGTACAGTGTGCTGGAAGGGACAAAAAAAAACTAGAGCTCAAATCCTAGTCTCAGTAGCAGTGATATTAATTTTACTGTCACATGTATTTTCCTCACTAGTGCTATCACTGTTTATGTTTGTTGTGTTGTACAATTACTGACCAGCACGATTTATTCAGTGTGCAAACTAGTCGTGGACTCTGCAGAGAGGGACAGAGGTCATAGGTCAGGTTGCATAGTCTGAATCTTTGAAGTCCAAGCAGCATCATGGCCTGATGCATTGAACCACCATATGTCTATCTCTGCTGTTTTCATGTCAGTTTTATCTGTCTGTCAAAAACACACATCTGACCAGCTTGTCTCAGCTTTCTGTCTGTTTTTCTGACTGTTTTTGATTGATGAAATGACTAACAGTCTGATCGATCCTCCAGACCTCCAGTGAGTCGAGCAGCGCCACAGCCAGAGAAACTCCAGAAGAACAACATCTCGAAGAAGAAGAGACTGGTGGAGGTATATCTGTCTCTAAGTCTTCATCTCTGTCTGTCTGTCTGTCCCCCCTATTCATCTTTCTCTTCTCTCTCCTCTTCCTCCAGGACCTGGTTTTGGATCATGTATTTGGTTTTCGGGGCTACGATTGCCGTAACAACCTGCACTACCTCAACGACGGCTCTGACATCGTCTACCACACTGCCGCCACCGCCATCGTCCACAGCTTTAGCACCGGTAACCACGACAACAAGCTCATACTATGAATAGTATATGTAGTGTTGAACAACAAAAATGACTTGCAACACTGTGGGTCCATATTAAGCTGAGGTCATGTGGACAGACAGAGCAGCACACACCAGGAACTATTAAATAAAAGTAAAAACTTGCGACACCAAAATAGATTTCTTTATTTGTGGACTGTTTTTTATTATTTTATTAGCAATGACACTGAACTGTATCTCTGGTAGTAATGAAGATCCAGATTAACAGGGTTGTTGTAGTGATCTTCTCTGACTTAGAAGATCAGAGTGATGTTGAACCTCTTTTCTCTGCAGGAACTCAGAGCTTCTACCTGGAACACACTGATGATATCCTTTCTTTGACTGTCAATCAGCACCCAAAATACAAAAACATCATCGCCACTGGACAGATCGGTACATTTTGTGTGTGTACGTCTTGTGTCTGCATGTCAGTGTGTTAATACTAACTTGTGTGTACCAACCTAAACGAGTCCTGCTTTTCTCTCCTCTGCTTCATGTTTAACCTGCTTGCTTTTTTTCTACTGAGAGAATAGAAACAGACCGATAAGACAAAAAAGGAGGGAAATCAGATGTTCAGTTGAAACAAAAAGGCAAAGGGTTGACAGATTGGATTGAAAAAATAAATAAACTTGATAGCCAAGATGAACTTTTATGGACACTATCTTTAATAAAGGAGCTGATGGCTTCCTTTATTTCAGGAAATAAGCTGTCTGTTCTTGGCTCATCCACTAGCTAGCTTTACTTTTCTACAGATTTTGAGGTTTACAATCAACATATTGGTCTCAGATTGTGTGTGTTAGGGTTCCCCAAGCCCTTATTGATGAAAATTTAAAATACACTGGTTAGGGTTTTGTCTTTTTTTAACATAAATATGGGATTACGTCCTCCTGTCCAACAGACTGTATCTAAAAAATAGATGGAGTCTTGGGGCGTCTGTTTTGGCTCAGATGTTCAAACCGGCCCCCCCCCTTTACAGAGGCTACAGTCCCCATTGTGCTGGTCATACAATGAAATCTTTGTCCCCGACAGCATTTGGTTCATGTCAACATCCCCTACAGATATACAGTAATTCCATATATACCCTAGCATTAGCTGATAACTCAGCATTTTCTACACATCATTCCTTTGGCACCTCATCTGGACATGGTGACCTCTGGCTTCAAAACCAGCCAACATGGCAAAAATCAAATGCAGACTAAAGCTTTAGTACCAGACTACAATGGGTGACTCTATTGCAGCTTTACTGGTTTTAAATACAGTCTGTGTCTCCACCCTGTTTATTTTTGTGCCATCCCTGAAAGTCCACGTTCACACCTGTTTAGTCTGTTGCCTACTGTAGACTGATATACGCAGCGAGAACCAGCCTTCAGCTGACGTTAGCTTGTTTTCAATAACTCACTCAAGGTCTTTATCTGTTCTGTTGTGTTTTTTTATGTGTGTGTTTTGGCTGGCCTCATTTGTCACCATCGCTCTCACAACACCTCAGGTGACGTCAGTGAACTTCCAGGTAAAAAAAAAAAAGAAACCGCACCGCCTTTCCCATCCCACTGAGACAAACACCCTGACACCCAGAGACAGCTAGCATCAGCAATTAACCAATTAACTTTTAGACAGCACGAAAACGGGTCATTAAAGTTATTTATTTTTTATGCATTTAATCACTTATTTATTGTTTATTATTATTTTTTTTTACCTGAGCAGAAAGAAAGGATTATGTCTTACAGCCACTCTACAGTATTTATCTTTATTATCAGATCAAATTAGTAAATATAGCAGCATAAAAAGGGCATCCTGTACCCTGTAAGTCAGTCATAATGTGCTTTGTTTTATGTTAGGAACTAGGTTTTTGTTGAGTGGGCGTGCTGAACATTTAAATTTGTAAAAACTGGTGTTGTGTGCAGACTTTGGAGTTTTGAAGTTTTATCAAAAATTAAAGAAGCTCTGGTCGACATCGAGGAAAACTTGATGGCATTTACTCTTACATGATATTTCATAAAAAATGTCCTCAGCTCTTTCATACTGATGTTGTTCTGGTTCTCAGGGTGTTTGTAGGCTGCATCGATCCCTCTGACTGCTCTGTTTTTGTTCAACAAATCTTTTTGTGACCTGACTCCTTCGCTTTGGGAAAAAAAAAGAAAAAAAATGAAATGATATCCTCTTTCTTTGTGTCTCATGATCTCTTCCCAGGCACCACTCCATCAATTCACGTGTGGGATGCGATGAGCAAACAGACTCTGTCCATCCTTCGCTGTCCTCACACTAAAGGCGTCGGCTATGTTAACTTCAGCGCTACGGGGAAGCTGCTGCTGTCTGTAGGAGTGGAACCTGAACACACCATCACTGTGTGGCGCTGGCAGGAAGGTCAGGCAGACATCAAATCAGTGACCTTGAACCTAAAAGTTACTGTTACCATCATCAATTAAATCCAGTCAAAGAACTTCAATTATCCCTGAGGGGCAGTTTAGTTTTGCAGTCGTTCCACACTAACAACAGCAAATGTAAAAACCATCTGTAACACTTTACAATAACCATAACTTAGAAATGGTAAATAGACCATTGATAAATGGTAAGCAGATAGTTTATCAATGTTTAATCAGCATTTATAAATAGCATATAGACCATTAATAAATTGCAATTTTTTACAATTTTAAAAACCTAACTCCAACCCAAACCCTAACTTTACAATATCCATCTAAGTAATGTTTATAGGTGGTTTAAATACCAAATATTAACCATTTACAAAATGCTACTGAGACACTTTTAATCTAGATGTTTTACAACCAATATTTAAACCCTCTATAAACCTTTAATAAATAGTCCATTAATAATTAATGAAAATTATTAATCATAATTTCATTGCTTGTTAATGGTAGAGAAACTTTTAACTTACATTAATAAACTATTTGCCATTTATAATTGGTGCTTCACCTATGGAATAGGTTGGGAAAAATATTTGATCATAGATTAATGTTGGGTCTAAAACCTGCCCAAATACGTGAAAAGAAGAGAAAGACAATGGTTTATGCTCGAGGAGAATGGACAGAGATAGCATCAGATGTTTTCTCAAGGCCACTCTGAGAGTGGTTCTCTGTCCTCCCTCTTTTATTTAGGGTTGTCCCTGGTTACACAATGTTTCTAAAGGGTGGGGGAAAAATATGTGCAGCAACATAAGCATATTCATAAAACATAATAATGAACAACTGTGAATATGTGAAGGTCAAGGCGGCATCTAACGAGCTCCTTCTGATAAGAGCGGATCCTCCTCTTATTTCCCACGATTCACAGTGGAGGATACATCACCCACACCTGCTGATAGGAAAAACAAGGAGAATGAAGAAACATTGATGTGCTGTGTAGTAAAGCTATTGGAGAGAGAAGTTAGAAAACACTCTTATATAATAAAAAAACACTCTTATATGATGTATAAAAAGAGGTCAAAACAGTTTATACTTGTAGTAAACTCTTACATTAGAATATGAGGAATAATGATAACTTCTATATACATTTATGCACATTATTCTAACAATTAACAAAAAATTTATTTAACTGGGAGATATCAAATATGTCTCCTTGGGCCAGTGAGATGCAATATTTATTTTCCATTGCTGATTTATCATAAATATTTTATCATAAACTTTGCTGTAATATTTAAAATATATTTTTCAAAAATATAAAAAGAGATGGTCTGTAGAAATAATGAATAAAAACAAATTAAGAATTTATTGTCTTATAAAAAAACATATATGCAGTGGAAAAAGGTTAAGCTCAAAGATCCCTTTGTGCTCAACTTTGTTTTGAGGCACTTTAGCACAGGCCATTGAGACAGGCAGGTTTAGTGGTGTACCAGAGGAACAAAGACTTTGCCTGTTCTGTGACTTAGAATAAATAGAAAATGAGATTCATTTTATTTTCCTTTGTCCTTTGTATGATGAATTTAGACATTTATTTTTCAAGAAAATTAGTTTGTATCCAATGCTTTCTTTTACTTAGATGATTATGAGAAACTTGAATTGTGTTTTGAGATAGGCTTTTTTTTTTATACAGATAACTATACATATAAGTCCTGGGAAAAGAGAAAAAATGTGTTGTACATTAGATTTGAGTTAATGCAGCTTACGGGTGTAGATATAATGGTATGTATGCTTGTATGTTTTTCCTTTTCCTCTTTTTTTACGGTTTACATGCTATGCAACATTGTCTGTTGATATTATTTGGTGCCTTATAAACCCATGTGGGTTGGGCACTTTGTGTGCATGACGCTTAAATAAATAAATAAATAAACTTAACTAACTGTAAGTTTATAGAAAGATTAAAGAACATTTTAACATTTAAAGAACAGAACATATGACAGGCAGTGTGAGTTAACAAAACAGTAACAAAAACAAGTAGATCCATACCAAGCCCTCAGTTTGGAATTATGTCAGAGAGCGTATTAAACTCACATGAAACGCTCTTTACTTATCTTAGTAGATCAGCAGGGACAGCAAAGCAGCATTGCATTGTGGGAGAGCCTCAGCAAGTGAAATGTTGCTTTACAGAGTAAAACAACCTTGAAATCAGTGACTGATTACCTGAATTAGTTTGAAGACAGAAATGTTTGGGCTTAAAGTAATGACTATAATATAATGACTTTTAATTGGCTGAAACTAGACTGAAGTGTTTTAAATTACTGTCAGCTTGAACATGACTACAACTATAACAGCAAGAAAGATTAAAAATTACCAAAACTAAAAGGAATTTCTGTCTTAGACTAAATTCAAAATAGAAAGTTTGAAGATTCTCATGACAGAAACCCTTGGGTTAGATCATAGGACCTTCAGACTGGCCATGTTACAGTTATACAATATTGTAAGAAATGATGTGATTAAACAACATGGGGTCAAAGAAAGCTCAGGAGACTTTAATGTTAGTGTGTCATAGTTTAGAGGCAGTATTTTGGATTTTAGTCACAAACAGATTATTGTTCTCAAATGACAGAGATGTCTCCAACACAGGATCCAAGGTGTGCTGCAAAGCTGGACATCCAGACCGGATCTTCGTGGTTGAGTTTCGTCCTGACTCAGACTCTCAGTTTGTGTCTGTGGGAATCAAACATGTGAAGTTCTGGACACTGGCGGGCGGTGCTCTGATGTATAAAAAAGGTGTGGTTGGAACGGTGGAGGACGGCAGGATGCAGACGATGCTGTCTGTCGCCTTTGGTGCTGTGAGTGTAATTTTGCTTGTTAACTGTTGTTTGTAAAATCTAAAATGGGGAACTTGTTTATTTAAAAGGGTTTGATTTTTGTGTAACGCGTCTTTTTTCCTCAAAAACAGAAACACAACAGAAACTTAGACAAAAAGTTTAGACAATCATACTACAAATGGGATCCCAGGGTCCAGTGATGACTCTTCCTGAACTTGTGTGTTTGCAGAACAACCTGACGTTTACTGGAGCCATTAACGGGGACGTGTATGTGTGGAGGGATCACTACCTTCTCAGGGTGGTGGCGAAAGCTCACACAGGGCCGGTCTTTACCATGTACACCACTCTGAGAGACGGTCTCATTGTCACAGGGGGCAAAGAAAGGCCGTGAGTAAAACCAAAACTGCTGAGAATGAAAACCAGAGACTGTATATAGAATGGACACCGTCTGCCTTCTCGCTGGGTGAAACCACCGTGAGAACAGCACCCTCTGTTGACAGGCTGCAGTAAAGGTCATAAATCCCGCCTCCTCCAGCAATCCCTATGGAGCTGTGGACAAACTTTAGAAATTTATTACACAGAATATAAATTTTTCTCCCCCTTAGTTGTGATGTTGACATGTAGTTACTGTAAGACTGGTTTGTGCTCAAGTCCTCTTTTTTCTGTGCAGCTCCGTTTTTTAAAGTTATTAGGGGTTCATGTTTTCTATGATTGACACTTGATGCAGCCTATGGGTGTACGAAGATTGCATAGCTCACCCGGGGGATACGCTGTTTGAATCGAGCGTTATCACAGTGACTTTCCTGCCGAATGCATACAACTCTACTGCGCAAGTGGTGCAGCGCGTACAACGCTACTGCACAATGTTGGTTTTAGGAAGTGGCGAAAAAACTTAAAAATACCGAGAGCTTCAAATCCTTATACTGGTGGAAGGCGGAACCAGGTTGTCCATAGTATATACAGTCTGTCATGAAAACCTGTTCAACTGCAGCTGTCACACATCAAATACAGGAATCAGAAACGACATAAAGCATCAAACTTAAGGCTTAAAGCTTTAAATAACATGAACTACAGGTTCAAACATTTGCACTGAAAGGAAAGGTCAAAATAATCAATAATATACTTTAACATAGTTTAGGGCACTATTAATCTCTGGTGTGATTTATTTCTGCAACATACACCATTAGGCAGAATGAAAAACCATATTGTTGTATGTATTTTCTGTACCTGCATCAGCCATGTAGTGGCTTACATGTGATATCATGCCAGTAGCCTGTTTATTTGCTCATATATTCTCAAGAAGGAGACTCAAACTGTGCAGTGCACAACAGTACGCCTTAGTGAGTTAATTCCATATCTTATTCAGTTTTTTTTTTATTCTGGCCTGGTCTTGAAGCAGCCACACAGCTGCAAAGTGCTGGAACATCTCTGCAAATGTACTGATTATTTATTTTATCGTTATAAAATACATTTATTTTATTAATTTGTTGTCTCTAACATATACCTGTGTAATGATGTTTTTATATGTACTGTATGTATACTCTGGGTAGACTGAACCTGAGTGCTACACACAAAAGAAATGATCATTTTCTGCTTGAGTCTTGGTTTTGACAAACTGTGAGTTTGCAAGGAAAGTTACAGAGAGACATACAGAGATCCTGGGTTTCAGCTGATCATTAAAACATGTGTGCTGGGTATTAACATACATATTTATGATGTTCATGGGCTGTGTGGCAGGACTAAAGAGGGCGGTGCGGTGAAGCTGTGGGATCAGGAAATGAAACGTTGTCGAGCCTTCCAGCTGGAGACGGGACAGCAGGTGGAGTGTGTCCGATCTGTCTGCAGAGGAAAGGTGAGAACTTCACAGTTTTACTGAAGTGAGAACTTCAGTCGTTACCTTATTTTTGATTCCCCCTAAAGTCCAATCTCGCCTCTACTCAGGGTAAGATCCTGGTTGGGACAAAGGATGGAGAGATCATCGAGGTCGGGGAGAAGAACGCAGCGTCCAACCTGCTGCTGGACAGTCACACCCGAGGAGGAATCTGGGGTCTGGCTGCTCATCCTGCAAAGGAGCTCTGCATCACTGCCAGCGACGACTCCACCATCAGACTCTGGGACCTTTCAGACAAGGTGCACATGTAACAACACACTGAGTCCAAAATTTCTTTCATGGTGTTCGATGCAGAAAAACACGTGTCCACATTTTGTATGAACTAAAGGCTTAAAAGTTCTTGCAGGATATGTCCCTAAATAATTTTTGTACTAATTGACCATTCGGCTATTCCACCCTGTTTGTTTTACCTCTGTAGAAACTGTTGAACAAAGTGTGTGTTGGACACCCAGCTCGGTGTGTGAGCTACAGCGCAGATGGAGAGATGCTGGCAGTAGGGATGAAAAACGGGGAGTTCCTCCTCCTCCTCGCCAACTCACTGAAGATGTGGGCAAAGAAACGAGACCGCAGCGTCCCCATCCAGGACATCAGGTAGGAGGTTTGAAGGAGGTAGCGAAAAAAGGTATACCACCTTAACAGAGGTTATACCGTTTTTTTCTCATTCTTAAAGCAAATATATTAAATCAGAGTCAGGACATAATGTGCACTGCAAATTATTTGGTTCTTACCAAGACAAAAAAAACTTAGATTTAGAAATGTTTGATAATTTTTCTTGTTTTAAGGACTTGATTTTTTATTTTAAGTGTTTAACTTTACACTACTATCTTATATCAAGCACAACCTTATATTTTTTGTCTCAAATAGGCAGGAAATTTAAAAATGAGGAAAATAACTGTTAAAATAAGTTATATTCCATCTTTCTCCCAAAGGCTCATCAAGGGGAATCTTGTTTTAAGATTCAGTAACAAACTCAAGTTGCTTGATTCAAGAGTCACACAAAAAGGATCTAGAAAAAAAGAGTTTATTGCGCTGATTTCAAACATTAGATGACCAATGTTTGTTAAACTAGCACAGGGAATACAAAACAGGCAAACTCAGTCACCTAATACATAATACACAACACATCCATACATACTTTTTCCTTCAAGGCACTGTACTGCCAGAAGACAAGACAGTACACAATGCTGGGAGCAAATAATTTTAGAAAATTTATTGGGATTAATACTCCAAAAAATGTAGAGCAATATAGAGTAAACAGTTTTAAACTTTTTGCAACAGTTGGAATGAAGAATAACAGTAATAAAAAGAAAAAGACAGATATCACCTATCAAGACGGAACAAAATGGGAGTAAGGTAAATCAGTAAAATAAATAAGTGCAAGCAAGTAGCATGAAACGTAGAGTTTTACCTTACCAAGTTATTTGATTAAACCTGTGTGTGTGTGTGTGTGTGTGTGTGTGTGTGTGTGTGTGTGTGTGTGTGTGTGTGCGCGCAGGTTCAGTCCTGACCGGCGGCTGTTGGCTGTCGGTTCTGCAGAGAACACAGTGGATGTTTATGATGTCAGCGGAGGACCAAGTCTGAACCGACTGGTTTACTGCAGCGACATCCCTGCTTTCATCCTGCAGCTGGACTTCTCTGCCGACAACCATTATATACAGGTATATACACACAAAAATACACACACACACAGATAGACACACACACATAGTGCTGATTGGTGATGCGCACAAGTATTTGCTTGCCTCATATAAATCCGCAAACCATTCACCAAACTGTTAAAACAGTGAGTTCTCTGTCTGACACAAACATGTCTTCAGTCACAGATGTGTGTCTTCATTGTGCTCAAAGTTGGACAGTGCAGGTGTTATGCAGTCATCCAAAGTACAAACATATTTTATAATTTCTTCGTGTATGTTTGTAGGTGTCTTCTGGTACCTATATGCGGCAGGTGTTTGAGGTTCCTTCAGGAAAGTTAATTAATGACCAGATCGTCATTGACAGGATCACCTGGGCAACCTGGACCAGGTACAACACACACACACACACACACACACACACACACACACACACACACACACACACACACACACACACACACACACACACGCACATCAAATTCAAATTCAAATTAGCTTAAACAAATTCTGAAGTCTCAAACATATGATTACATATGAGTGATTTAAATCTGCATCCCAATCAAAATCACACCTGGATCTGTCAGTCTGCCTCACGTCTGTGGAGGTAAAACACAGACACAGTAACTTGACAGCATTTTTAATTAATACCCTCTTGTCCTGCAGCATCCTGGGAGATGAAGTTTTGGGGATTTGGCCACGAAATGCAGACAAAGCTGAAGTCAACTGTGCATGTGTGTCTCATGCCGGCATGAACATCGTCACCGGTGACGACTTTGGATTGATCAAACTCTTTGACTTCCCCTGCACAGAGAAGTTTGTGAGTTTGAATTCCTTTTTTCACAGGATGAGGACAAAGCAAAAGAGAAAACAGCACAATCAAAACAATTTAGTTTTATTTGGATTGCACTGGTTGTAAAAGAAAAAAAAGAGAATCAACTGAATAGAAATGCACTTAAAATCCATTAAAGTCCTGCAGATTCAGGATTTTGGGGGCTTTGTAATCTAATCAGCATAAAAGCTCAGAGATGTTTTGTTACACAAGAAGTGTGGACCTCTGTCCACCATGGTAAAGTATTACAATATAATATGAAGCAATTCTTCAGATAACTAAAATCACAACTTCTCACACTGATTTCTGCTGTCCATTTGTTGTTTCAGTTTATGGGGTTCAGATAGGTTAGCTGGGAGGTTGTATTGATATTGAGTTTGATATAATTCTTCAGATTGTTAAACACACTGCACGTACCCTCTGATTGAGAGGAATAAATGGTGTTCACTATTCTTCTTTTTTTCTTTCCTCAGGCCAAACACAAGCGCTACCTCGGCCACTCAGCTCATATTACGAACATCCGCTTCTCCCATGAAGACAAATACGTGATCAGCACAGGAGGAGACGACTGCAGGTGAACTGAGCTCTGATCTAAAACATGCTGTCACACTTAACACTTTTACAATCTGACTGCCGTCTGTACCACACCAAAAAGTTATTTAGAGAAAGATTTACCCCTCAAACAAAAATTTGATTCAAATTAACAAAAGGTCTGTGTCCATGATGACATTTAGGTCTGTGTTGAACTCAAAAACACAACATAAATGCACAGAAAATCATAACAAATGAACCTGATCATTTGCAGACTGAGGCTGGTTCTGTCCAGTTACACAGTTACAAAATGGATTTTGAAGTAAGGCTAAATTTGGCCTCCATTCAGCTTCATCTGTGGTGCAACATACAGGAGGCATGAGGGCCAAACCCAGCCGGACCAGCTTCTCTGTAGTATGACAGAAATGTCAATCTGCTGACAGTGTACTCTTACACAGTGATGCAGAGCCACAAGCCAAATCTTCAGCTTTAGGGCTTTTATTCAGGGCTCTGATCGCAGCTGTGAAAAATCTAGGAGCAGCATGGGGCCATGATACAGATTTATAGGATCATATTATCCCATATCACCCATCCAGATTATTAAATGCGCTAATGATTCAGACACTAGATGACACGGTCAGTTTGGTTATTAGGGGCGGGAATCGCTGGTGGCCCTACGATACGATATTATCACAATACTTGGGCCACAATATGATATTATTATGATTTTTACCTTTTCCAATACAGTGAGTATTGCGATACAATATATTGCAATTTATACAATTTTTCAAACTGTTTCAAAGTAACTGTGTAGCTGATTTAGCATTTGGCTTTCCTTTATGTTTGTCTTATTTACACTTTATTTTCATGTAGCACATCTTGCTAACCTTTATATATATATATATATGTATATATATTTGTTTTACTTACTTTCTCCTGCCCTATGATGTCACCCTTGCCAACCTCACCTGACAAACAGATGATTTTTTCCATGATCATAGATTTAACTTCATATTAGCAATTAATTAAAAAATTGATACTTAGTAAATGAGACGATTCGATATATCACCAGACAAAATATTGCGATACTGTGCTGTATCAGTTTTTTTTCTCCCACCCCTACTGGTTATAATCTTTAGTTTAATTCAATGAATGAATGCTTCTATTTGATTGATCATGTGTAAGTTATTAATCAGACACACTAATGAACTAGAAAACCAAGCATGAAAAGCACAACCCCATCTTTGTTTCCCATCTTCCCTGACTTCAACTTCAGCCTGTGGGGTTTTCTAAGGAAACTTTATTGATAGTTGTTGGTGCCTTGTCCTTATTTAACACCAGGTCATGCTTGACAGTCTCACCATACTGAGAGAGCACATTATTGCATAGATATAATATGAGCTGCCTTTCAACCTCAACATTGATGTAGCTGTTCAGTGCATGCCCTGCTGAGGTGAGAATAGCTTCAAGAACAGCTGATGAAAGTGGTCTTACGCTGTTTTACACACAAACTCTGCCACATAAGGACAGTGAAATAAGACCCAGTTCATTATTGTTATTAGGGTGTTTTCCCCCATATGTTTGTCCTTTTTTTTAGTTCAAAATGTACCGTTAAGGAGACAGAAATAAGTGTTATTTGTTTCAAATGTCTCCCAAAAAAATATCTTAATATTTTTACCTCCTCTGTTCTTTTTCTCCATGTTGTATGTTTGTGTGTTGCAGTGTGTTTGTGTGGAAATGCCTGTAAAACACCATTCGGTGACGCTTTCATCCAGAGCGCCTTAACAGCACCCCAAGTGGATCCAGAGGGAGTCAGACGCATGACCTGAAGGTTTTCACACCACTTTGTAGAAGTTCAGAAGAAGGACGTAGTTACGAAAAGAACCGGACTTCACTGATGAAACAAATGTTTTCGGTCTGTCCTTCTTGAGACGAGACAGAAAACTAAAACCACTTCAGACACTTCACGACGGATCACACGAAGGAAACATCAGACTGATCCCACAGCTGTTGTGAAACAAACTAAGTTCATTGTGAGTCACAGAAGCCAAACTTGTTCGAACATTGCCACACAGCAGCAAACTGAAATATAATATCAAAGATAGCAGGTTTAAAACTGGTCTGATCAGACTGCTGGTAAAAAAAGCATCAACATCCTGTCTCTGTACTGGGATCACTGGGAGAGGACACTGCACTAGTTAAAACAAAAGGTGGTTTGTTGAAAAGACCATATGCAGTTTCATATCAACACAAACATCCTGAAGTTTGTAACAGAAATGAAAACTTGACATTTGATTTAAAATCATTCCTCATTTTAAAAAGCCTTTACTAAGTCTGTCGTTGGAGTTCATCACACTTAAGTGCCTTTCTGGATACTTCTACCTGTGTTTTTTCTTTTCCTTTTTTTTAAGGGTTGATATTTCATACATCTTTTTTTAATTTGATCCATCATTGAACTTAATTTGTACTCTGTCTGGTGCTACACTGAGAATGTTCAAACTTTTATTCATCCAAAATGGACAAAGGAAAAAAACATTTTCTTCGCTGCTGTTTTTATGTTCGACAACGTAAAATGAAAAATATCCAAAGCATCATGATCGTAAGACAACACAGGACAACCGAAGAAAAGAGAATCTATTTATAGACATATTTAAATGTTATTAATGCCTAATCTACAGTCTGGATGAGTTCTCTGTGTCTGAACTGTTCAATATTGACGTTTACTGTTGTATAAAGTGTCAAAGAGTCCGTTTGTGTGAAGATTTACTGAAGAAACATGTTCCAAATGTGACAAACTTGATTTGACGACTCATTCAACATCTTCAGACTCAATTTTTCTTGAATCAAAAGGTCCCTGAAGTACTCACTCAGGCAGGAAGGTTTTTTTCTAAGGTGTACTGAAGGGAATAAAGTCAAGGCCAAGGGTTAAAATCACAACAGAGGAGGAAAAGCAGAGTGAGCTGAAAAAAGTTTATCATCAGGATAAAACTTTCTGACAGCGGAGGAATGAAGTCAAATATACGTAGCTCTTCTAGAGGATATCTTGGGATGAAGTGTGTCTGAAATATGAATTACATTGATCTTGATGTTCTGATCAGTGTCATATACCGAGTGTTTTATTTTTTTTTAGCCAGAATATCTAAATATTTGATAACTGATATATTGATGATGCCAAGAAAAAGTCCCAGAAATAATTTGGACTCTGCTGTCAGGTCTGATTTAACTGCTAACAGTAGGATGTGCAGTGTGCTTGTGCAGAGTGCATGTGTGGTGTGTTTCTCCAACACAGCTGCTGATCTCAAATATAATATAATATAATATAATATAACAGAAGATAAATATAAAGAGAAGAAGCCAAGGAGCATCCACAGTTCAAGAAATGCAACTGTTGAAGATGAAAATGCTGCATTAGGATCTGTTTTATCTCTTTATTTTTCTGCAGGTTGTCAGTTTGTGCAGTTCTTTGATTTCCACATGGTTTGTATCATACTGTACATGGAAATATATATGATGCTCAGATGCATGAATTTATTTTTAAACCAAAATATCTTTGTTGATGATTGATAAGATTTTATGGTGCAAGTTATGTTCACCAGTTGATTTTTATACTAAGGTGATTGTGATTCAAGTATGTGTGTGTGTGTGTGCACATGTGTGTGTCAACCAAGTGTAAAAACAGATTAAATGAGACTTCTGTAAACATGCTGATTGTTTTTCTCCTACCTTTTTGTAGAACTGTAACAATTTTAACCGATTTGACCATCTTAACACTTTTTATTCCATTTATCAGAGGGTCTTATTATTTTTTTGTTTTGTTTTGTTTTGTTTTTTCCATTACAACCTACTGAGCATTTTTTGGTCTAAAAGAGGTCTAATAGAGGTCTAAATGTCGCCCAGACGACTGGTCTAAAATCAGGCTTTCACAGGTCTAAAAATGAAAGTTTTTTAGACTTATAAATTTAGACCAAGTTTAGAATAAATCTAAATCTGGGCTTTATCTATAGTACACTGAATAATGCTCAATGGCTATCATAATTATTTTGGTTAAGTACTTGGAGATCAGTTATGCAACTCACAGTTGTGTTTTGAAATAAATAGTTATCGGATAACAAGTTAAAGTACAACATCTAAATTCCATCTAGAAATATACAGAACCTAGATGGCTGACATTAGGTCTAAAAAAACTAGATGTCTAGTAGCTGTTTATTGCTTAGTGCAGTGGTTCATAAGTCCAGTCCGCAAGACCCACTGTCCTGCATGTTTTGGATGTTTCCCTGCTCCAACACACCTGATTCAAATGATCAGCTCGTTATCAAGCTCTGTAATGGCTTAATAACGAGCTGATCATTTGAATCAGGTGTGTTGGAGCAGGGAAACATCCGAAACATGCAGGACAGTGGGCCTCGAGGACTGAACTTGAGAACCACTGGTTTAGTGGGAAAAGTATAATAACTAAATTAATACAAGTAAATACACAAAAACAAATATAAATTCATAGGAGTCACTTTCAAAGCAGTCTGTCCATATTCCATTTTCTTTTACTCAATCTAGTTTTTTGTTTTGTCGCTGTTCAGTCCTAAATTTTGTTCATCTCATCCATTTCTCTTTGAACTGAGCTTCCTGTAGTTTTAAGCGGTGTGTCATTTTTTCCATTGTGTAGATTTCCTCAACCAGGTGAGTCCATTGGTCCTGTGTAGGGGCGTCTTCCCTTCCCTATTTCTTTGTGATAGCTTTCTTAGCTGCTGTTAGTAATATTTTTACCAAGTATCTGTCTTTCATTCTTATATTTTCTTCACAAAGGTTACTCAAATACATTACTGTACATGACATTGGAATCTTATATTCAAGTATTTTCAACATTTTTCGTGCATAGTGTTTTCAAAGGGCAACAAGAAGGAGTTTCGGCCAGGACTCTTCTACTCCAGAGCAATGCTGTTGCAACACAAGCAAAATGCAGAATGACATTTTGCTAAAATATATAGAAAACTCTCCCCTGAGAAGTAAATTTCTTGATGGTGGTATAGGAGGCTTTAAATCCTGATACTATTCAACATTATTAATGCTTTCTTGGGTGTGTAAACTACATGTGCCACTGACGCTCATGTATCCCCATACCCTGCTGGATGATAACAAGAGGGTGGTCCCTCCCCTCTGTAGAGCAGAGGACATAGTGTTCATGATTCACGAATAAGGATTGTTCAATTTTGAGTTGGTCATGTTTCTGGATCATATTTAAAGGATTCCTCCAAGCATGGTACACTTCTAACCTCCATTTGTGGATGCAGCGACAAACTTCACAGAAATTTTTTTTTTTTTTTAGCCAATGCAGTGATTTCCACTTCAGTCATGCTGATTTTTAATGCAGCACTGCCTGAGAGCCCCTGAGGTCACAGCCATGATGTAATTGGTTTCAACCTTGTCTCTATACAGATTTCTTCCAAAAAAAAAAAAAAAAAAAATTCTTTGCAATCTCTAATTTATGATGGAGTATTAGGACCACATTAAGACTTTGAGATTAAAATTGTTCATTTACAAGAATAAAGTTATTACTAACGAGAATAAAGTCATAATAAAATAACTACTTATGAGAATAAAGTTGTAACTCCTTGTTTGAGAAACCTTCATTAAAGTACATTTTCACAAATTGCTCCATGGCTCTCATTTCAACAACTGTCATCTTAAACAACAGGTTAGAATACAAGGACTTTATTCTTGTAAGTAATGATTTTAGTATGAATTTATTCTCATTAGTAATGACTTTATCTCGTAAACTAACAGTTTTAATCTCAAAGTCTTAATTGTTTCTCTTAATGTGGCCCTCATACTCCGTCGTACTAATTGTAGAGCATTAAAAACTATTTGCTCACACAGGTAAAGCTTAAGATTTTGTTTTCACCTTCAAGAATCTCAAACCAACAAGATTTATCTGGTAAACTAAAGTAATATGACCTGCACTGACTTTTCCCCCACTGTGGTTATTTAGAGAATCTAAACTCCTTACAAACCGTTCAGACTTGCTCTTATTACCACCAGGAAGACCGAAGGCTTCTGAGTCACAGGTTTGTAGGGAAATGAAATTTTCTTGGCTTGTTTCTTTTTTTTTCTTATCTAAAATATAGATTGTAGCTAGCCTGACACAGGTAACCAGACTTTCACTGAAGCCTGCGATAACAAACCCACAGATTTATTTAAGTGTGAAGTTTAACACAAGGATAAAGTCAGGAATGCAAAAGACTTCTTCCTTTCGGTTGTAGTTTCTCTTTTGCTCAGTTGAAGCATGCTCACATCTATTAAAACTACAAGTATAATAATAGATTATCTAAAAAGGACTTTTTTGAAATCGATTACATGTGTGGCAGGCTAAAGCTTTTAGAAGCTAACTGGAATTAGCAGCATTGATGGACAGATGAGGAGGCGGGGCTTTCTTCGTCTAGAAGCTTTATTGATAATTGTTCACATCTCACAATGCATTCCACAAACACGGCTCCCAGCTGGAAGCTTTTTATCGTCACAATTGAAGTATGAAGTTTATCATTCACAATTATACTTGCATAACAAACAAATGCTCAAAGGTTTCCCAAAGTCACATCAAGTTGCAACTTTATTAAGATATTGGCTTCACAGACAGCATGGTTATTTATTTTTCTTTAAATCCCATTTCATTTTTTTTTCTCTTTTTATATATTTTATCTGATGTGGATGAATGTAAACGTGTTCCTTCCAGAGTTTTTCATTACTAGACAGCTGCAATGACATGGAAATAACAACTTGTATGTAATTAATGAGTTTTTATTTGTCTGGCAAAGGTTTTCTAGATGTTTCTAGCTAGAGTTACTCAGAAGCAATGAAAGTTTTATATGGTAGTACAAGCCCCCACCCACCCCACCCCCGCTGCCTCATCAGGAGTCAAAGACGTCGTTCGCGAATTCGTCGTTCGTCACATCGAGGCGAAATCACGCAGAAGGTTACTGAGGAAACGAGCTGAAAGCTTTAGGGACACGACAGTAAAATCACAAAATACTTGTAACTCAGTCATCATACCAAAATAAGAAAAATACAAATGAGGTGCTGCTCGCTCTCGTCTTCTCAAAAACAGCAGACGAAGAAAAAACTCTCCACTCGACTCAACTGAGGGCAGGGAAGAATAAAAACTCAAAAATAACCTGAAGGAGACACTAACCTCCCACAATGCACTGGGTGGGGGGAGAGAAGGGTTAAAGCTCAGGTTTAAAATGTATTTCTGTGAGTTTAAGAGACACACAGAAACAAACATTTCCGAACCTGATCAAAAATACAAAGCATGAAGCTGACCTGGGCGTCTCCACTGAACTCTGACTGTTGTCAACTTTTCCAGAAAACACAAAGAAAAAAAACAAAAAGGAATTCTGAACTGGAAAAAAAGGATTTTATTATTTTGACAAATAAAGTAAGAAGGGCTGCGTCCACGCCAGACCCCTCCTCTCCTCCTCCTGCCTTCCTTCATATCCACCCTCCCCTCCCTCACCCGTACACCCTTTTCCCTTTTCCCCTCTCCTCTATTCCAACCATCCAACCACCTCTCTCTCAGGACTTCCTGAATCCAAACTCCGACTTATCGTTCCTTCACTCTGTTTTACGTTTCATCCCGGGCACCTTCGCCTGGATCCTGCAGGGAGACAAGAGGATCAGGGATTGAAATGGACAAAAAGCAAAGAAACACTTTATGAACAGAGAAATTAAGAGTGTAAGGGGCAAAGCCTGAAAGACCAAAAAGTATTTTTTTTGATCATTTCATTCAAAGAAAACTCTCCTATAACCCTTTTTCTTTGCAAGATTCATATTTTTTCCTTCTCTTAAAATGCATCCCTCACCCAGGATTTCCACCGCATCCAGAACGGCGATTTTCGCTGTACGCCCATATCTACAAGATCCATTTGTGAGGCGAATTTCGTGGCAGATTACGGAAACAAGTTCTATTTACCCACATAGGCTAACTATATAAGCAGTAGATTGTGTCCTTCCAGAGGAGGAAATCTACTTTTCGACTTATAAAATCAGCATCCTCTAATCCAGTGGTTCTCAAGTCCAGTCCTCGAGGCCCACTGTCCTGCATGTTTTGGATGTTTCCCTGCTCCAACACACCTGATTCAAATGATCAGCTAGTTATCAAACTCTGTAATGGCTTAATTACGAGCTGATTATTTGAATCAGGTGTGTTGGAGCAGGGAAACATCCAAAACATGCAGGACAGTGTATGTCTTTTCGTAGCCGTTCCGAATGCGGTGGAAATTGAGGGTCAGACTCATTCAGTCTGAAAAGCCTCCTCTCATGTTTCCTGTCAGTTATTTTTTTAGTGGATTGATGAAGAACTGAGTCAAATCTTCCTGCAGCGTCATTCTGGGATGAGTGTTACATTATTCAGTAAATATGTAATGTATTAAAAAGTATTTATTTTCAGTTTGCAAATATCACAAATACTCTATTCTTTTTAACATGATGTACTTCTGATTAACAGAAAAAAAAAACAATGACGTTCAGACATTTTCCCTTTAAAAAAAAGATTCAGAAGAAAACTGCCAACTCACTTTCCAACGACGTCTTTCACCTGGTTGTTGACCAGAGCCACGTAGTGATCGATCTGAGTCTGAAAAAAAAAGACACACAGAGAGGATGTGTCAGGATCGACAGAAGTCAGTCTTCAGGGTGGACCGACACCAGACATCAACTTAAGTAAATGTGTCATTCAAGACATCTGGTCACTTCTTCCAGTCAAAGTAAATGGTCATGAAAATGATCGCAGGGAATAAGAAGTAGTTCTATGACTATTATTGGCTTTGGACCATTAACGCTTCCTTATATTATTTGTTTGGTTAAAAGTCAACCCAAATCAAACTTCACTGATCGAATTATCAATCTAAAAGATGCTCCATGAAATAAGGACTAGTGTGGCAGCACCAGGTGGTGATTTGGACAGATATTAAAATGAAACCATTTAAGAAGTTTCCAACTGCTGACAACTCCTCAAGGATTTTTGTTTGGATTCACAAGAAACCAGGAAAGGTTGGTTCATTCTTGAAGCGTGTGTTGGAGATTTTCTGCTTTAACATTTAGAAGTCAAAGGTACAGAAAAAAGTATAAAGAGCAGCATCTAACAGAACAGACTGTATTTTTACAGCAGCACAGAACAAACTAACTACAGGGTTTCTGCAGGTTTCAACAAGTCAAATTTAATACATGAAGGGAAATCAGAACATTTTAAACTAACTTCAAATCAATCTATATTTGTAAGGAACATAAATACATTTTTAAGACCTTTCAAATATGTATTTAAGTCGTTTTGTGAGGTTTTTAGAGAATGTTAGACATTTGAAGGCCTTAAATTCTCATTATTGGATTTTAGACAATTCAAGACTTTTGAAGACCCAGCAGAAAGCCTGTAACTAAACACACAGGTGTACTTTGTGCATCATGAATGAACCTCCTAGAGATAAAAAAAAGAAGAGGAGAGTAGTTGTTGTTCTGAGTAGTTGTTGTTCACTCTACTTAAAAAAATAGAGTGACATATTGATCACACGTTACTGGAGCTTTCTGTCCTTGAAGGCTGCTGTCACCCCACTGACAGGAGGGATGAGCGGGGGGAGTGTTTTGATTAAGAACCTGACTGCTAAATATTCCCATTTCGGCACACTGCACCACTGAGTACAAGCGCAGAAGCATTAACTGCAGTGGTGAAGTCAGGTCCAAATACCTCACAATCTTACAGCAGTGTAGTGTTTAAATAGATTTACATTCCACCGCTGCACCTTCTTCATGCTGAGTCACCAGCCCTCTGTTATTACTGTGCGCTGACCTCTCATTTCAAGCTTACATCATTTCTCTTTAAAAGGGCGATGTTCCCACTATTATTGACAGAGTTGCATATTATGAGGCAGTTACATCCGAGATAAAAACAACCTCAGGGACCTCATTTTAAAAGCAAGTCCTATTAGACACTCCGCAGTCAGAGACCTTCTAACAGGGGGTGATGAAGCATTCCTCATCTCTAGAGTTGAAGTTAAATCCCTGCTGAAAGTTTGAGGGTTCTTACCTGGTGCTTTTCGTAGATGATCGGGCAGCTGAATGCCGCAATCAGAGCTGAGGAGGAGAAGAAGAAGAAGAAGTTTGTTTACTTTAGTTTCACTGCCTAGTGTTTCTTGTTTATCTCAGTTCTAAACAGAAAACTACAGAAATGAAGTTTTTTTTAAACAAATATCACTTTCTGGAGGATTCACATCACCACTAGATGGAGCTACAGTAAGAAACAAACATCCTCTGCATTAAAATGTACGCCCTAAATACAAGAATGACAACGTTTACATCGTAAGACATTATAAAAGTCATGTTTCCTCACCCAGAATAAGAAGAGTGAGCCCGTTGAACAGGGCACCAACATAGGTCAGGATCCACATCAACACAGCAAACTGCAGACAGAAGGACATTCAAGTTTAGTTTTAGATGTTATCAATGACATCTGAGGCCTTACAACTGAGTAATATTACAACATGACAATCATACATGCCCAGTTTGTAACTGCTTAGTCTTTTTGAGCTTACAGAAGAAAATCAGTTCATCACATGGTTCGATTTAGCCTCCTTATAATATCAAATATCTTTTAGGTTTCACAACCAATCACCTTCGACTGGTTTACCCCTGGTTTAATCTATTCTGCAGCCGAGAGGATGCGGAGGATCATTAGACTGTGTGACCCTGCGGCTGCCTTAATATGAACGTTTAAAGTGTTGTAACAGAACTTGACAGATTTCTCCTCTTGTTGCTTATGAACATGTAAACAACCGGAGCTAACACTGCTGCTGGTATAAAGACCCGGCGCAGTTAAACAGTGAGATTTCCGACTGGAGGCGTGTGATTAAATGTGTGAGACATTTTAATGAGCTGCTGGTGTGGCGGTAAATATTCACCACTGGCACTGAACAGGAAATTAATCAGCGGCAGGGGAATAAAGGGAAATATTTTTATGATACTCCCAGACACGCGGGCTCGTAATCTGCGGAGAGATTTTTAAACATTCCCGAGGCTCAAATTTGTTCCTGATCCGATTAGAAGCATCAGACTTTTTACCCTCTTAGGGATTTTCTCTCTGCAGTGCGCCCACTCGCTGATGGAGTAAGTGCAGATCTGTATTTGGACTGCAGGCTGGAGACCATGAGCGTGAAAGTGACGACAGGCCTCAGCCTGACAGACTCTTAGTGTATCTGGAGTGAAGGGTGGGTACCATCACTGATTGTAGACATGTCAACACTGTTTAGGCTCTGCTGATAAACACAGTGAATCTTCAAAACCTGGTCTCTGACGGCCTCTGACCACCAGTGGGATCAGGAGGTAGACGATCCTACAGATCCTGAGAAACAACCGCCTCTCGGGTTCAACAAACACGTTTCCCTTTGAAAGGAGTCTGACAAGCTTTAGTTGCCAGAGGTTTTTTTTTTGTTTCTTTTTTTATCTAGACTGTATTTAAAGTGACATCAGTTCTCCAACACTTCGTCAGGGCTAAAAATACCACATACTAGGGTTAGAAGCCCAGAGTGAGAATTAACCAAACATCATGACATTTTAAACGCCCACAAATCGCAAAACTAAGGCAGCTGTAAAGAAAGAAATCATCATTAGTGGAGTTTCCTAAACTATTAAAAAAATATGTGGTCAATATATAATGTCCCAACCAGCTGTTATCTGAGACACAGTGGTGTACTGAGGTATTCTGTTTGAGTATAGGCAGGTAAGCAAACACACACACACACACTTCTCTGAGTTAAACAGGCCACTTCACGTCATAAAGGACAGGGACTGCAGTGTTTGACTCCCTTAAATATGCAAAAACACACACTGAGTGGACCTGTGGGGGTGGGAGAGAGCTTGAGAGGGGAGGGAACTTCAATCCCTCACCTTTTTTCTGTTACGTAATGTTGTATTTGGGTAATCTATATATTCAGTCTTTTTTTCTGAACAATCTAAGCTTGTGTTTACATATGTATCTGCTCACCTCATAGCCTTTCACTTCTATTATCCACACATGCATAAAAAACACACACTCAGTCTCACCCCACCTCAAACCATTTGTCTTTTCTGAACGTAACATAGACCTGAAATGACAATACGCGTTCTTATAGTTGAACCAGGTTTGAACAAGACTTGTGAATGATGTAGTGTTTTATCACAATCCATAACTCTGATTGTACAGAATGGCATTAGCAGCAAGTAGCTCCACCTAACACAAGGGATAGAACAGCGACTGAAATCGACAGTATATCAACCAGATCATTGAATGCAGATGTTAATCTTAATTGGACGGGAAAAAAATGGTGAAAATGATCTGTGTCTCAGCAAGGCAGTCTGCCCAGGTATTGTTTGTATGTGTGAAAAAACACAAGATCAGGGTTCCTACACAGTTGGAATTTCCATACCCTACTTTTTGAAATTATTTTTGGAAATTCCTACTTTGCTATTTTCGAAAACAGTATTTTAGAGCTGTGGTAAGAGTCTGGAAACAAATATTTTTCCACTTTATTTTTCTCTTTTCATACTTTTTAAGACCTGGAATTTGATCAAATTTATTTCCATTCCAGGCTTTGAGTTGAGTTTTAAGTTTCACTACAATGTGTACCAGGAGGTGGGTAGAAGGCTGTTGACTGATCACTGTCAGACTTCACTAACTTAAAGGTATATTTCTACCAAAGTTAAAGCTGTTTTATATAAAGGTATGCTCTTCTGGAAACAAACCTGAGACATCATCTTCAGTCATTGTCGGTCTCAAATGTAGCTCTTTTTTTTTTGTCTTGAGGAGAATGTGACTGAACCTCTACACCTGAAACCAGGCTCTTCTCAGACCACACACTGATAGTTTTATTAGTTTATGTTTCAAAATCAAAACTGGCCCAGACTTAGTTCCTCTGGGGCTCACTGGTCAGCTAAATCTTATTAAAAATGAGCTCAAAAATCCTGATTCATGTCATGCTGGAACAAATCAGCTTAGATGTTCCTCTTCCACAAGTTTCCTGAAGCGTCATTCTTCCTGACTTTTTCCCTTACTTGGTGATTTGATGAAGGTGTTGTTGCCTGCTGTGAACACATCATCCTAAACCTCCTGTTGGTATCAGGCCGACAAAAAAAAAAAAAAAAAAAAAAGTCCTCTTGAATATTTCAAAGAATCCTAAAGCCTTTTCAGTCGTAACTAAACTCTCACAGGATCTCTCTTCTTTGTTCTTACTCGAACCTTTTGGATTTCACAGGGGTCTCTTAAACATAACAATGTGACTTTACTCAGTTAAGTTTACCAGTCCATTTCACTGCTGGGTTAGGTTTGACACCTAGGAGCTGTTTATCTTAGTGGCAGAGTTTTTCAGGTTTAAATGATGGTGTCTGAATTATGTGAAGAGCGGTTGTTGTCACCTTGATGGAGTCGACCAGGTCCTCTACCAGGAACAGGCGCCGCAATTCACTGATGGTCTTGTTGAGTTTGGCCAGAACCATGTCGCTGTACTTGTGGACCATATCCTCAGAAAGTGCTACCTCCTGGTCCAGGAACTGCCTGAGAGGGACAGCAGAGATGATGATAAGACAAGTGTGTGAATAGAAAACATCTAAAATAAAAATAAAAAAGGCTGTACTCTCAAAAAAAACCATCACAACCAAATATTTTATAAAATGATTTTTAAGCACATTAAGACCTCCCGTTTAAGTTCTGTGTCATATCATGAACATGTGCTCTTTGTGCAGGTACTGTTTCTAGAAACCTGAAGAAGAACTCTGCACTATCACTACACCAGGATCTTTAGTTATGTAGAGCCTGGGGCTCCCTAAATTGTCCCTGCCTAGGAGGTAGTATTTCGAAACATGCAGAAACTCTTAGAGGTGGAAAAATCAATACAGCATAGTATCACGATATTTTGTCTGGTGATATATCGAATCGTCTCACTGACCAAGTATCGATTTTTCAAATTAATTGATAATATGAAGTCAAATCTATGATAACAGAAAAATAAAATCAACTGTTTGTTCAATGAGGTTGGCAGAGGTGACATCATAGAGCAGGAGAAAGTTAGTACAACAAATTTATGTATTAGGTTTGCAAGATGTGCTACATGAAAACAAAATTCTGTGTAAAGAAGACAAACATAAAGGAAAGGCAAATGCTAAATTAGCTTAACAGTTGAAAAAATTGTATAAATTGCAATATATTGTAGCGCAATACTCACTGTATTGCAAAATGTTAAAAATCACAATAATATCGTATTGTGGCCCAAGTATCGTGATAATATCGTATGGTTGGGCCACTAGTGATTCCCAACCCTAGAAACGCTGGAGTTGTAGAGCTGTTTTTTTGTTTTGTTTTGTTTGATTGGCCCACAAAAGTTTTATTTAACCTCCATATTTAAGACGTACAAGAGTTTGTTTTTTTTCTCTCATTTCCTCCTCATTTTTCTCATTCATTCCATTAGAAAAACCACAAAGTCCAGGACCAAAGACCAGGCCTTGTTGAGCTTTTCTGCTTAGGATGAAATCCATCCACCACACTTAAGATACATGCAAAATACCGCAGAAAAACAGCTGTAACTTCACAGGTCTTTGCATTGAGGCAGAATCTAACGCTATAAATTGCCGTAGAAATACCTCCGTCAAGCTTGAGGAAAATGAGACTTCTGAACAGAGTTTTTTTCTGATCCTCTCTGAGGTTTAGAGACCGTGAAATCTGTAGAAATCAGCTTGAAATGTGACTCTCTGAGCTCTCTTTTTCCGAGCTTATGTTAATCTGAGTTAATTGACCTTTAATGTGCTGTGAGGTCACTTCTGAAACCTGCAGGTGAAAAAAATAAATAAAACACACCATAAGAGGGTTTTGTACGACAGCCAGGAAGGAGGATGAAGTAAAAACAAGACGTGAAACTAGCAGGCTGCGAATTTAAGTGCTCTTAATTTTCCTCTTTCAAACGCTCATAGATGTTATGTGTCTGTGTTGTGTCGTGTCCACCATTCATGGCTCGCAGAGTTGGTAGAAGGGTTATTTTTAGATGAGACTGTGTGATCTAGATGTGACATATATAAAAACATGAGCAGAGAGACCAGACTGCCTGCAGCCCTGACTGATAATGAGGATTAATCGGGTCACTGGCTTTTGTGGTCGACTTAAATTCCCATCAAAATCAGACGAGCAGAAGGGTACCTTTGATGTTTTCTTTATAGAGCCTTTACTATCTAACAGGTAATATCAAGTGTGAATCTTTCAAAAGGAATATTTAATACTTTAAGATGTCGGCTCCTGCAGAAAAAAAGATCAAATTCAAGTTTATATTTGTTCCTCTGCGACATTTGCAGGATCAGCTTTGCATTCTAGGGACAAATAAATATCAGGTAATGGGTTTGCTGTTGATACGAGGCTCAACCATTATCCTGTGCTGTAGTCGGAGCAGTTACGGATGTTTGTTTTTGAGAAAACTTCAGAGGACCACTGGTCTATGGCTCGTGGTGTCTTCGTGACCCTGGAGAATTCATCTCCTGTTACTCTTTGGTACCTACTTGAATGGATGTCCCTCATCTGACTTCTGGATGGCCTGCAGGATGCCTTTGTATATCCTGAAGCAGATGGTGACTGAGAGCAGAGCCAGGCCGATGTAGGAAGAGACGCTTACGATGCTGCATACCATCAGAGAAAGGAGCAGCAGCAGGGCGGCACCGAACACCACGCCTGTGGCCTTCACATCTCGCCAGTAGAGGAGATCCACCACTGCAGGAGGAAGAGAGACAGTTCATTTCAACCATCCAAATAGACTGTAGAGTAAGCAATGATACTTAACTTCACATTAGGTTTGGCAAAAATAAGAGGATGAATGTTCTTAAATGAAGGTATTATTTTGAAATGATTGAAATTCTTTCTGGTTCATTAAGCAAGTATTAAAAATTGTATTTATTTGCACTCCAGTCTTAAAATTTGACCCCTTTTGCTGCTAATCCTGATTTTTTTTTTATTCTTAATGATTTACATCTGCAGGTTTCCTTTAAACAAGACTCAACAAAAGCATCTCAACAAGATTTTATTTTTTAAAAATCTTTTTGCTGCTTTAAGGGAGTGATTTCATACTAGAGTCAGCAACTTGAATTCATAGAGATTGATGTTTGGTGTTATTGAGCGAAACAAGATAAGAGCAGGAATCTATGAGGTTACTGTGGGAGAGGAGGGAAAGACACTTGCTGAGAGAGGAAATAAAATGAGGAATTCTGTTTTTGCACTACAGCAAAACAAATCAGTGCTAAGTTCAAGTGCCCTCAGGGAAGATCTGCTCTTCACCAAAGCGTAATTAAAGTCAAACTTTGTGCTTCAGTTCTCATCAGACCATCACATGTTGGGTGCATGTGATTGAAACAGCATTATCTCCATCTATGAACTCTCTCTGCCGCATCTCTGAGTGGGGGTTATATGTCCCACACTATGAGACTCATACAGTTTCAATCCCCCCACAAGAGGAAACTCAGAGCAGATTCTGACTCATAAACTTCATTGTGGCATCAGGGTGAAAAGTGCAGAGACAAGGGAGAATTCAGAGTGATGTCACGCCAGCACCAGCGGCCATATTGCGGGTCACAGTCTGTGACCTGGACGTCCATTACTTTAAAAACTGCACCAAAAAAATGACAAAGTTGGCTGCTGGTTTAAGGAAAAGAACAGAGCTCAGCTAATTCTCACGAGACCATTTTAACAGAACAACAGACGTTCATTTATTGTTTGCAGGGTAGCTGCCTAAGACTTTGGGTTTTGAGCTGTTAATCTAACAAAAGAGAATATGTGGTTGTACCCTGAGCTTATGCTAGAACGATAAAGAAAGGCTAAAATTGAATAGCATAATACAGCGGTTCTCCAGTCCAGTCCTGGAGGCCCACTGTCCTACATGTTTTGATGTTTCTCTGCTCCAACACACCTGATTCAAATGATCAGCTCGTTATTAAGCCATTACAGAGCTTGATAACGAACTGATCATTTGAATCAGGTGTGTTGGAGCAGGGAAACATCCAAAACATGCAGGACAGTGGGCCTCGAGGACTGGACTTGAGAACCACTGGCATAGTAGATTACGTTTCCTACAGCTCAATTAGTTCAAAAAATTATCTTGAAATTGTTCTTTGGAGTTTTAATAGATTCATACGGATGTTTCTCTGTGACATACAAAAGCAAACATCAGCAACAAGACCAGTTCAAACTGTTGATGTCTATGGGGCACACAGATGGCCGAGCATGTTCGCACGCCCCATGTATAGCGACCACAGTCTCCGCAGCAGTTGGGGTCCAAGTCCAACCCCAACCAGGTGCTGCATGTCCTCCCCCCTCTCTTATATATCTCCACATTTCACCCTATCCGTTCAATAAAAGGCAAAAAACACCCAGAAAAATACTTTAAAATAAATACTGTTGCTAGAGAGTAGGAGTCAGACAAATTCAGCACACCGAAACATGGCCTCTTTCCTACGTTTTAGGAAGAGACTAAAGCAATTAATTGGGCCCATTGGCACCAAACCAACGTCAGCCCTCATTAGATCGATGTCAACATCATTTCATTGTGAAAAGATGATTGTATCAAAGCCCCCAATTAGAGAGTACCCCTAACATGATCGTCTTTTTTCTGGAAAGATCACTTTAACATCCAAAACCACTGCACTGCGATGTGTCATGTTAAAAATCGATGTCTCTGCTCACTCACTAGACATCTGATTTCCTCCCTTAAAGTCCCAGTTAACTAAAGGTTTCCGACAATTTCTTTGGTGCAAGTGTTTCCCCGCAAAGGTTGTTTTCAGCATCCTTTTTGTGTTTGTTTTTTTACTGGTGATTAGACAACAGCTTTTAGACGGCCTACAGCCATGTGGCAGGCCTCGGTAAAAATAGTAAAATATGTATTTTTATGATGAGAAAACAGTAGCACTAACTTTACTGGTCCATTGGTATGATCAAAAACTGGGGTTAGGCTGAGTTTTTTGGCGTAACGCACCAACTGTGTCATGTATGTCAAAACTTTAATATGGTGCTTTAAGTCCATACCCTACTTTACATGTGAAATTTTGCATGTTAATCAGCGATAGCAGCAGCTGGAGTTAGATCTGCATGTTCTTTGGTTCTGAATTATGGGTGCTGCGGGCAGTTACTTCAGCTCTCTGCGGACCCAGACAGACAGGTGGGGATGGTGGTCGGACCCTGCTTAAGACAGCTGAGCTCATGACCTGGGTCCAGCACTGAGCATGCTCATATTTCACCGGGGAATTCCGGGCAGGTCACTGGACATTATTAGCCGTGAAGAAGTCCTGGGTTTTCTGCTTGGTCTGACGACTAGCTGCAGCACTGACGTCACACCCGACTGAAACATGCTGTTCTCACTTGTTCTTAACCCCTAGTGTTGTGTCTCATGCTGGAATCTCACAGGTTCTCCTAGAGTGTCTACTGTTACACTAGGGTCAACATCACACGCCTCCCTCGGTGCATATACACATAGATAAAGTGTGTTTAATGATAAGCAAAAAAGCATTAAAATGCAAACTGAGGCAGCAGGATGAAATGATGCTCTCTCGCACAGGGAGACAACGGCAGGTGCTGCGAGCGAGGGCGGCCTTGTTGCTTAGCACCAGACTGACTCACTGAGTGACCACATTATGTCTGGCAGCTCACCACAGTATTCCTTAAAATGATTCAACAGTCAGTTAATGAGCTTATGAGGCTGGAAAACTGCACATCAGATTTCCTGCAAGGTAGCAAAATCCAGCTTATGCCTGCACCCATTGCACAGAAATATAAATACACAAAATGCTCCTCCTGCAGATTAGGGCCCCTGCTAACAAAAGAGTATAGACCATTAAAGTCATTTATCACACAAAAGCTGGATTCATAGACTGCATATATACTATGGACAACTTGGTTTCGCCTTCTGTCAATATACAGATTTGAAGACGAAAAGCTCTTGGTAATTCTGCGTTTTTTCTCAATTTCCTGAAACCCACATTGCACAGTAGCATTGCACGCATTCAGCGGGAGAGTAACTGAGAGTCGCTGTGATGAGGCTTGGCTCAAACAGTGCATCCCTTGGGTGAGCTATGCCATCTTTGTACGCCCATAGGCTGTATCAAGTGTTAGTCATAGAAAACATGAACCCCTTAATAACTTTTAAAAATATAGAGCTGTACAGAAAAAAAGAGGACTTGAGTACAAACCAGTCTTACAATGACTACAAGTAAACATCACAAGCAGGGGGGAGAAAAAATTATATTCTGTGTAATAAATTTCTAAAGTTTCTCCGCAGCCCCATAAGGATTGCTGGAGGAGGAGGGATTTATGACATATACTGCAGCCCGTCACTAGAGGGTGCTGTTCTCGGAGTGGCTTCACCCAGCGAGGAGGCAGACGGCATCCATTCTATATACAGTCTTTGGCTGGATTTCACGTCTGAGATGTGAAAATTAACTGTACTTCTGTATTTCTACTTTCACATCGTGGCATCTTTGGTATGCATGAGTTTTGGACTGATAAATGCAAAACATTGACTTAATTTTGACTTATTGTCCGAGTTCCTTATGACATGAAAATGGGCTTCAATTCCGTTTTAACTGAGCTTTTGATTTTTACTTGTCTTTCGGTGTGGTCTACGACAACATGTCAAAGCGCTTTGAAAACATATGTTTTTTAAAAGTGCTATACAAATAAGGTTATTATTATTATTTAACAGTTTTATTTTGTCAGTGATTTATTCTGTTTCAAATTACATGAAATAAGCCAATTTAATACATGAAATTTGTCACTACTATGTATATGTAACACCAGGTATTAATACTGTGGTCAATTATAGATAAATGTCCTTATTTCTGAACACACTCTTCTGTGTTACATAATAATTGTAGGAACAGTTTCCACTGATTTCAGAGCAGCACTCACTCACTGGTCTCTGAAGGGAATATAGACACAAAGTTTCTTTAAAGAGAGCAAAGCAGCTTTATATTCATTCGGGAAGCTTCTTACTTGTTGAGCAAACAACTGTGTAAATGTGGGCGTTGACAGCTGTAAGCCAGGCTGCGTGTTTGCACGTTAGCTGACAGTCAGCTCTGTTGTCAATATCTCACTGTTTAACATGCTAATTCTGGGTTAGCTCTGTTAGCCACACAGCAGCAGCTGTGCTGCTTTTGACAGAGGGCCTTTGTCTGGATGTAGAGACACGGAGCTAACATGAGAAATGAAGAAGAGGTGGGAGGGAGGAGGAGAGTCCGCGGTCCAAATGTGGCTGCCTGGCTACATATGGTAGCAGGCGTGCTAGCATCGCCGGGGACTTGCTAAAAATAGAGCCCGCATCACAGCTAGCTAAACCCCGGCCGCTGATCTCGTTTCACTTCTCGCTATGTATAATCACCCCCCTGACCCCCTCATCTCTCCATCATGGTCAGAACCGTTTCATAACACACCTCGGGATGCCGACCCTGCAGCCCAGACCTTACCGCGGGTACAAAACGTCAAACAGCCCGGCATGACCTCCGCAGTCGGCCTGGTCCGCCTCCTCCCACCCTCCACGGACTAAATCCGGCACAGTTCCGGTGCTCATGCAAATACCGCACTACAAATGCGACCAAACCATACGCACGTTTAACAGAGGAGAGAGGTGGTGGATAAACAAAAGATTATGACCACACTAACCCCGTTTGGCGTCCATCTTGAACCTCCGCTATGCATGCAGCAGCAGCAGAGCAGCTCCGCCTGGCTGAGAGGTGAGGGAACGAGGGAGAGAGAGAGAGGCTGACGGATACAGGGAGAGAGCCAGAGACATGCGCAGCTCGGACCCTGTGTTTGATCGATGGACCACCGATCATTACTGCAAACGTATTTTAAGCTGACTGAAAGTATTACAAAGCCTGTCAAAATGAGGGACATACTTTCACGTGCAGCTGGGAGAGATACAGACTAAAATAACTATGACCACAATTACCTTTCAGCACTTATCAAACCATCTATTTTTCACAGGCCATCATCTTTGTTCCAGACTCCCCCAACCAACCACCCACCCACCAAAATAGAAGAAAAAACTGTATCGTTGTATAAAATCAGACCTGTTGCATGCAGCAGGTTACAGCACAAACACACCCTCAAACAGGTGATCTTTGCACAGCACTTCCACTGATGACAAATGCAATTACAAGAAGTCATCAGCTAATATTAGGCCTGAGACAAACCACAGTACGGTCAATAAACTTGAATAGCACCAACACTAAACACACTTTGCAGAAAATATGCAGACTATGTGCCTGTAGACACAGATATCAGTAGAGACTGGCGCTCCTTGTAAAGCTTGAGGCATTGTGTCAACTGGAAAAAAAAAAGGCTTGATATTGTGGCGCAGAAACCTCACCACACATTTTACGCTGTAAATGGCAAGCAACACAGACAAACTTCCCTACAAGCACAAATGCTCAGTGTAGGCAACAAATATACACTAAAGCATGTGCTGCTCATGGCTGAAAAAAACAAGTAATATCAAGCTGAAGCTTCTAACATGTCTATGTCTGTAAGATAGATTTTAAGGTCCTGTTGCAAAGCTATTGTTAACCACAGGGTTAAAACCAGCCCTCAAATAAAAAACAATACATTTCTGGGGGGAAAACTTCACAACACAAAGTTACTTATATCCACCAGCTCCTTAAAAGTAGCTCAATTCTGCACTGGGTAAATATACAGTATTAGTAGACAAAGATCTACAATAGATCCAAATTTTATAGATTCAATTTAAGCTTATATCAAAAGCACACAGAGCCAACTGTTCTGTTTCTGAAAGTTCATTAACTATCATAAAGAAACTGGTTTTCTTAAAAGGATATTTACCACAGGTCAAAGGGGGGTGGTGTTGTTTAACCTGGCTGTAAAAGGACGTCTTGCCAAAGAAAAGATAAAAAATGGAAAGTCAAACCCAAAGCTAGTGGGACCAAAAAAAAAAAAATCCATGTAGGGAAGCTTTCCAGGAAGAGCAGGTGCATGATGGGAGCATCATTGGCACAAAAACAAAGTAAAAACCAACCAACAGGAATTGATCAATTCAGCCTGATTTAACTGCCGCCCTGACAACTACAAACTGAAGCAGCACACATAGTTTTTTAAGTTTTTTATGAATCGAATTGAACAGCTGACGAAAGGCTGTAGGCTTGAGAGTCAATACAGACACCGTGGGACTCTAGAGGGTTCCAAGTAATCATTTGAAGTCAAAATTATCTCTTAGATAACCCATTCACATTCTGTTACATAAAACTCTGCTCTGTCCAAAGTCTGCCTCTTGTTTCTTTGTGCTAAACAAAGCAGGAGCCCAGTCTGAACTCTTGAGCCATTTTCACTTATGAACTGCAGACAATCAGGCCCGAAGATCGCCCTGACCTGACCTTTCATGTCACACATGTAGCACATGGTGAGCAGTGGCACCTCAGGAGAACATACAGGAGAAGGAAGGCTCTCTTTGAGAGATGAATCCAAGTGACTATCCACAACACCAATGCAATACACGAAGATTATACAGGCAATGCAAGGGAGGTAACAGGAGAGGGGCTTTGGTTTGTGATAAACCTGTGAAACTTGAACATCTGTCTGCAGGTTAACAAATATCCTGCTGGGACTGAACACCATCTGCACACAATGAATTATTCACACTACTGTTGAGAAGTTGTTCCCCTTGAATGATGCAGCCACACCAAAATGTGAAAGAACTAAATTTCACCACTGAGGGGCCCTTGAGCAAGGCATCAAGGAAGGCACCTTGGCTGAGACATCTTTTACTTCTGAAGACCGATTTTAACCTCATTAATAAAACAACACATCTGAGAATTATGTACCAAGAAATGCAACCGTCTTTAAATACAAACAATAAACTCAGTAGAAACATCTCAAAGGGCTGATACTTTCTACTCTTGAGGACTAACAAGCTCAAACCAAGGTCTTAAAAGTCGTCTATTATCAAGATTAATCTCTGTTATAAACTAACATAAAACCTAAACACAACAGAGCTGAATGGCTGATTAAAGACAGTCGGTCATGCATATTAAGAAAACCAGCACAAAGGATATTCCTTCAGTGTTTGTTTATGTGTGTAAAGCGGTCTGGAGTTATCAATAGTACTGGGAATCAATGATAATCCAGATTACCCATTACTCCTAATCACTCCTGTTTAGACTTTAAAACCCAAAGATATTCAATCAGTATACTCTGAACCTGATTTAAAGTTCAGTTTCTGGAACCCTGATAAATAAAATGTTCTTGTCAGGAAAGAAACTATTTTATTCATAAACTTGACATTTGACTGAATCTCTGTGGAACCAGTGACTATTTAAAGTACAGTGCTACAGCTCTTTATGTTAGCAGACCTGGTCTGACTTTTTTTGTTTTTTAGCCCAAAGTAAAACTCTTGAATGGTCCAACATATCTGAATCTCCCTGCCAAATCCAAGTGAATAACTGAGATCTGCAATGTTTGAAATGTTGCTGACATTTTATTGGCCAGTTTAGGGCTAACTGTAAAATATGCTACTTTTTTCTTCTCTGACTGCTTAGACTGCTCAGTTAGTTTCTCCCCCAGTGGAATAACATCTGAATATACGCCGTGATAGCCCACTGGCAGATACAGACATCCATGTTACAAAATAAGAACATGGCTACAGGCCATATTTATTTTTAAAAGAGCAGCTAGCCACTTACTGTATTAGAGTGTTAACAAATGGCTTGTAGTCAATGTTAAAATTAAAACATATTAGTATAATTAAAGCATCATCTCGTTCTCTTTTTAGCAGAAGTGTTTGTTTTGGGTGAGTACTTTGAAAAAGCCCTCATTGGCTTTGACTGGGGATATGTTGTTATAAAGCAAACAGAGCAGGAGAATACGGACTTAGACAGAAACCTGAGGATTTTTTTTAAACCACATTCAGTTGACAATCCTATCAGATAGAATGATAGCAATGACTTATTTTACCTTGAGCAGGTGATTTGGGGCTGCTGCTGTGTTGTGCAACTGGCAGTGCGACACACCACCCCACTCTGCTGCGTGTCTGTTTGGGTTGATGGAATTAATTAGTGTCGCTGCTACTTTAAGACTTAAGACTAAGTTCACAGCCAGCGGTGGTTCCACCGTCAAGGTTAAACTTATTTTAATTCAGAAAATCTATTATTGCACAGCTCTAGGGTCAGATAAATTTTAAAAAATAAATAAATAAAAACATCCGGGGCAAATATCAACACTTAATGTTGGATTTCAAACAGAGTCCTTTGAATTTGATTTCCATTTCATTTAAAACTGCTACTATTTTTTAAAGGTGAAATAAGTTTTGAAAATTTTATTCACACATTCATGACACAATTTTTACTCTACAGTTTGTCTTTTTTTTCTCCTCAAATAAACCAGCTAACATGATTTCATCCCAGATGAGGAAGAGAGGGAATGAGGAAGTTACTCTGATGGTGAAAAGTGTGTGAAGGGCCAAAAGATGACCACTTTTCTCACTGCAGGAGATTCACTTCATATTGCAACACAATTTTGATTATTTCACCACTGCAGAATCTCCCTCTCTCTCACACACACACACACACAAAGCAAATAGTGCTTAGTCACAGTACGACTCGTCCTTGCAGTGTCACACAAACCCTCTTGACAGGCCCTCAGAGACACAACATCTTCTCCCAGTCGTACGGGCAGTTCTCCCTTGTTACCGGCTCAATGACCGACGACTGGGTGAACAAAGCTGAGCTGATACAACACCGACACACGCACTCGTGGACACTCACTCTCTCACACACACACACACACACACACACACACACACACACACACACACACACACACACACACACACACACACACACACACACACACACACACACACACTTACACACACAGCACAAAGGCTTCAGTGTGGAGCAGTGACAGCAGTACTATAGCCTCAGATGATGCAATGAAGGCTGGACACAAGACCATCAGCAGACAGCATGAGATAACAAGCGAATGCTAACCATCTCCAAGCGGTAAATTACAGTCTAGGAGCTCAGCACCTCTTTTGGCGTCGCAACAAAAAGCACTTTACTTGGGCCAAGTTCCTGTTTTCACAACCATTCATAGAAGATCAGAGAGTGAGGAGTTGAACTTCTTGCTATAAGCCAAAAATTTCACTTAAATTTAGCTACTTCTATCACTATGACTGTTTGGATTGATTAAAACTAGAGATATAAGGATTAGAGAATCAGTTTAGGGACCAATTAGTTCTTGTTTTACATGCTCCTGGTTATACAAGTCAAAAGTACAGATTTGAGTGACTAAATGAAAGTCTACAAGGGCCCTCCACTTCTGGTGATCTAAATTAACAATTTAGACGATCAGAAGTGAAGCAGACCTCAAGCATTTGTCAATTGCATTGAGTTTTAGCCCCTAGCCCATGTGAGCCCAGCTGGTGTAACTCTCACTGTACACCACCATAACTGGCAGCAACACAATCAGATCTTTGATTTATTCTTTCAGAAACCTCTACAAGTGAGTTCATCTGTCAAATAAACAAGAGCCCCATGCAGAAAGCTGCCAAACTCCAGAAAGCTGTGTCCTGACCCTCCACCACTTCATTAGCATTTCCCCGGCTACAGGCCAATCGTTTACCTGCCAGCTAACGTCACCCTCACAAATCCCTCCCTCCCCTTTCCTCCTCCCCTTCCTCTCTACTGTCCACCTTTGGTCACAGCGGCTGACTGGCTCACCGTCCAAAGGTCCTCTCCAGAGCGGCTGCAGTCACCCAAGGACAAACTTGCACCTGGTCCACAAGATCTGCAGTAATGCACCTCTGAGGACCTAAAGCCACCTGGTAGTCAGACATGCATACACAATCAGGAGTCCCAGTCAAATACATTGACTTAAGTCACCTCAGTGAATGAAGCAAGAGGAAAATATTTAGCAACCTGCAATTACATAAAAAAGTTAACCTTTGCTCTTAAATCAGCCAAGATCCTCATAGCGAGTTCATAAGGCTGCAGCTTCAACTCACACTTGATATCCTGCATTTTAGCATCTTTAGAGACAAAGTTTCCAAAGCCCAAGCTTGTCTCTAAACCACTGAAAGCAAACAGAAGAGTTTTTGTGCTGCAAAGACTCTGTTGCTACCAGTCCATTTACATCCTGCAAGAGTTTCTACCTAATTAAGCGTCAATGTCAAATTTCCTACAGTCAGCACGAGAGAGAGAGCTCAAGCGATAGAAGAAAGCACTGCAGCAGCGAACACCTTCATCTGCCAAAGAAGCCAAAGAGAAAGACAGTAAGGTGGAGTTCTGTACCCTGTTCTCTCCAGTGCTTGGCAGAAGGCTCGCTTTCCTTTGTGTCCACAGAGTTGTTCTCCATGCCGTCCGATCAGCAAACACACATTCCACACACAGAGAGGGACCGAGCACGGGCTGTCACTGTAGATGTGAGGAAATATGTGTGTATAGATGTGTGTGTGTGTGTGTGTTTGGCTGCAGGAGGAAGAGGAGGAGGAAGATAGGAGAGGGAGGGTGAGAGGGAAGAACCCAAGCGAGGCTTCCTCTGGGGGAGACGACTGCAGCTAGCGAATTAACTCCCTCCTGCAGGCGTGCTGTCAGCTGACTGTCTGCTGCCAACGCTCTGACGCAGCAACTATAAACGTCTCTGCCTCGCCTCCTCCCTCCTTCCCTATCTCCCTCGACTCCTCCCTCCCTGCTCAGACTTTCTGCCAACCTCTCCTTGCCCTCCTCCTTTCTCCTTCAATCTGATCTTCCCTTTCCCTTCCTTTTTTAACCTAAACTCTTAACCCACCCTTACTTTTTTTCCCCTTTATGCTTTATCTCAACCTGCTTTCTCATCCCTCCTCCTCCCTCTGCTTCGTCAGATTTGCTGACACAGCAGTGAGAGAGACTATGAATGATTTCTGCCTGGTTCAATGAATACAGAGGCTACAGATCTCTTTGAGTCTGGCTTTGATCAAAGCAGTTGTTGAAACAGAAGGGATAAGGACGCAGATATGACGGGACAGCAACTGAACTCAAAAGCTGGTGTGCTTTTTCAGATACTGGCTGATAAGATGCTAACTTGTGAACTGAAACAGAAGCTGGTATTATGTATCCACTAAAAATCTCTTCATTGAAGGGCATCAACAACCATCTCATTACTATTCACCTGCCAGAGAACAGTGAAAGATGCTTACCATATCCCCCTAAAGGTGTGGTTCAATCCAACTGGTCCATGACCCCTAAATTATTAGTCTATGATCGGGCTGGACGATATGGCCTCAAATCAATATCACGATATATTGAGCACGATAAATGGACGATAACTACTCCACAAGCTGCTCACTCCCTCCCACATTAACTTCATCTACTTCAGCTGCTACAACTTTTGATCCGTCCTCCATCTCCTCATGTCTTTGCCTTTTGTTACAGACTGGATGGGGTGGAGTCACATCCCTGACGTAGGACAGTGTCTTAAAAGGACATGAGACCATAGCCTAACTACACACATCCAAAACCAACTTTATTTTTTTGACACCAAATATGATTATTGTCGTAACTATTGGTAAATTTTCGGTTTATCACCAAGCCCTTGTCTATGATGAGTTAAACAGTGACAGATAACTTATCTTAAAGCTAACTTGTCAGTAACTTATTACACGGATGGACCCAGGAGTTTCAAGCACCTGTGAGGCCCCTTCTGTCTGGGTCTGTTTCAGGGCCTCCTGTGGACAAAGCGGCACCGCTTCTGTTGTTGTTCCGTTGTTCATCCTGGTATTCTGCTAGCTGTCATTCTGTTCATATTTACTGTCCTAAATGTGGTTGTGGGCATTACAAAGAGCTATATCGAATAAATATCGGTGAGGGTCTTGTTTGTTTTTGTGGAATCACAGTTCATGTCAATCCATTTGATTACTAGTCAAAGACAGACACATTCATTTACAGGATTCGAAGCAGTTTTGTACGTGTGAAAACAATCCACTCAGTCTTTCCGTGGATGAAACTAAAGAAATTGTAACAGCATGCGTCCAACTACAACTAGTGTCATCTGTGTCACATAAATGTCCAAGTACTGTTCCTTAATGTAAGTATTTGTCACACAAAACATTTTCCCAAGTGCGGAAATGACTCAAACTTGGTGGATACTGTCACTTCTGCCAACAAGAGGACAGAAAACAATAGCTGGTTGAAAGCCAAGATGAGTTCATTTCCAAGCACTGCCAATATTCCCAGGCATTAAAGCTGTAGTTTCTCAGCAAGGAAAGCAGGAAAGCTCAGACCGACTGTAGCTCAGAGGTAAGAAATCCTTTTTGAACACAAAGAAATAACTAAAGACATCGCTAAGCTTGTGTGCGTGTTCACTGAATGTCCGTGGGATCCTATTAACTGGTCAGTAACTCTGAGTGGACCTGTACATTTCAGTGGTAATCACAGACATCTCCCACTAGAGGGCACCACTTTCATTTCACAGACCTGTCTGCTGACCATCTCTTTTCTTGTAGCCACACACAGAATACCCTTATAAAAAATATGAACTTTGACAGAGAGCAGACCTGCTACAGTGTGAAGTTCAGCTATTCAGTTTTCTTAAAAGTGTTTCTGTAGACACTGGCAAGGCCTCAGCGGAAGAGACAGTTTCTGAAACAGACCGATACTTATCTTAGTGGCCTCAGCCTTTAAAAGATTGATTTGGTCCAAGCATTAGACCAATGCAAGACACAAAATTAACAAAATCAGGTTTTAAGTTTCGTGGAATGAGGGTTTTGTAAAAACTTTTCTGCAGTGACCTTATGCCTGTCTCGTCCATGGCTGTGATTTCCCTCTTGGGACAGAGGATTGCACAAACAGAAGCACAACGTTTTAGCAGCACCAACTACGTGACCCTTCACCTGCCCTAAGTAACTCTACTCTGTCACTTCTCTCTGGCTGATGTAATGCACTGCAGGGATAGTGAAACAAACCTGAGTCATTGTTCAGATCAGATAGCTGCACCATTACTATTTCAACATCACATTTAGATAAGATGCATTAGATTTTCACCCACTAACTAGGTGAGGCATTTTAGAGGATTAATAACTTTTACAATCCAACAGATCCTGGTGTGATAATGTCAAAAGCATGCTATTTACATAATCACAATACATTAAAGGGAAGCAAATATACAACTTAATAGCTCTTCTAACAAGAGAAACAAAAACTTGACTGTTTTTGAGAGTTATTGATCGGTGTCAGCTGGTTTTATTGGCCTGTCATGAGCCAATAACAAATGTAAGGCTTAGCAAATTCAGCTTCTAAACCAAGTTCTTTTTTTTTTATGAAACGTATGAAAAAACAGAGCTACGAGGGGTTAACGGTGGTGTAGGTTTTCTGTCAGAGAGGGCTTAAATGACAGAAAACTTATACATACGATACTTTTAACACTGTCACAATTAAGCAGGTCTGCACCATAGTTGGCTGACAATGTACAATAGTAATACCTATATTAAAAACTGCTTATGAATTACATTTGCAGATATCAACAGAAAAAACGATTCTCTGCATTCCAGTGCAAAAAAAAAAATCCCTCATCAACCCCTAAAACTGTAAACAAGGACTTATCTCCACTATTATCACTGTCATCTTATAAAGCTATGGTCCAGCTCACACAAATGGCACATTTACATATCATTGGCTCTTTCTGCCTTTCAATTACTACTTCATCTGCCAACTATTAGATAATCAACATAAATATATAGTTGATTGACAAATCTATTGATAATCTGCACCATCTTTTGACACTTCTCCAGACTGTAAATCACAACAACTCACCAAATTAATACTAAAGTTTGGCAGCTAATGAACCACGCTTCTATCAGAGTGGCGAGACAGCAGTGAGGGAGATTTATGTTCAGATCTCTGCTCTCAACCTCAAGTTGTGTAACCAAGAACATTTGCTGAGTGGTTTCTGGGTCGGAGGACCCTTTGTGGGCCTGCCAGTGTCGCAATGCAGGGAGGAGGATGAGAAAGCGTAGGGAGGAGGAGGAGGGGGGTGGGAGAGAGGGGCTTAATTAACAGGAGATCCCTCAGACAAACACGTACAGTAAAGGCGTCAGCAGCTGCTCCAATACAGCACAGTCCTACTGCTCCAGTTACACAGAAGCTGACGGCTCTGAGTCTATGCAATGCTGTATACAAGTTCATGTGAATGTGTGTTAGAGGAGCATATATGAGTGTGTGTTTATCAACTGATCAATACCTGTTTAAATGAAACTGAATCATCCATTAAAATGAAGAGTTAGCAGCGTAGCCTTCGGAGAGACAGTGGCACCTAAGGGGGCAATTCATCCCCTCCTGAAAGCCCTGAAGGAGGCAGCTCTGTCTCTGTCTGATAAACAACCTCTGCATTAGACACCGAGTGCTACAGATAAGCATCTCCTTTTTGAATTTAAACTAATAAACAAGATCTGGACATTTTAAGATAAAAGCATCAGAGGCCTAAATGACTTCAGGTGCACATCTATCCTAAGGGCTACATTTGCTGAGTAACTCCCATTAACTTTTACAGATAACATAAAAGCCAGTTTCAAGTTGGACAGGCGAACGCAATTTTACCCAGATGCCCTGTCAAATGTCATTGACAGCCCAAATACCAACTAAGCCACCGTGATGTGGTATTATAGGCACAGCCAGTTTGTTAAGCCAATTTTCATTAATTGAAGAACCACCTTGACTAATCATTTGTCGCATATTAATATTGCTTATTCCTAAGAAGACAGACTTCCAAGCACCAGGAGTCCTTTCTCTGTTGATTTTTTTTAATGATTTAATTTCTCTAAACATCTGTTGGGTTTTATTTCATCAATTATTTTTCATTAAGAGCAGTACCTGGTTTCTTTCTGTGGGTTTAATATCCAACCAGGTTACATTTAAACGAACGTCTTTCATTTAATGACAGGAGTGTTTAAGACTGGAGTTTCTGAGTAGAGAGTGCATCTGCCCTGGAGAATTCACAGCTGAACTCATTTTCTAAAGGAATGATCATTAATTGATTTTAAGAAATTCGCCTTCGGGCATATGCAGTAAAATGTGATGCAGCATGTACTGCAGGGTGTGGGAGAGAGTGCAAATAGTTTATTAACCAGAATGGCAGTTATTTAGTCAGAAACAGGGTGTGGCTGTTTGTCCTGTGTTTCTGTAGTTGTCAGTAGGCGTAGGGGTCTGTGAAGTTGTGTAAGGTTTCAGATGGGTATCCCAAGTTATTTCTAGAGCAGGGAGAAGCTGAAACCAGATGGATTAGGAATTCAACTCCACAGCAGTAAAAAGCTGTACAAGTGTTTCAAAGGTAATTAGCTGTGGCTTCTCACATCTGCTCTTACCACAAAAAAATATCTAACATTTTTTTCTTTCCTTGTATAAAAAAAAATTATAGGGTGGAGTTTATGAATAAAACATGACAAAAATAAATCATTTCTACTTACCTCAGCCTAAATGAAGTTAAAAAATTAAATGATAAGATAAATAGATGTGATCTTATTTTCAAGAGAAAAACGAAATGCAGCAAAAGCAAGGGGTTGAACGGCGGTGGAACACACAACCACACGAATTAAAACAAAATTTACAAAATGCAAGAGTTAATGTTCAAAGAAAATGCAAGAGAAAAAGATGCAAGAAAGGAAAGGCGACACTTGGCAGAAAATGATGGGATCTAGAGTAAAGGTAGGCTGCTGGTTGGCTGGTTGGGAGAAAGTAACTTGAAGAGAACAAAAGAGTGATGATGAATATTAAACGGATGAACATGAACGTGTCAATGAAACTGAGGGGGATATGGAAGGGATGGTTTCCATGCCAGAACTGGATTATTTTACCTGCTCTTATGTTCAGGTTTGGCATCTTAAACTGTTTCCCGCCTTCTGCACTCTTCTTAGTGACTCCCTCCTCTGGTTTGCGGACAGGGGAATGGACAAGGGGAACTTGGGGTGGGGATTGCTGAATGTCAAGCTTCTCCAATTCAGCCTTGCTTTTCTGGGGGGAAGCTTGGGTAAGAAGAAGGTAGGAGCTCTGACTTGGAGCCTCTTCCTCAACTTTGGGGCTTGGAGCTGCCTTTGAAGTCAAAAGTGGAGCCACATCTTTCTGCCCAAAGCTTAGGTCGTCATCATCCATGGGGATTTCAGGAGGTTTAGAGGATGCAAACTTTGAAGTATCCAAAGCCTCAAGAAACTCATCAATAACACCCCTGGGTGGTCGCTCAATGAACTCAAACTCTTCAGATGACACCTCATGCTCAGACACCTCCTCAGCTACTTCTGGCTCCTCCATCATCAGGTCCTTCTTCTGTGTTTCTACCTGGAAGATGGCAGGGTTCTTGCCCATGGCTTCCAGGACTGGAGACAGGGAGTCTGCTGTTGGTGACTCTGAATCAGAGTCCTCAGCAGGGGTCTTTTTGCTCTTGAAGTCAAGTGGCTCAAACTTTTCCATCTTTTTGGGAGAATCGTGGCTTGAAAACCAATCTTTCTGTTCAATTTTGACGGGTTCCTCTTCTTTGACCTTGGTGGGGGTGGTTTCCTCTGCCTCTTTGACAAGATCGAACGCACCAAAACTTTTGTCATCATCACCTTTTCCTTTATCGGCTGCTCTCACTTCCATCTCCTCTGTCATCTCCTTCAGCAGGGACACTTTAGCATCAAAGGCAAATGGGTTGTTAGCTGATAAGTTGATTGGTGGGTTAGGTGACTCCATCATCCTCCGCTCGAGGATTGGACTCTGCTCCTCAGGGCTTCCCTCTGAGGAACCAGAGTCGACTTTGTCGGGGTTGAGCGGGGAAGACTTCAGGATGTCTGGAAGAGATGGTGGCAAAGCAGAATCCTCCTCTTCCTCTTCGTCATCATCTTTAAAACCAGATGAGAACTGATTCCCTGACAGCATAAGCGAGTCAGTGGCCATCTTGCCTGTCTCAAACGGTTTTCCCTGGTCTAGGAAAGAAGGTGGGGTTTCCTGGGATTCTCCAGTCTGTCCATACTGGACCAGATCTGGAGTAGGACTCTCTGACATTTTTGAGGCTCTGCTGTCAGACTTGGAGTCTCCAAAGTTGGAGTAGCCACTGTCTGCCAGTGGGGAAAAGCCCTCAAATGGGTTATTATTCTTCTTCACCTCATACATCAGGTCATCATCTTCATCAGACTGGTTGCCGTGCAGGTCTGGCTCATACCTGGAAGAGCTAATGGGAGCTGTGTCCTTGGAAAAGGTATCCATGGAGACCTTGGTGTTGTCTTGAGATGCTAGGAGTGTTGAATCCCAGTGCTCTGTTGGGTTAGAGGAGGCAATGTGAGACTCAGGGACCTTCATCTGGGGATTTAGTGGGGAGGGGCCTGTGGAAGACCTGTCTGAGCTAATCAGCTTCTCCTCAGGTGAAAAAGAAACTCCACTGTCTTCACATGGATTGTGAGGCCCTGGGTCTTTCCCTAAACTCAGGTAAGGACCAGCTAATGGATCAAGAAGGTCTTCTTTATTCTTACTACGACTTGATCCAGAGTCACCCTCTTCACCCATCCAAGACATGTCCTTGGAATGAGTAGTTGGGGGTACAGTGGAGAAGGAGCCCAGGGATGCCGTGTATCCTGAAGGAGGGGGCTGGTTGGGACTTTCGGTCAGAGAAAGCTCCTCCAAAGAGTCGGGGGAGTGAAGAGGGGAGAGAGGAGAGATGGGGGCAGGGGAATCACCCTTCTGCCCAAGTGCTTGAGTAGAGAGGGAGGGGGGAGAATGCAATACAGCACATATCAAAGACATACTCCATTCCTTATAGTGCCCAACACACCTGGGGGGGACCATTTCCAAAAAAACATTACGAGGACGGTTCAGGTATTGAAACCAGACAAGTGCTGCTAAAAGGTTGATTGTGGGTGGTAGGTATAAGACCGCTAACTAGTGGTGACAACACGCACCTGAACTAGTGCATCTCTCCGTATTACACAACAGAAGAGGTTCTCCGTTCTGAACCTAGGCTTTCATTCTATGTACTTTAAAAGCAAATTAACGTGTTACACCAACTAAGAGCGAGCGAACTTCCAGATTATACTCAATATGGTTTATCAACTTTAGGTTGTCTAGAAATTCCTGTGAATTTCTCATCTGGGTTATTAACACACAAACTGATAAACTGTATAGATCACAAATATATCAGTTAGACTCTTTAGCAATATAAGCTTAGGCTCTAGTATATTAGCATTTAATCAAGTTCACTAAAAAATATTTTTGTGTTATGTCTGAAGTGAGGAGGATTTAAAAATCATTAATTCTTTGCACTCAAAGGTATTTTTTTTATTTATTGTTTGCTCTGTTATGCTGTTATATGTAGTTAGCTAGTACTAGTGGGTCCATTTTTCCCTGGAGAGAAGTTTTCACCACATATTAAAAGTCTGAAACCAAGCATTGGTGGAGAAATAGATCTCTGAAGAGATGGGTGCTCCACCCACATGGTACAGTTTCAGTGACTTGCAGAAATAACATCAGTAGCTGTTCTTGTACAAGTGGGTCTCATCACCATATCTACCAACTGCATGCTGGTTTTCCTTCCCTTTGTCACCCACCGTTACGTCTGGTGAAACTCAAACCAGCTGTTTCTTTCCCTACTTAATCTTTTTGAAGTAATGTTGCCTTACATTTCCTGCTTAGAAATCAAGAGAAAAGGAAGAAAAAAAAAGTAATGGCTAAACCTATAAAACAAGAGCCTATGAAAACATGTCTGTCTCTTCAGTAAGTAAACTAGTTTGTCTCTGAATCATTTTTGTCCCTTTCAAAAAAATAATTAGACATTACGAAATCAAATTAGACTGCAGACTACCTTCCACAGTCAAGATTTGGCAGCAACTGTCTGGTTCTCAGAGCACCGCCCAGGTTTGATGCATGGTGGTACAACAGTTTTTTTGCCCCAGGTCTGGCGCCAATGTACCATGCTCACTGTGTTTCAAAAACACAAACTGTTAATTGATGGTAAATAATGATTCCTCTCATAAGGATGTTCTTTTTTTTTAATCATTTGTAATGTACAACTTCGAAATGTTTCAGACCTACAAATCACCTAGAGAAGAATCATTATTCCTCTACCACTACTTGTGTCAGTTAATGTCAATCTACTCTACATCAATCACGAGTCACAATGCAACACAATCACAAGCAAATTCAAAACATCAAATTTAGTTCATCAAAAATACTAGCATCTGTGCAAATGCTACAGGTGATATATCTAACCTGCTTCATGCAAAGGGTTATTTTGCCACTTAAAGGACAAACAAAGGAGTGAACTAAAGAAGTGTTAAAACTTAAAAGTAAATTAATAACAAGGGCCAGGAAGAACAGCGAGCAAAGAGAACTTGCCTGTAGGGAATTGCATCAGAGGATGAAGATGAGCTTTAGAAGGAGAAGGTACATCTGTGGAAGAAACAGGAGAAAGCAGCAGAAAGGGACTTCAGTCAGTCAGTCAGTCATTCAGTCAGAAAGCCGATAGGACAAAGCCCAGAGCAAGAGACAGAAATCATTTCCATTTAAATGAACAGAGTATCAAATGTTGAATTACTTAACTGAAGTAATAGTAGAAAAGAAAAACAAAAAGACAGAATCGGAAGAAAAGGAGTTTAGCCAAGTGGAAGTTAAGGGAACAAGAGCAATGGTGGTCCAATTATGCTTGATGGAAAAAGAAAGAGCATAATTATTTTCATGGCTCAAATCTTGTTCTGTATTGACAAGGAGACATTCACAAGAGGGTTGTTCCGAAGCAGATCATCTCCTGGTCTTTTAAACTAGTTCAGATTATGACTAACAGAAAAGTCTAAAAGTTGAAAAACAATCAAAACAGTCAGTTGAGCACAACTAGTTAAATATTGCGTAACGAAGGATCACCCATCTACAGGTAAATGATGTGAAATGAGTTTACGAGCACAGTCAACAAGAGCAGAGCTAGCACCACCTGCCTACAGTCCTCCTTGCAGGCTAGCATCCTGCCTGTACTGGTTACTTAGTGCTCTTGTGGAATGGATACATGTCAGATCAACAAGACACAACCTACAAACAACTCAAACTCCATTTTTATAGATCCAAATACTGGTATACTGCGCTGCACCACAAGATGTCATCCATCATCTGTGATTGTTTACATTCAGGTGGTAAAGAAACAGAATGGCAACATGAGAGTGACCATTACTCAGAGCTCTAGGCCCAGCTGGTGGTGGGTTGGTGCCCTACAGCTTAAACAGATTACATGTCCAACAGTAGAGCCCGACCGATTTATCGGCGAGCCGAACAAATCGGCCAATTTTAGCCCATTTGAGACTAATCAGTAATTGGACAAAACTTGCCGATATTTTCAGAAATAAAATGCGGAGAATCGGTTTCACTTCGAAAATGTACCGCCATTTGAAAAGTCCCCCGACTTATCCAGTAGATGGCACAGCAACCTCATGACAATCTTTTTCCACTATCTACCTCACAGCACAGCAGAGTGACAGATCTGAAGCAGGCAGCTCAGGGACGCACAGAGGAGAGTGGTCCGCCTCAATGGTAAATAAACCAGTTTGTGAAATACACAATAAGTCAACAAGTTTCAGTTCAACCAATTTCACGATATTCCCCATTGTGCTGGTCTCGGTCACGCCGAGTTAGCGGTGAAGCACCATGTAATATGCTTGCTAAAGTTAGAGTTAGCCATCAGCTATTTGCCTTGCTACACTGTTAGCCGTGCCAGTAACGGTAGAATAAACAACAGTACACATTTTGTGATCGAGCTGCTTCTCTTACTGAGGCAGCTATATAATATATGTATATAGTATACTGTAGATATCTACAGTATATATATATATATATATATTTTATAACTTAATAAAAAATTTAAAAATTCTGCTGATTAATCTGTAATCAGATTTCCCCCCCCTTAATAATCGGTATCGGCACCAAAAAAATCCATAATGGTCAGGCCCTATCAAGTCTAAAAAGGAGTGACAGAACACTTCAGCATTAAGGAGGTTTACCTTATGAACCCTCTGTTTTATTTAATCTTCCCCAAGCCAGCAATGAAAGAACATGTCAGAGATACTCAACAGTGGCCTCTTAATTACAGCTTCCATGTGTTACAACAGTGTAGTTAAGAAGAGCCATGGGGGACTCATGGCTGTCTGCTGGGTATTCCTAACCCATTTAACAGAGCTGCTCTCCAGAAAGTATTTGCTCAGTAGTTACTTGTAACATAGAGGAGTTACTGTATGTTCACATAACTTGCTTAACAAGCATTCTCAGGTATGTGAACATTTGTTAAAGGCTCAGTTCAATCAGTGGACTGCGTAACAGGCAGAACATCAGTGTCATGGCAAGACAATACAAACATGCCAGTATGCTGTGGAGAACAATAAAGAAGGTTGACGACGAACACAGAGGCTGCATCAGAAAAAGACAGGAATTCAAAGAATTTATTTTGGATCAGAGGGAACCGATTATGCTCAGTAATCCTTCCATCAGACAGAAATGAGCAGAAGAAGAGTTGGGATCTATAAATCATGATCAAAATAAGGTCAAACTCATGTACAAGTAAGACTGTCATCACTGTTACACAACTAACCGCTCCAACACATTTTGACATCAATGTGACTTCAATTAAAAGGTGTTGCTAAGGAGAAAATAAGGAAGCTCATTCTGAGCTCTGGTGTCCGTTAGAGCAGAGGGCAGATGGTTTATTAAAGGCAAATTAAGTAGAATTGAATTAAGGGCAACGTGCTATAAACAGGCTGTTTCTAGTTCCTTTATCTAATTAACTGAAATCTATTTTACCAACTGGCAAAGGCATACCGCCGAACAATACCAAGTAGTGCCAACTGAGAGGCCGCAGTAGGCTGAGAGTGAATGGACAAAAGAAAAGCCAACTCCTACAGATTTATCCTGTCGTTGAAAAGGCAAGCTCTTCAGAAACATACTTTAGTGGATTATCGTCTGGTATTTCCTAAACAGCCTGTAGAAAGCTGAATAGTCCTACAGAGTGTTGGTTAGCATTCAACTGAACAAACTTTGATTTTACAACTACAGCGGACACATGGAATTCTCAATGGCTCAAAAAAAAACAGAAAAATATAACAACAACAAATTTCATCAGAATATCAAACAATCAGACCACCAGTGACTTTTTAATCCATTACACTAAAATCCCTGGTTCACCCCAGATTAGACTTTGTTCAGACTAACAGTTCAAAAGGCTCAAAGATTAACTTCGGTTTTTAGAGCTTTCTGCTTAAAAGCTGCAGCCATGTTGGTCCTAGTGTTCTAGTTTTGCCATCTACTTTGTTTGGCTTTTAAAAACATCTGTAGTAAAGGGAAACTAAGGTCATTTTGGCATAACCATGAGTACAGCTCGTGATAGACAGGCTTCAAGTCAATAATTAGGGTAAATGTTGAAAGAAAAAAAAAAAAAAAAGGACACAAAGTGTCTGAAAGCAGTGAGCTCTCACCTGAAACTGTGATTGTTTGTTAGACCCAGGCTGCACTAGAAGGGTTGCATTCCTTCTCTGACAAAGTCAAATATGAACATCCAGACACAATACACACATTTTAAGAAAAAGATTGGTTTTTACTCTGTAAAGCTATTTTTGTATGTGATGTTTCCACTGAAAAGCCTCCTTAAATTCACTTCAAATGAAATTAAATAAAACAAAGTCTAATTTCTAACTTTTTCTTCAGTAGTTGAGGAAATCAGGGCTAGTTGTCTACGCACTTATGGATACACTACCAGGAAATTCAATGCTCATGGTGTTGAAGTTTGGTGTATTTTCAACAAAAATATTCTTACTTTTTAACATTCCAAAAGCATCACGGTAAATTAAGTTTTCTACTTCACGATCTCTTACCTCAAACGAACAAAACATGCCACTGTGAGCAAAATGTGAAACCTGTGGGCAAAAGGCATGATCCTTTAAGCCCTTAATAAAACAGTCGAGATAAGGCAAACACTGGAAGTGCCTGTAAGGCTCATGATCAACTTTGATTCAATCAGTTCTCACTAATTATAGTAAGCACGCAGGGACTTCGGTAAGGCACTACCACTTTCATTTATAGATAGATAGATACATAGATAGATATACTTTATTGATTCCAAACTGGGAAAATTTTAGACCCATCAGTCATTGACAGTCATCATTTAATGTGAACAAGGGCAAAAAATCAAGCTTTACAATCACAGGCTGCTTTGAGCAACAGTGCAATCGATATTGATTTATTAGATTAATCAGAGGAGGGAATTTTGTATAAATTTCTGCTGACAGTGATTGGGCCAAATTGATTCTTCATATGAGGCCAGCCTGTTTGGTTACCTCTGCTGTCAAGGTACTGCTTCGGACAGGGAAGAAGACCTGTGGAATTAAACCAAGGACATTTTCAACATCAACTAGATAAGGATCCAATTATTTCAGCTAGTGTATCATCATCATCATCATCATGTTAAAGGTACACTGTAGCAATGGGAATATTCAGCAGTATCTAGTGGTCAAATTCTATATTGAAATGCTTCCCTGCTCACCCCTCCTGTTAAAGCAAGGATGGTCTATGACACATAGTAAGCATGATCACCCATCTGTCAGGTGCATCCATAAATGCGTCCAACCAATTTCTTCCTCTTCTTTCAATCTGAACATTTCACTAGATACTGGTTTGTCCATTCATAGGAACCTGCTCCTTTGTACAGATTTAAGTTAATAAAAACAAATCAACATATATATCCAGGTGATTATAAACTAATTTTAAATATACATGAACATTATATTCTATTTTGACCTAGTCTGTTCTGCCAAATACTTCAAACTACAACACATTGTTCCTTAAACCAGCTATTCCAGACTTTTTCCTCATTCAGCCCTGATGCAACATGCTGCCTCTTACCACAGCTAAAGCAACAATAGTGCCATTTTACAAACATGTGTTTTACTTTGAATACTGCTAATACCTACAGCAGTCAACTGTTTTCAAACCCCAGTGCCTACAGAGCCAACAGACTGGCAGCAAGTTCAGGTTAGAACCAGACTTTCTCTGACACTCTTCAATGGACAAAGCTAGTGGGGCCAACCTTAAACTGAGCCCGTTTCTATGGTAGCTCAGCATGTAGACACCTAAAAGCTAAAACTCTTCAAAAATGATGGTCATGTACCTGGAAACACTAAGAAAGTTGTCAACTGACTGTTAAACTGAAAGAAAACAGACAAGTATTGGTTGGAGAACAAACTGAAGTTAATGCAAAATGTAAATGATACCATCAGTCTACAACAATGGTAAAAAGTAGGTCTGAAAAAACAACATCAACAAGATTGACTCTTTTACTTACACATCAATACAGTGGTTGAGCAGTTTAACAATCATATGAACATTATCGACTAATTGCACCTGCTGTCCTGAAAATGATAGCCAGCTACTTCCCCTCAGTGTAGGAGGGGTCAAGGTTTAGCTGAAGTGGAGAGCTCCAGACTGGATGTCCAGTCCGAGTAACCTGAGGTTCTGTTCAGCTCTCCAGTGTCCTGATCAGATTACAGCCAACACATCGATGTTTCCCCTGCTACACTGACTCACTGTGAGCACTACAGTACAGCCCTACTTGCTCACTTTTTACAACTACAAGAAATACCAAAGTGCTTTAAATTTTTGTTGTACTAATAAAATTAAATAGTAAGGGTTTTAGTAACAGTAAAGAGTTATTAAATCTTATGTTTCAAATGAATATCACCAATTCATTTGGGCGTCTGCTTTAAAAGGGACAGTGCTGCAACCAGACTCTGCTACACATTTGCGCACTGTATTTTTAGAAAACAACCAATCTGCTCACAAAGGATGTTAACCTCCAACCCGGCCAGCTTTACTGCCTTGCTCTTCATGCGAAGGAAACGTCTCCTCCATGAGCTATAAGTATCTTAAAGGAATGCCTCACAGTTGACACTGATATATGACTTCAGGCAAACATGTCACCTGCTGCCATCTTGTAAAATCAAGAACTCAATGTACGATTCCTGACAGAGTCCTTTTTGTGACCTGCAGGTGCACAAGAGTCCAAAAGTCCATGACACAACTCTTTCTCTTATCTGTAAAAGGTGAAACTTTTCAGTTCACTGAGCGGGCGGTTTCAGTGTAGTCTGTTGGTGTGTCTAATGGTGGAGACAGCAGAATATATGCAGTGACAACTGACTCCAGCATCTCTGCTGCAGTCTTCCCTTCCACTAAACCAAGACTTATGTAATTTTGCAGAAACCCACATCTCACACAGACCCAGAGAGATTTGGGATCTGTTCCGTTGTCTGATGCTTACTGAATGCTCCTTAACAATCAGAGGCTTTGGGGGGAACCTTTTGTTTTGTGATGCAGCTTTGATGCATTTTTTAGTCTGTTTCTGTCTGCAGAGAAAGAACACAGAGTGAGATGACTTCCAGCAGTAACACGATCCAAACAGCTGCTTTTCATGTAGAAGTCCACAGTATATAATTAAATGATCAATACAAGTAATCCTAATGAGGAAGAGGTAGTGAGGTCATCCAGGATGGTAATCTTTCCTATCACTGCCATTTGATAGCTGGCAGAAGAGAAATGGTTCCTTCTTATGGTCTGCTGTTCTTTGCTTCTTCTAGTCATCATGCTAAGCTCGGCAAACAAACCCTGACTAATTATTATCTGATTTGAACTTATTATCATGAGTTACATTTCATATCGCAGCTTTGAATTGGATGTTGAAGGTAGTGAGCTACCTCGTCTTGCAAGCTTAATGACATATCATAGTATAGAAAGGTATTTCATTTTACACAGTTTGACTTTACCCTTGGAAATCGATGATGACTTGAAAAGGTAACTATCTAAAAATTGTAATGTGATGTCTTGTTTAACAAAAACTCCAAAAGGAGATTTAATCCGCAATAATATACAACAAAAAAAAAAATTCAAGTCCTATCACTTGAATAACTTACAACAAAACTACAATCAGCCTATAAAATAAATAACAAAGTGGGCTTCTCATGAGTTTTAGCGTCCATCAAATTAGGTTTTTACCTTGTTTAACAGACTGACTTTTGGGGTAAGGCAGCTGAATTTACAAAAAATTTCAGACAGTGCAGAATTGAGGCCCCTAAAATCAACTTGAGTGTGATGAATTAGCACAGTTCCCTCTTTCAACACACATATCTGGAAAGCTCTGTGCTTATCGCAGCGATAAGAGAGAGATTTAAAACAGATTAACATGTGGTTCTCATCACATCACATTTCAGAGTTTGTTTTGCATCGAGACCGTAAGCCAGCTGCTGTGTTGGCAGAGTTAAAAAAAAAAAAAAAATGAAAAAGGCCTGTCTGCTATTGTTGCTTTGGGTGGAGGGCTGCAACTCTTAAGTACTTACCCCTAATCATGTAGGCTTCACCAGGATGCAGAGAAAAACAACAACAACAACAACAACACGCTGATTGAGCTTTAAACCTCTGAAACTGGACTGTCTCTGACTTCTCCCCTCTCCATCTAATCCACCTGACCACATTACAAATGTCTTACAAATACACACTGACAGATGTAGGTGACCCAAAAATAAGATGTAGGCCGGTTGTGATCACCAAGTCCCTGAAGATTAACCAACCCATCAGTCACACCATATGACGGGAGAAAAACACACTTCTAACACCTATTAAGAGAGTAACCACACTAATCTGCGTGATGGACATTTACTGCAAGATCCATCTGATCAGACTCACGTTCAGAAAAAAATAAATAGAAAGCTGAAATGAGTATAAGTTCTATTCATTTTTCCCCATCAGACAACATAAAAAATCTCTATCTGTGCCAAAACAAACCAGTTTTTCAAGTGAAATCATTTACCATGGTTGTTTTTGTACAAAATCCCAAAAACCTCTCTGACATGTAAAACCTGTCCATGTAAAGACATGCAAGTAAAAGCTTTATCCAAAAATGACTAAATCTTTAACTTCAATTGAACAAAGTTCACAAAAAGGCATGAATATTACTAATGTAACATTTGATGACAGCCTTCTACTGAAGTCTTAGCTACATACAACATGCAAACATTGAACAAGGTGGGCTAAAATGAGCCTTTTGAGTTTAAGAGAAAAATGCTTAAAATTATTTTGTTTTTTTGTTTGTTTTAACTCAACCAATATTTTTCCTTCAGTGTGAAGTCAGATCAATATTTATAGTGGCTAGGTTTGCTCAGATGCCTTAACCTCGTGGTGTATCAACCTCCATCAGTGGCCTTGCCAGGCAGCCCCACCCTGCCTCAGTGCTGCCTCCATGGAGTAGGCAACACAGGCCTGTTTACCTGCTCTCTGCCAAATCGACATAAAAATACATTAACAACAGCAGTGGCTCTGGGAATAAACTCCCTTAAATGATCCAAGGTCCCAACAATACGGAAAAAAACGCCACTTTCTGAGCTTTCAGGCAGAAGGCAGCATTTTGGGGGACACAATAAGGCTCACAGGCCTCTTTATTAGCGGATCTGTTTTGAGGATTTGGGGTGTAGGTTTGGGTGGGGATAGAGGAGGCTTGGCTGACTGCAACAGGCCGGTGATGAATAAAAGAAATAAGTCCGCTTTGGAGTGTGTGAGTTATTCTAGTAAGAGTGTGACAGAAGTGGGAAGCTGACAGGGAGTGGACGCAGAGCGGATTCCTTTGTTGTGACTAATCTCCGGGTAACACAGCTTTGGTACGCCGTGAGGTGCTAACAGCTTCCATTATCGGACAGCTCCTTGTCCAACGTGCTCCAATGCTTACTTTCAACAACCAGTATATCACAAATCTCGAAAAAAAACCTCACCTTGTTAAAGTAAACAAATCACCAGATTTCAGATAAAGAGTTATTATTTTTGCGACAGCTAGCTTACACAGGAGATGGTCAATTTGACTGATGTGAACAGACACCGGTCAAGAGAAACCTCACACCACTGAGTGTATAAGCAGATAACTTGAAATAATAACACACATGATAGCTTTAGAGCAAAACTTTATCACTTTATTTTCGTTTTCATTCAGTCAAAACCGCATAAAACCCTGTCCGATAATGGAACTCTACTAGCAACTAGCGTTAGCAGCAGCGGGCACGCAGCGGGCAGAGAGCAGATGGGCGCTGCTAAAGCTGACAGAAAAATGTGACTATAAATGCGGAAAGAGAAAATGTTTCACTTTAAAATGCATACCTGTGATAAAGGTTAATGGGGGTATATGTTATAATGAGTTAAAATTGAGCTAGTTTGATTCAGCCGGCACGTTTAGTAAGCAGTTGAAAATATGCCTCCTGCCGTTTATTTGTCAAAACAGGTGGGCCCCATCTCAACAACACAGCAAAACTGGGGCTAAACTGCTGCCTCATTCAGGGGTGAAAATACCTAAAATGGTTGCATTCGTATAATTCTCTACATTCCCTCTTGTTCATAGGGTTATATCCCAGTTTATATAAAACACGGTGAAACAGGAGGTCCGTCAATGATGTTGGCCATCCGCTCCCCTTAGGGTAGCGTCACTAGCCCGCTAACCGGCTAACCCCACCGTGACGGGACTATCTCCACATTAACATGCTGTGCAAAAAAACACATTTTAATACGAATTACCCTTAACAGGTGAACAAAGTTGACTAAACCGAAAAACTATTGCTTAACTCAGCTTTTTTAAGTCTGTGTCTGTCTCTGGACAAACCCCTAATGCTAACTAACCCAGTTCAAATCACAATCACTGGAGAGATTCACAAACGTTCACAAACCCGTTAGACTGATTTTCATTTACGGTTATGTAAACACATTGACTTTAAACCGGTTTAGCAGCTAAAATCAGTGTTCAAAATGTGAATTCATCGTCATAATTCGTTGAGACACTTACATGATGCTGGAGCTGATGGTTCTTCTGTCACCGCAGGTTGCTCTGCTGCCTCTGCGGGGGCTGGGGCAGCTTCCTTGGGTTCAGCCGCTGGGAGGGCGTCGCTTTTCGGGGCAGGTTCTGGCTCGGGGGCAGCCAGTGGTTCTGGTACGATCTTTGTACTCTCCGGTTCGGCTTTTGGGGGGAGGAATTCGGGCTCCTCGGTGAAATGTGGAACATATATGGGGGTAGTGGAGTCTGGGATCATCGGTTCTGGTTCTGGTTCGGGCTCTGGTTCAGGTTCCCTCACCTCTGGTACCGACACCGGTTCTGGCTCTGGTTCTGGTTCTGCCTCTAGTAACGTTACAGGCTCCTCTGGGGCAGCGATGGTACTTTCTGTGAACTCGTGTGGCGCACTGTCTTCAGCTAGGTGTCGTTCCAAGGCGTCCTGAGCCCCGCCGACCAAGTCCACAATGTCATCCACGCTAAAGAGGTCTTGTTTGGGCTCGTCCAATTCGGGGTCCGGTTCGGGCTGGTAGTGGTGAACTTCCTCACTGAACAGAGGAGTAGTGGAAGAGACTTCTTGATCCACGCTGTCTGCCATTTTTCTTTTTGTCCAAATAGACTTCTACGGTGGGGGGAAAAAGTTTTAGATCCGGTAAGTTTAGGATTACCTCCTCAGACGAACTTCCAACGAGAAAAGATGTCAAACCGGACCGGTAACCCCTCCGGTAAGTCTGCCTTGGACACCGGACGAAGTTGAACAAGTGCGCCACACGACAGTTGCCACAGAGTCGGACCCGAGTCTCAGATGGACGCTGTAAAGTTGAGGAGGACATGAGGGAAACTCTGCTGACCAATTACCTGCGGCTTACTTCCAAACTGACATTTCCTTTGGCCAATGAGAGCGTGTCAAATTGGACACCTACCCCGCCCACTCGAGCGAGGGAGTAATTGGGCACCTCCTCCATCAAAGTACCTCTAAACCTTAGCAGGAGCAGAGGGTTCAGGAGAAGTCTCCTCCTTTTCTGACATAACTTGTGCTCCAACAGGGCACTTATTACATAACTTTAACTCACTCCTTTCTTTCCTTTTTTTTTCACTGCAGACACCTCCTGCCTCTGACACCCAACCACACAACTGAAACAAAGAGGAAAGAAATGAAGGGGAAGAGGCTCTTTGAAAGTTTAACCTAACTAATCTCATAACAGAGTAAAAATATTCCGGTTAATCCACCAAAACTTAGAGTACTTACTATTGCTGAATCAAAAGTAATCATATATTGGTGATCTTTAGGTATTTGGCAGTCTAGAGATAACAGGAAATGCAGGGAATGACATGTACCAGAACGTTGTGTTCCCTGCTAAGAGAGGGGGTTGTCAAATAAGTAACTAGAGCTCTCAGAGTATGTAAAGGTGCATGGTTTACCCTCAAAACGTATGGAACTACTCTAGTACAAGTACATCAAGTTTAAACTCAAGCATAGTACTGAGTTGGTTACATCTCAAAAACCATGTTGCACATTTAAACAGGCAAAAAGAGCAAATCCTGAGGTGACATGTCACTCAACGTAATATGACTAATCACAGGGTTTCACAATTGTTTGCAGAGAAGTGTTGTACTCACAGCTGCTATTGTATGCACAGCTTCAGTGCAACCAAATCAGCAGTTAAAGGTTAGTGCATGGCAGTACATGGTCTAGTCTGGAGATATGCTGCAGTGTCAGAGTTTGTTTTAACAAGTGGATCGATCAAATTTTAATCAAAGCACCTTTCCTGCATCTCAGAATGAATGATGTTTATATGAAAACAGGAAGCGATTCAAGCAGAGTTACTAGCCTGCATTTAAAGAGGAAACACAAACAAACAATAGGTAACGCCATAGTTCTCTTTAAACATTTTCATTCAAACCAGGCTAAAAATGTAGGTCTCAAGTTCATTACTTTAAGATCTTAGCTGATAAATATTTAAATATTCAGCTGCTCTCAGTTCCCCCGGCTGTTCCCTCAGTCTGCAGTCATGTTAACAGACTTTTGAGACAATTGAGTTTAACACTAAATGCTAACATGCTCATGATACAATGTGGATATGCTGATTTTGAGCAGTTTAATGTTAACCATGTTAGCACACTCTTAAGCACCTGGGAGAATGATCATTACATGGTCTATAGCAAGTCCATACAAAGCAATTATCACACAAACTGGGTCAATAGTTTGGGCTTTTTCCGCTGACACTGGCCCAAGTGAGGAGCAAACCAGAAAGTGCCATACTGGTCAAATGGGTAACTGTTCTAGTTAGTTACATGCCTTTGGATTATCTGAAGGAAACATGGATCTTCTTGAGTGTTGCTTGTTTCTGTAAATCAATGTGTCTTGAAAGCAGGAAACAAGGAGAAACTTGAGCAGATATACACTGGCAGTTAAATATCATGCCTCCTTCCTTGTGTGACTCAATGCAAATCACAGATTAGTGTTACTCTAATTTGGGGTTCAGCGTAAAAGTACGACTGGGCCATTTAATAACTGATAAGTGACAATCAGTGCAGGATACATGTGATTGAAAAACATTAACCTCTGTTTGTGTTTATTCATGATTCACTAAACAAAAGATCTGCAGCCCTGTAAGCAGCTTTTCCAGCTCTTTCAGGTTTAGTTTTACTTAGCAAGCCAACAGAAAATCACAATACTTGCGTGTTGAAGCTTATACTAATTCCTACCACATTAGTTAGTTAGTTAGTTTTGCATGTCTATATACAATAGCCAATTAGCAGTACATACAGTGTAGGTGTGGTCAGCAGCTCTGCAGGTATAATGAATGTCTGAACCGCATTTCACGACAATTTGTATCACACCTAAAGAAGTACTTTGCTCTAAACCAAAGAAAATGCAAACCTCATGTTGGCACCGCAGGACAACCTTTCAAAAAAATTAAGTCAGTGAGGAAATGCAAATAAAAGAAGTTTCTCTAGTGTCCATTTAAGACTGGTTCAAGAGGCGGAGAGGACTTGATTAACACTCATGTTAAAATGTCTAATTCTACTGTAGAAGTACATAAAAGCACACAGCCTGGAGGAAAATGATCTGAGCTGCTTATTTCTGCATTTGAAACACAGTTCGGAGGGTGGAGAATAGGAACGTTGTTTATTACTCATTTCACAAATATTGAGGTCACAAGTTTTGCAATCAGCCATTATTAAGGGTGTGGCTGACTTGACTGACAGACAAGTATAATGAATCTGTTTGCCAGGAGGCGAACAGCCTTTGTGCTACTTCTTTACCTTTGGATAGCTCAACTGGAAGTTAGGTTGAGTCAGCATTTTGATACTTTGACAGCCATTGTTGGCCTTCAACACCTCGAAGCAGAAACCAGTGAGAAACGTCACTGAGATTACTTCCATTTTTATAGTTTACAATTATATTTGCAGCTCAACTATAATTAGTCTACGTGTCTATAAAACATTTAATAAAAAACAAAAAATGTATACATTGTTATGGTCCAAGAGGGAAAATTAGGAGGATAGACGGAACATGACAAAATAAGATTTCATGGCAGGCCATGCAATAAATGTTGAGATTTTCCCTTCAGGCCCCAAATGCTGAACTTGACTTTCGGCTACAAAAGCAAAATAATACTTATTTGTTTCCCAACTTCTACTTAACCCAGTCTAAACAGAGATCATTAAAGTGTCTTTAGAGGAAGTTAACTGTGAACATGTGAAGCATGAAGCTGTGCAGAGGCAGTGAGCTGAGCTAAGCTGAGCAGCAGAGATAGAGTTACACAGCATACTGATGACAGGCCAAAGTCTATATATAACATGTGAATATATGTGTCTGTAAGTAAATATGGCTGTGCAGTAAAGCCAGCCAACATACGATAACATGAGAGAGACAGCAAGAGGGTAGAGAAGGACAAAAATGTCCACTATCTGATAAGTTGTTCCCTGACAACGGGGAACAACAAGGTTTGAAAGATTTCACAATGAATGTCTTTACTGCATTTCTACATGTATCCTAAAGCAGAAGCACAGCTATGTGCTCACAGAAACAAAGTAAGTGTAGTTTATCTTCACTCAATAGCACATACACAGTCCTACTTCCCCAAATAGCCTAAGTACAGGAGCACCAACTGTGCATTAATCTCCTGCCAAAAATAGTCTCTGACAAATGCATTATTTCCACCTGTTTTGCTGATAAAAACTACAGTGACAAGAAGTTTCTAGATATTGCTAAGTTTAAAAAACAATATTTGTGTTAAACTTGTGGGGTGTTCAAAAGATAGATTTCCAGTCACTGTTTTAAAACAAAGGAATTTGTATCTGGACCACCGGGCTTGGAGCTGAGGTCACCAGTAGAATTTGCACAGCATTGTACAGTGATGGATTAACATGTTTGCACATAACATTTGTGATGAGTTAAAAAAAATGAGGCGCTGACACCATCATCCCTGTTTGGTCCCAAAATATCTTTTTTCCTTTTTTTAATCTCAGGGTGTGAACTCTAAACCCAAGCAAAAGAGCAGATTCTGCCATCAAAGGACACCAAAATCAATCACAATCAGAAATCAGGCGAGGCAAAGTTATCAGATCAGAAGCCAGCAGACAAGAGATAACAGAGAGTGTGGTTATTGAGCAGAAGTTTGTGGAGTTATTGACTGTCATTGTTGATTGTCTGTCTGACTGAAACACAGTAAATGAAAAAGTGACTGATTGAACAGCTGCTAACAACAAAGACACTCAGTGAATATTTTTCAGCAGAAAAAAAACATTTAGGTATTAGATAAAAACATGTTGTGGCCAGTGTTGAAAGACATTGAAAAATCAATCAGATTTTACTTATAATGCACTTTTCACACAACAATAATTTAACATTAAGTGCTGGACAGTAATGTAATGAAAGTTTGGAGCACTTAAAGTTAAGCTGACAAAAACTCTGACAATGCAAACTAAAGTAAATACAATGAGAGCACTGAAGCTGTTGGTGAGGAAGCATGAGAAATATAACCACGGTAAAATATAATTCATAGACAAAGACAGAGATAAGAGCAGGTTTAACTGAAGCAAACAGAACAAACACATGCTAAAGTTAAAGGAACAAGGGCTTGAGTGTTTGTATGATATCAAGCTGTGTTTCTTTAGCGAACAGATCTGAAGCCTGCGTTACAGAAGCTAATGAAATGGAGGCAAACAGAACAAAAGCTAGTAGAACAGGGATAAAAGGAACAGAAACTCAAGTGACAAAGGCTAAGGTAACACAAGTATCTGTTTCAGAAGCTTGTGGAAAATAAGCTTAGTGAGTAAAGTTTTCAATACAGAGGCTTGTGTTGAGCTTGTGTTACAAATTTGTGTAGAACTAGGAGTTAATGGATTCGTATCACGTAATATAACCTTACAGGACTGTGAAACAACAACTAAAGATCAGAAGAATGTTATGCAGAAACCAATGATTTGTAAAACCAGTGAAACAAAGCCAGAATAAAAATTGAGTAAAGCAGACTTGGACCTGTGATTACCATAAAACTGACACTCTATGCTTAATGTTTTCATTGGGGAACTGAGGCAGCAACGAAATAACCTTTCACTGCATTGTAAAATGTGAAAATCTGAAATTATAAAACTGTCCCTTAAGTCGGCCTTGGCATCTTGAACAAATCTAAACATTCAAGTCAAATACATAAATCCACAAAAAAGATGCAGGAATTATAAAATAAGTAACCAAAGGATATATCAGGACACCTTCTGAGAACATATGCTCATGTTTTATCTGCTAAACAGTGCAAACATACTAGTATTGAATAGGTGCTGTATAACCTGGCTACACCAAACCAATCCACCTTGGTGTACAGGTCTAGAACTTCAGACATGCTTCCATACACTCGTACCCATTAGGTGTCTGTTCCTACCTCTGGAGTCACCTAACTCAGTGGTGTAATATCTTACTCCTACCACCACACCTCTGCAATATTTTCATTAAAGACCAGACATTTCAGGGGCATAAATATGCTGTCTTGATGTGTGAGGCTAAAATCCGTCTCCATCCATCAATTGATATAATGCCATGTGTTGATTCTTGACAAAGTTGTGGGTTATATGGGTAACTTTGTATTGTATGGTAAATATATAATTATGAATTTACCATACCTATACCCAAGCAAGACAAGCTAGAGGCTAGTTGACAAACTTTTAGCCTTAGAGTAAATGAATGTGGTTGCATTTCTGAGAAAAAAAAGAGGCAACTTTAGGAAAGAATGAGGCAGTAGTATAACTGTCAAACTGTCTAGAGTTGAGTAACAAAGGGGAAATCCCTCGGACAGTCTCAGGTTCAATCACCTCAGTACCCCTTCTGCCAAAGTGAGGGGATTTACTGTAAATCTTTTAGTTGGCAGTTCTAGTAGACAGTACCAAGACTTACTTTCATAACAGACATCATTTGAAAGAGTGAAAAACTGAGACCAGTTTAGAGAGTGTGATGGTTAAGATAATGTCATACCCAGTGGATCTGTGGTTTTGGGAAATTCTGCAAACTTTCACTAAAGCACCCTGCATGTTTGATGGTTGTCTAAATATACTGTAGATGTTATCAGAAACCATTTAATAATATGATTTAGATGTGATTTTCATCTGGACTGGGGACACATCAGGTCCCTAACAGTATCTCATGCCCTATGTTTTATTTAAAGACCGGGTAATGAAAACTAAGATGGAAAGATTATGGGGGGTCGTCACATGTCTCTATCATCTCTGTGGTGTTCATGTCCTATTGGGTGGTTAAGAAGCATGTTACAAGGACTGAAGTCTGGATGAGTCATCTTGAAACCTGTTGGAGGAAATATCAGATTCTTTGTTTTCAGGGTCCACACTGGAAAAATACTCTCTATGAAATGAAGTCCTGCATTAAAAACAATCAATTTAGTTCAACATGAGCTCCACCAACTTGGAAGATCGGGCTATTTAACACGATAACTTTATGATAAAGCTTTTTTTTTTTTTTTAGTTTTAACACTTCCGATACATATTTGTTTTAAAGCAGAATTTTCCATTTCGGACTTCCGCAGTGTGGTAAAACTACATTTACTGCATCATGAGAGGTGACTACTTTGTGTGCCACAAGCTCTTGAAAGGGCTGTAAAGTGTGCTGATAATGGCTGGATCTGTGTACAGTGAATTGTACTGTGGTGGGGACATCAGTCAGATGACTTCATGATAAACCAGCAGCTTCAGTCACTGAGATGACTGAGTCACTGTCATCATAGAGGTGAGTCACTGCACACGTGTGTCCATCACGCTGCTGTTCACACCAATATCAAACACTGAATAAAATCTGAGCAGATGATTCCAGCTCCGTGAAATGAATCTCTTCGTTCAGTTTCAACCTTATCTCTGCACTTTATCTACACATGAGCTGAGATTTTCCAAAACAGGTGGTGTTTTTTTCACATGTGTAGAAGATAGAGTATCTTAGAAGAAGCTCTTAACCCTCAGAACTCTTTGGATGAGCCTGCTGGTTGTCCTGAAAAATGAAAACAACACATAGTGAAGCAGCATTTTGCAATCATGCAAATTAGACATGGAACAACCACCCAGATGGTCAGCTAAAGCTAAAGCCGGGAATATAATGCGATGACCAACTGCTCAGCTCAGCTTCTTGGATATTGTTTAGGTTTATCATATGATGTAATTGTCTACCTAGATATTCACGATTTACTGTCGTCTATCTTTTTCAAACTGTATAAGATTACATCTGAACTTTGTATCTCTTGCCTGTAGTTTCACATAGATTTATATTTACATCTTTAACACCTGCTGTCACTATTGTAACAACCTGCTTGAACTGGTGCATTACCTGACTGCATGAAATACACTCCATAAACAAAGTAACTGTTACTCAGATCATTTTCATCAGTAAAAGAAGCTGTGGGTTAGAAAAATATGGATATTATAGATGGTATTAAAACATGTATTTAAGCAAAGGTAAGACTTTCCTTATCTTTAGCTAAAAGTACTTTAGAAGCATCAAGATATATCAAAATCACAACTCACTACTGTATGTTTAGTGGCCCATTTGGGATTACTATATATATGTATTCACGATTGTTTATCAATTCATTAATATTTCACTTACTTAATTTGAAAGAGAGAGATCATTTTTTATCATTTTTGGTCTATCAAGTCTCATCCATCTGATACCTTACGGGAAAAAATGAGTTCATTTTTGTATTTATAATTTGAATCTGCGGTAACAGTAAAAAGTCACTGAATGGATGTTGAGTTGTGAGAAATAGCTTCAACTTCTGCTTTGAACTGGGAGCAGTGATTTCATCTCTGTTTTACACCACAGTGTTTGACAACAAAGACGGGAAAAAAAAGGTGACTTAATGTTGAGTGTGTGTGGTTGTGAATGTGAATGTGCGTGTGTGATGACCCATTTGTTGCAGGCTGGTAGCCGCTGACACACATGGTTATCTTTAGTCGTCCAGCAGGGAGGCTGAGGAGAACAGCAGCTGCTCTGATTTGCTGCGGTTGCCTAGCAACAGTTTTGGGCTGTTTACAAAGTTGTTTTATGGGAGGTTAATAACAGACGCCTGACTGAGGCCTTAGAAAGAGTCTGTCTGGCTGTAGACACAAATGAGGATTCATGTTGTACTAAACAGAGACTTATACTGTTCTCTCTGTTGTGTACAAGACTTCATCTACGACTTGTGGAAGCTTCTGACTTACAGGTTTCTTCCTGGATCGGGATCAAACTGCACTCTAAACACACTAGCTGTGGTCATGAGCAGGTCCTCTTAAAGCAGCTCATGCAGTGGTGTCTCTTAGAGACGGAAACCAAAACAAGAAGCTGCCTTAAGAGGCTCACTGTCAGTTGGGAAAGACAAACATTTCCATGCTTATCACAAATACCGCCGGGTTTCCCCTTCACAAGATTATAGTATCATATCTTGGTTTACACTAGTTATTAAAACATTGATATATCACATTTTCTTTGGTTCAAATGTTTATTTCTGATGCAATAAGTGCACACCTTACAAGTTTGGAAATTCACAGCGGAGTGATCATGAGGAGTTGTGATTGAGTTCAACTTCCATGAACTTAAACAACAAAAAGGAAACTAACATGAAGGCTACAGAGGAAAGGAAAGCAGCAAACAGTTGGGAGTAACAGGAAATGGATCAGAAAACAATCCTGAAGTTGTAATTTTTATAGCAGTTGGCTTGCTTGTCTACCTGCTGCTTTTTAGTTCTCATGCAGTCTCTCTGGCTCAATGTCTAAATTAGCAGTTTTATTTCCCAGGTTTTATTGTTACTTTACTTTGAGTCCTATCAGTCTTCCTCTACTGCTATATCTACTTTTCTATGAGAGACTTTGTTCTTCCTGTCATCAATTACTCTAACTGACTACAGTTGCCAGGCTAATACCATAAGCCCAAATTGGTTTTATGTCCTTAAAGAGGAACCAAACCACCAGACTTTCAATTCACCTGAGAGACACATTGGAGAAACACAGTCATTCCCTTATTTAACTCAGTCTGTCACACTGAAATTTTTAATCAAGACAAAGGATATGGTGGCATACCACTCAGGGACACATGCTGCTGATTCATTGGTGCCATACTCTTGGTCATGTTGCATGCCAGTGAGCTATTGTTTCATCATAAAGATATGCTTTATTCATGTTGCTGAAAAAATATATTTTCAGTAGACAAAAGAAAAGAGCACAAATGTTGGAGTCCACAGTGAGAACCGTGGACCTGCACCAGAACATCAGTTTAATCTGAATTTAAACCTGGATCCTAAAACTGAAAACTAAATCTGTCTGAGCCCTTGAACAGCCCTGTGGAGAAGTACAAACAGACCAAATGACTCTATTTTCAAGGTCTGACACTCACACTGACTGGTCCTCACTGAAATAGAACTGCAAGAACACAAACACACACACTGACACACGCACACACACATACACATATACTGTACATGCACACCTCAGCTTTACCCGGAGGGATTACACAGCATTTTTTACTTTCCGTACAAATGAAACACACACACACACACACACACACACACACACACACACACACACACACACACACACACACACACACACACACACACACACACACACACACACTTGTCAGCCCCTATCTCTGTCTGTCTCCTTCCTACTTGCTCATGACTGAGCAAATTGCATTGGGAACAGGCATCTGTTGTGTGAGTGTGTGTCGCTGTGTGTCGCTGTGTGATGATTACAGTTGTTCGAACATGGATTATAGGTGCTGTTGTCGTTGGTTTGGTGGAAAATATTCTGCATAGTTGCCACTTGGCTGATGGGAAATATTCCTGACATGGGCTGAGCCATGATGACTTGTGTTTGTATTTGTGTGTGTGTGTGTGTCTGTCTGTGTGTGTCTGTCTTAGTGTCTGTGTTATCACTGATGCCCATATGCTCAGCATTATTGCTTCATTTTTGTGCAAGTAATTTGTCTGTGATGTGTTTTTAACATCTGCTGTTCCCATTTTGGTTTGTTTTTTTCTATTTTTTTTTTCAATATTTGCAACAAATTTATATTCTTGTGACTTCCTTTAAACTTCTTAAAATTAAAATTAAATACTAATATTATTATTTTGAAATTTTAAAAAAGCCCTTACCATTTTTACAGTCCAAAAATTCTGTAAAATATCAAAATTAAATGTCTTGTATGGTTGATGCCCCAACCTGAATGATATTCAGACAGTAGTTGACAAAGTACACAACTTCATTTCAAGTATAGGTACTTCTGTTTAACTACTGTATTACTCTACTATTACTTCAAGTAGCTCAAGTATATCACTGGTGAAGTACAAGTAAACAATATTATTTGCATTTTTAAACTCAGATGCAACAGATTTCCAGATTTGAAGCTCAAAAATAAAAGAGGCGATATTTAACAATAACCAACCCCAGAAAAATAACACAACTAAATTAACTTACTAAATAAACTTCAACCAAAGACGTCTTTGTTTAAAATGATCATATGGCATGCCTCATCAGGTTTGTAAGCAGTGGTGGAGTGGTGAGGTTTGTGCATGTTGACAGAGCAAACATACAAGCAACACAAATCGTTCTTCATTCAACCTCAAACAAGGGCTGAAGATAAAGCTAGGAGGACTCAGGTGGAGAATCCCTGTTTTTCCATCATTCCCACCTCTAAATGAGCTGCCTGATCTGAGTGACACTTGCTCTTTGTGCAGGAGATTGAAACAGGGGGGGCTGGGTAGACTAGCACAGAATGACTGTTTCTGTGGGATACAAAGGATAGGCTACACAGGCAGGATTGTAGTTTGAGTCTTTACCGTTGGCACTTGCCCGCTACATTTGTGCAAGTTAATTGGTATGGCAACATCACTTTGATAAACAATGTACAGAACCATAAAAAATGTGGAGTCAAAAATATGATTTTCTTGTTGAAGCAGTGAGGGCTAGAAGATGGAAATTTGTCTGCCTATACTGTTGGAGAGCTATTAAAC